GGCTGCATCTACACGCCCTACTTGGACAGACGCCATGTTTACCACACACCCGGTAAATCACGGAATACCACAACACTCATTGTCCCACTCGCGTAATACCTCCCTACCTAGCATGTGGTATACCTATTTGTCTGCCTTTGTGAAGTAATACCATATTGGGCCTTGAAGTTCCGCGGCATTTCAGTGCCGTTGCTTTTCCGGACACTTACATTTTGGTAAAGGCCGAAGCAAACATTAACCCCAGCCTCCCCTCTGCGGAACCAATCAAACCCCGGGGTCGGTGAAGAAAAAAGGAGGCGTAGGTAGTATTATCAACTTGGTTTCCCGAAAGTACCTACTAAATATTCAAATCAAATGGTTCATTATGCATTGCCGGCGGACGGAAAAAGAGAAAAAAGACAAATTATATATTGCCCGGAAACAAAAGGAGGGGGGGCGGTTTTTCCTTGCTTCAGAATGGGAGAGCCGAATTAGAAGATTGCAGGTGAGGTGGGATAGTCGCGGCAAATAGACCCTTTCTATTAGTATCAACTTGGTAGAATATTACTAACCAATGGAAAATAGATGCCGGAAAAAGAGGCTAGTAAACCTTAAGACTTGACGCCTTGTAAAGACTGCAGAATATAGTAAGTAGTATCTATCTATATTGAAACCCATAGTGTACAGATTTTTCCGCTTTTGTAATCTTTTGTCAGGGGATGGATCCCCCAGCTCGTAGGACTGACTCCGGGTCATCAGCTTTGCTTCTTTGAGCGAGTCTTGCTGACTGCACTGGAGAACCAGCTTTTACAGCGACAGCGACGGTTTAATATCCGGCTGTCGCTGACTTTGAATAACGGCCCGAGAGCTTCTTAGCGCCCGGTTTCAACAAATTGCTGCATCTTGGTTGGCCAGAAGTAAAAACTGGACTAAACGAAGAGCATAACCTAATCAATAATACAGAAATGCAGGGTTCGGCATTTTCTCTCTATCAACTAAGAAAAACGCCAGCCAATTATTTTACCACCCATCATGTCAAACAACAACAAGGTTTGCGCGAATTTGATTTTGCTGGCCTTGTTTTCGGGCCGCTTATCTCATTTGTTGACATAATACTGTATAATGCGCAGAGGAGTCTCCTTGAAGAGAGGAAAAAGTCAGGCAATTTCACCGGATTGAGCTTACCGGTCCTTGCTTGCCAGGTTTCTTGTTATCAGAGAGCTTTAATAACTCATATATCAACGAAAATCCGTTGGCTGTCATTGTTCTAGGACAAGGGGGGGAAAAGAAAATAAATCGGGATTCGCATCCTTATAGGCAACAGAATTAACAAACAGGCAACCATATAAAAATAAGAAGAACAAAACGGGTGTGAGACCTTTAGCCAGGAGTCCAGGACGTTAAGCTATGTAAGACGCAGGGCTAGATACAGCTTTGATAGCCCCATTATGATAGCATATATCTCCCAGAGTAGACACGCTGTAAGACTTTATTTCCCCGAGTTTCAAACTCCCCGGATCCTGCATTTTGTCATTCCATCGACAGGGGACAAATACGACACAAAATATACAAACAAAACAAACGATACGGCCGCTTTTGGCCACAGGTCAGCACCGGATACTGGGATCCTTCCGAAAACTAGACCCCTGGCCAGACAGTCATGACATCCCCTTGTCCCTTCTAGAATCTTTCTCTTTTGCCCTCTGCTTATTTCTTTCTCCCATCTCATCGTAACCTCGACATGGTCGCTTAACTTTCCTGGCCTTAACCGCAAGCCTCCTCACGCCCCAGCTTACTGTATACGCTCCAGAACAAAAGCCATGGAGGCGTCTTGCTAACAAGAAAGCAAGGCACCAGGTCCCAGTGATACCACGTAGCTGGGATCGTCGGTGATCCCGGGAAGGGGGGTGAGGGGCTCACAAAAGACCATGGCCATGCAGCGGCAATTGGGTTTGTTTCATCCATCGCCCCTCCCATACGAATCTAGATCCTTTAGACAAAGCTGCATTTTGTATGCACAGATGCTCTTTGACAAATTTGGTACGAAGGAGTGTTTTCAGCAGCTGTGTGCGGTCGATTCTGAGTCGCTTAGTCGTATTGCCTGCTGGCGTAAGCAGGTTCAATTTCAAACATGTGGCTTGAGTAGCTAAGTGTAGCTAGAGTCCCAAGGGGGAAATGTTGCTTAAACTGTATCCGGGAATCTTCTTGTTGGCCCTAAAGATGAAGAGCAAAGAGACACGAGAAAGGTCCTCGAAAGAGTGGGCTCAAATTGCAGTGATTGATTGCTGTAAATCTCTCAAGACCAAACACTCTCTCGCACCAATCATCATCCCACATTGGACTTTAGAACTTCAGAAGTTGTTGTTTGCGAATTATACCCCCTCCCCCCCGTACATGCATCCTGACTTTGTTCTTCCATGGAGAAAGATTTAGGCGACCGTTCGAATATACCCCCGGAAATAATCTCCTTTCAGGGTCCAGTTCTCGCAAAAACTCACAACTCACAAAATCCAAAAGCACCGAAAATCGCCCAGGATTCGATGACAGCTCGGACCGCGTTATGGGGACGTTGCAGCAACCTCCACAAACAAGGCCGAGTCTTCACGCCTTACCACTGCAGTGATAGTACTTGTAGGATTCGACCGTTCCACCGGGGGACTCGCGGCGAAGGCTGGTCATGGTTCAAGCTTGGACCCTATATGGAGTAGAGGGGTGAAGTTTTCTGCTGAAGCCCTTTTGTCCCTTGACCATCGCCAAGGCCTGCAGGATGAACCGCGTAACGCATCCGTGGCATTCATCCACCGGTCAGCCAGCCCAGACCTTGTTACCATCTGAGTGGGTAACCCAATAAATGCAGCATGGTTCAGCATTTGAGTTTCTTTACTGGTTTGCCGTCGCAAATACCGGGAACTCGTCAATACTACCGGATACTCGAAGCCGAGATGAAAAGCTAGCGCGGATGACAATTATCTTTGTCAGGAAGCCTTGTTCAACATGCCCAGGTCTCTTTTTAGACGATTGAAATATCCAAGCCTAAGCAAAGTTCAAGAGGGCCTCAAAAGAGGAGGACAAAAGAAAAAGAGGCAACTCCATGTTGAATCAAAGATAGTTGTCAACTGGAGAGGTGCCGTCGCAATTGATTGTGGCTTTGATCTTGAATTGATTGGCTAACGAGACGCAGCAACGACGGATGCATATGTAAAACGCAAAAGAATGCGACGGCACGCGCCTAGTCCCGCACATACGAAGGCAGCCAATGGCGATTGAAACAGCCGCCGAAGATCCCCAGATTACTTCTCAGTACAGCGATCAAGAGCGGTACGTGTATATATGGACGTAGTTGTATGCAGCATGAGCCCAAATGGGCATTTGTTTGTGGTGGGCAGAGGTCAGCATGCAGAGCAGGGTTGCGCAATGCAAATTGGCAACTCTCTCCCTGCTAGCAACGAGGCCAATTCCTTCTAGCTGGGCACAGGGGGGAGGGGTGTCTGAAATCTGGTCGTCAAGATGTGCTGAACCGGTAGGATTCCAGAGCGATGATGACCTATACGAATTTCGGTATAGAGCTGGGTCCTGCTGCAGACGTGCATAGCCCAGTAAGAAAGAGGGCTGCTGCCGCTAATACTTGCACTCCTCCCATGACGCTCTCTTCGACGACATGCTCCGATGCTTCCTCCGACGACCTCCCGCACGCTTGTGACATCTCATGGTTCCTTACAAGTAGTCTTGTAGCTGTAAGTCTCTTTGCCGCCACTCTATAAGAGGTCAGGCTTCTTTGGCGCAGGTCTCAGATCTCAGCTTAGCGCAGCTCGCTCTCTGAACTTTTGAATTTGGCTCATATCTTTGACCTTTTTGTGGAAACCGGGGACCACGAGGCTCGAAAGTTTGTCCGTTGTCGCCGAATTGTCGTCCTTGGAGCTCATGCAACTTAAAGATGCTTTCCACGCCCGCCGGTTTCTGCTTGGGGGGAAAAAAGTATCCGCCGTCCGCACAAGGCTGGAATATCAATCATATGATGCAATGGGAAATTGAGCCATTGGACCAGAGAAACAACCCCCCCTCTTCTTTCCTTGTTGCTGCTTTTCTCCATGGAGTCTCGTCTCGTGGAGGGGGGTGTAAATTCAGCCCAGGAACTGCAGTGGCACAACGTGGATGCTGCTCCAGTGGTGCTCGTAGTTGACACCGCAAGTGTAAGCACTAGTCGAGCTGCCACCATCTTGTCGTCTTAGGCTCTCTGCCACGAACTGCAGCTATGCGCTGTATTGTGCGTACTAGCCGTACTCCATAATACTACAAGTAAGCTTCGGATGGATCGATCACCAGCTTCCGCAGTTAGCAAGGCTCTCCCGATTCGACAGTTGATGTCAGCGAGGCGTGGAACCTCTGTTTCGGGACCGACTTCAGACCAGCTGGCCAACAGGCTCTAGATTTTACTGAGAATTGACAAGTCTCCATCCGCCGATTGCATGATTGGCTGGTATATGCCTCGTATATTTGGGCTAGATAATTGAATGTCGGCCAAGTGAAATGCTGACAAATGTCTGCGCATTATGGCCTGTTTGCCCGAATGCAGATCCTTTAATGCCCGAGAATCTCGCGAGAGCGGATACAACGAACCATGTTGAAACCGTTGAGTCGGCGAGGACGAGTATTGAAGTGAGAAATGCATTTGCTCAAAGATGAGAATGCGGCGTTTCGGATTGCCTGGTTGGGAGTCATTTTGGTCTTGGACAAATAAATGAGCTAATTGACCAGACTGGGCCATCGTGTTGGGTATATGAACTAATCAAGAACATATTTAGTCCATCAAAGCCTCAAAGGTGTTGATAGCTTCCGATATCTGCCAATATTGTGCTGTTTTCTTTGGTATCATAGCATGGGAAAAGAAGGAAGTAAGAGGCCGGCCCAAGCGACGATTTTGGCGCGTCCAGTAAGTTGATATGGCAAGGCCATGTTGATGAATCACTTGTTGGAGTAGACTGGCATGACAGGCTGAATACTAAAAGCCCACCGGCGATATGCTATCTTTTAGGTGCTCCCGTCGGCACAGATGGAAAGTAGTTGGGCTGAGATGCTCGTTCGCGGTCTCGTTTGGCAGCTTCTGCTTGACGCTTGCGTTGTAACCGTTGCTGATAGAAGACACTATTTCGCGGCGTTAGTACGACGGTAAGAAACGAGCTCTGCTCTTGATTTACCTCTTGAGTTCAAAGACTCGCGGCTCGTCTTCCTCTTTGGGTGTGTCTTCACCAGCACTCTTTTCCTGGCTTCCTGTCAGTATACCACGTATGTATGCTGATAATACGATGTGACTTACCGCTTCATCTTCCTTCTTATCCTCCTCCTTTTCTTTGTCCTTGTCCTTGCCCTTTTCTTTATCCTTCTTGTCCTTGTCCTTGTCCTTTTCTTTTTCCTTCTCCTTCTCCTTCTCCTTTTCTTTCTTCTTGCGCTGCTTCTCTTCATACTCCTTCTTCAGCTTCTCCTTCTCCTCAGCCAACTCCTTCTCCCGCTTCGCCTTGACCGCATCCTCATCAACCTTGGGACTGCAAAAGTTGCGGTCCTTGAGGTGCACCGGGCAGATATAGAAGAAATCCTAAGGCAAGTGAACCACGTCAAATCATTTGCTCTATAATGGCCAGCCGGGGATATCTCTACCTTTTTGTCTGTCGTGATGAGCACTGATGTGCTGGGCTTGTAGCAGACGTCGCACGCTTTGGCGGCAGCCTCGGCCACCTTTCGGTGCGTGTACAGGTTGGAAAAAGGCGCTGCCATGCTGCGAGGCAAAGTTCTGGGCGCTTTTCAAGCTGAAAATGAGCGTGTAGTGAGTATATACTCGGTATTTGATATGTCAGTAGCTACCTATCTTGAGTGAACCCAGCACTTGATATTTCATCCCTCTCTCATGGCGGGGGACACTGGCGGCCGTGATGACTAAGCTCTTTGACGTCGCTACAAGTCGCGTCCGTCCAGCTGTCGAAGCAAGTAAAATAAACCTGAAGCTCTCAACCGCGACTCTGTGTAGCACCAAATCTGCCTTTCTTTCGGCATCAGTCCATTCCATCGCAGCATTCTGTCAGCCTCCATCCCCGCTGCGTGACAATGGCCCAACCACTCAATGCGCAGAGAATAGACGCCGTCTTCCAGTCTCGGCCTGACATCATTGCCAGGATCAGCAAAGCTGCAGGTACATATACTATAGCCCAACAGCCAGCAGATAGCTCTGCAATCACAGTTTGCGTAGATCAAAGAAGCTAATTATACCCTGATGATCAGACTCTCCTGCTCGAATTGCCCTCTTCAACGAAATCGCCGACCACGTCTACGAACGGTTACAAGGGCATGAAGAGCCCGCACAGAAGAAGAGGAAAGTCGGAGCAGAGACAGGTGGCAGCCCAAGCAGCCAGGCAGCGCTGTCAAACGCGGCAGATGAGGCCGTGCTGTTGAGCATTGCAGAGATTTCGGTGTCCGTGCCTCAGAGGAAGAAGCTGGAGATATGCTTCACCTCCAACCACTTATATGCCAGAGCCCCTGGAACAACAGCTCCCCTGCAAGGCGTCAGCTATGCGTGGAGAGATATTGGTTCGTCAGACCTCACCAGTGCAATCTAGAATCCCCATTTAGACTGACAATTTCCCAACAGAATATGCCTTCTATCTTCCCGTCCCCGACAAGGCCCAGGTCCAGCACAACTACATCATATTCCCCAAAGGAACCTGTTTACCTTCCAAGACGGCCCCTCCGCCATCCTTAGAGCCACTGGTCTTCACTGTCCCCGCAACTGCCCCAAAGCAAGGCACCATCGGAGGAAGTGAGTCGGGATCCGCCGCCGCAGTATCAGACAACTACAAGTCCCTGTTCCATTGGGCCATAAATCAGCGACTACAGGCTGCAGGCACCGGCGTCAAGATTGTCTCTGCCGATCCAAACAAGTTTCACAGCATGATCCGCCAGCCTCACCGGCCAAACGAAACGGCGGTCCACATCGGCGGCTTCAGGGGCTCAAAGGACGGCTACCTCTTTTTCCTCGAAAACGGCATCTTCTGGGGCTTCAAGAAGCCACTCATCTTCATCCCCATGAACCGCATCGCCGCAATCAGCTACACGAGCATCCTACAAATCACATTTAACATGGTCGTCGAAGTCTTCACAGACGAGGACGGCAAGACGGAAGAACTGGAATTCGGCATGCTCGACCAGCAAAACTACGGCGGCATCGATGACTACGTCAAGACCAACAGGCTGCAGGACAGGAGCATGGCCGAGCAGAGAAAGGGCAAGCTACAGCTGGCCGAAAACAAGGCGCCCAAGAAGAAGGATGGCGAAGGCGAGAATGGCGATGCTGAAGGTGCCGAGGGAGCAGGCGATGGCATGACTGAGCTGGAGCGTGCGCAGATGGAGGCTGAACAGGCACTACAAGACGAAGAAGACGAAGACGAGGAGGACTACGACCCTGGAAGCGAGGGCGAGAGCGAAGGCTCAGGCTCCGAAGATGATGATGACGACTCCGACGATGATGACGAAGACGATGAAGAGGACGAAGAGGACCCAGAAGGCGAAGGAGAAGAGGGCGGCGAGGAGGAAGAGGAAGAAGAAAAGCCCGTCGTCAAACAAGAGCCTCCAAAGCCTGCTCCAAGGGCGAGTAGAGCGGCCAAACCAGCCAAAGCCGCGGCCCCCGCCAAACCAGCCAAGCCAGCCAAGCCAGCGGCAAAGCCCCCTGCACCAGTCAAAGCTGAGGAGCCCAGCATTCCCGTCCGAACAGGCTGGGCAGCCTTCACTTCCCGACCAAGCACAGATGTTGACATGGCTGATAACGACGATGAAAAGTTTGACGTGGTAGGATAAAAGGGAAAGGGGAGATGTCGGGGACAAAGGGTGTCGGGGATAAATGGTGTCTGGGATAAAAAAAAAAGTATTTGGGTAAAAGGTGTCTCGGGCAGAGGGTGTCCGAGGCAACAGGACACATGACATATGGCATATAACGCAGGTGTCTCCTTTATAAGTGTATGAAAAGTTTGTGCGTGTATGAGTTGGCGTCTGACGCAGCAAAGCAGACAGCAGAGACATGCTATTAATTCCCCATCTGAAGAACGGATGCCATTTATGAAAGAAGCTGAGCAATACTACTTTAGTAGGTATATCCTCTACTACCTGTTCCTACTCAACCGATACAACATTATGAATGTAGGATTAGTTTGGATTATGTCCAAAAGGAGGCTCAGGAGGCCATTCGTCTATGAAATCATCCATCTCCCAGTCCACAGGCTGCATTACATTATCCATCTCCACGTCTAGAGACATTATATTGGACGGAGCTTCAGGAGAAGCCTCGGCCAGACGTGGAGTCTCGACTGGACACAGATCCTCGACTGGACTTGTTGCCTTGACTAGACTTGTTACCTTGACTGGACTTGTTGCCTTGACTGGACTTTTTGCCTTGACTGGACGCGCTGCCTTGGTTGAATGCGCTGCTTTGGCTGAACGCGCTGCCTTGGCTGGACGCGTTGCCTTGGCTGGACTCGGAGGCTTGGCTGGACTCGGAGGCTTGGCTGGACTCGGAGGCTTGGCCGGACGAGACAGAGGCGATAGTGTCGAGTTCAACGGCGCAGAGCTCGGCATAGGATCCTGCATAACGCTTGGTTCGCGGCTAAAGGCGTGAGACGGCAGGCCAGGAGGCCGCCAGGACTGTCCCTGCGGCGTATCAGTTGTTGCAGGGCCGGTCAGACCAATGGCTTGGTCTAGACGTCTTGTCTCGCGGCTCGCAGCGTACACCGGTCCTGTCCCTCTCTTGTGCCTCTTCACCGAAGCATCCCGCGACAGAAGAGGATGCAGCGAAGGGTCACCGGAAAACGCTGTCTGCGGTGTCTGGGGCTGTCGCAGAAATGGAGCAGGCCTGTCTTGTCTTGTGTCGAGCGGCTCGGTCTTGAACTCGTCCATGGCGTCTTGCAGTCGCATCACTGTGCGATGAACCAGTGCACGCTGCCTTCTTTGGCCGTGCGTCTTCTTTGCTGCGTCGGCGTCTTTGAGGCAATCCTTGACATGGACCAAAAAGGAGTGGACATTGGTCCAGGTATAGCTACAGCCGGGGCAAACCTCGAAGCAATCGACATCTGTGTCAATTTAGCACAGGCCTCCGTAGCACAGCTTTGCCCCCAAAAAAGCGACATACGTTGCATAAAATGGAACTTCATATCCTTGAGCGGCTTTACCGAGGCGCAACTCGGCAGGGGGCATTTGGCGGAGACATTTGAGTTGGAGTATTTGTCGGCATCGGGCGGATCCAGCTCGATTGGTATGAGGTGCGCAGCTGCTTTGGCGAGTCTGTCTACCAAGACGGCAATGAGTCGCTGGACGAGACGAACAGACAGACAGACAGACAGAGTTAGCCACGGCCAACAAAGAGTACATCTGATGCTGTTCCAGAGCACGAACCTCGTAGGCGTCGACGTGGATCTCGAGCTGGAAAGAGGTGGCAAACGAGACAAAGCATGTTTGGCACCTGTATTGTGGTGTTGGTGGTACTGGAGGTGGTGGTGCGGGCATAATTGGAATCATGGTAGCAGTTTGATAGAAATGGCTGATGACTTGTGGAGGTTGAAAGATGTTGTTGGAACAAGGAGAATAGAGGGAAGAAGATGGAGGCAGGACGGGTTTATGCTCAGCAGCTTGAGAAGGAGTAGCCAACTGTGATTTTAAGATGGCAGTCTTGACCAGCAGCTATTACTGCTACTGCTACTGCTGCTGCTGCTGTTGATTATTACGAGTAGCCATTATTGCTATAACAACGACTACTGCTTTTCCTGCTACTGTTACTGCTGCTACAACAACTACTTCTGCTGCACAAAATAAAAGCAAAGAATCTGTTTATAGCAGCGTTGTTAACAGCGATGGGGAGCCCAAAGCCGCAACTCACCGAGCCATGGTAGCCAGACTCTAAACTCAGTCCAACTGTAACCCATAAATAATCCTATCCGCAATAAATCTGATACGGAGAACACTCAAGCAGCAACCAATCTCGCAATGATTGATTTTTGTTCTCGAGTTGTGAGGTCTGACTATGAACTCTGCGGAGAAAAGTGTATATTCTTAAAGAAGATCTGGCACTTATAGGTAGAAAGAAGAACCAGAGATACATTATTCGCCACTGCGGCTGTCCTTGTCCGAGTTTACGACAGCCCTTTGTTTATCGGAGCAAGAGAATGGTATCTCTAGATAGGTACATCTTTTGCTTGGTACCTACCTCTGCCACGAAATACCTACCGACTAAGTCAAGAGTATGCGACCAAGAATCCAGCAATTGCTTGTTGTCTACTACAGTCTATAGTACAATTCAGAATAAGAAGCTCTGGTCAGCATCACCACCAGTTGTTACATATACATTATCAAAGTGAGAGAGCCACCGATTATTACGTATCAAAGAGAAAAAAGCAATTTTCATGTCGTCTCAAGGCTCAAAACAAAAACGAATTCATCTACATCTCTACCTCAAAGCCACACCACACTTAATAAAAATACACACATCCTTAACAAATCGCATGTCAAATCCTGCACCGCACATCCCATCCTGGTTCCCTTTCCATGCCCAGTCAAATTCCATCCCATCCTATCCCTATATGTCAAATTCTTACACTGGCGGTATACTCGTATTATCCATTCAATCTCTCACGTGTCGAACAAACTCATACATAAAACGTCTCCCCAAAAGTCTGTCTATAATAGATCTAGTCCTTGAAATCAGCTCCGTGTTCCGTCCCCAACCTCGTCATCGTCATCATCGTCATCTTCAATGCTCGTTCTCCGCCGGGCCTCCTTCACCTCCACAGCTCTCTTCTCAGGCTCCTCATCCCTCTCTTCCGCCGCTTGTGCATCAGCATCGCCCTTTGGCTCGTCCTTGTCCTTCTCGGCTCGAGAGCCAAAAGGCCACAAGCCGCTGAGGCCTCTGCTGCTTTCTCTAGGTGGGTGCACTGCAAGAGGTTTCAACACCACATTATCTCCATCTTGTCCTTCTCCACCCTTCTCTTCTTCTGCCATGGCAAAATCTCCAAATTCCTCTTCGTCATCATCAGAATCATCATCCTCAAGTCCACCTTCACTCCGCCTGCCGACAACGTCTCTCCACCACGCTCCACGGCCCAGGTTGGTCGACATGTCATCCAGATCATCGTCCATTTCTTCAGCCTCTCCGTCGCCAAACGGGTCTTCGAGATTATCGTCGTCGTCGTCATCGTTGTCGTCATGAACAGTGGCTGATGAGGCCTCCTGTGTCTGTTGGTTGTTCTTCTTCTGCATAGCAAGCCGCGCTGCAAGCTGCAGCCGGGCTCTTGAAGGCGGAGTATTCAAGGGAGGAGGCGGTGGAGGCGGGGGTGGGATAGACGGCGGTACCAACGATCCCTGATTCAGTGGGTCAGTATAAGCTCGAAACTAGGCCTCTGCGATCAGCAAAACAAGAGTTTCCACAAGCAAGCCAAGAGGAAATGGAAAATGCAGGAGAGGGTGGGAGGAGAAGAAGGTGGGAAAATTGAGCGTTGGCAGTTAGAAACAAGTCCCTAAGGCTGACAAATGGTCCATGACGATAACATCCCCCTTTCATCCCCTGAGCCAGACATGTCCTCGAAACAATGCTGCAAAAACAATGACATCTTCCAAATTCGCTTCCCTGAGCTTCTTGTTCTCTCTCTTTCTCTCGCTCTTAGTGCGCTATCCACAAAAAGAGTATTGTAATCCGCTCGTGGCATGATACATGATATTTCCATCTTATCCACAAAAAGAACAGAAAATAAAATAAAAACTCCCCTCGATGCCCATGTAAGATTTAATGATTCCCTCAGTCTCTCTCAGCCGCTGTTCTCGCCAACATCACCGAGACATACTCCATTTCAAAGGCGTCGGGGCCCTCCAGGTCTGCACCGTATGGGCCTTGTCTCTCTCTCCTCGGCGTAGCCGGAGCTCTAGGTATGTCGGTGGTGGTATCATCATCCTCGTCATCCTCATTAAAGTGGAAGACGGTCACCTCCCTCTAAGAGAAATCTAGTCTTCTATTTGAGCCACCTTCGCCAGGCCCTCTCCGTGTCATCCACCCTCCCTCTTCAACTACCATGATGTCTTGATGCGGCTGATCGAGGTCAATATCAGCTTCCAAGCCCGGTGTTCCATCTGGTGTACTCGATCTGATGGGTTCGGGAGACATCATGATAACATCCTCGGGTGAATGCGTCATGCCCATTGTCGCCTCAGGAGACTCGTTGCCGTGCTCGTCGGAAGAATCATAACTTACCTCGGAATTCACGTCCTCTTCATCGCCCTCGCCCTCGTCGTCTTCTTCGTCGCTACTACTTCCGAATCCGGACATTAGAGCACCCTGGGTGATTGGATAAGAGCCAATCCCATTTCCATCTCCTTCATTCATTTCCATGCCCCCGTTGAGACCAGCCTCTGCCAGGGCATTGGATGCGCTGACCGTGTTTCCAAGACCTGAGAAGCCGATGCCGCCCAGTCCATTACCGCCAAGGCTAGCTCGGTGTCCTAAAGCCACCTCGGGTCTGACGCCGCCCAGAATAGCATTATCCCGCTCTCTTGTTTCTGCCAGAGCACCCTCTACGTAGTTGATCCAATCTTGGCTCATAACCTTGTCAAGGACCATCTCCGAGAGAAGCTCAGGGGGGTGACGCTCAGTGAACTTGACAACCTCTTCCGCTATGAGAGTGAGGTGGCCCATGTATCCCATTCGGGTTTTCGTCTTGGCCTGAGACTCGTCGCTGGCCTGTTGGCCCTTGATGATGGCGGTAGTGATGTCGGCAGCTTCAAACAGCGATACGGCCAAGGTTGGGTTGAAACTGCGATCCATGGGACCGTTGAATACTTGCTGCACAATGTCGTACACGACGTTGTGCAAAAAGTTGTTCCAAGGGTAAGCAAAGAAGAAGGACTGTTTTAATGTCAGTTTGATTTGATAAACGATATTGGTAAAATGGGGGGAAGAAACAGTCAAGTTTCAGGAACGTACCAAAATCGTTGGGACAACGCGATGCTCAACGAATTGCATCTTGAGAAAATCACCCACTACAGGCTCAAGTGTTTCCGCAGGGCCATCAAACGGCGGAGCAGCATTCATCCCAGGCTCTCCTGGCTGCGCCTCAGCTGGAGCAGCACCAGCCTCGGAGCTGTATGGCGGTTGCTGTACACCAGAATCAGGAGCGAGAGGGACCGAGAAAAGAGGGGCCGGGGTATCTTCAGGGTGAGGGGATAGGCCGCGGGATTTCTCGATGTCGTCAGGAACCAATTCGTCAACACTGGTATTGGCTACACCATCTTCGTCTCTGGGCAGTGGTGATGGCTGTAGCCCAGGCTTTGAGGATTTGACCTCGGTAGTTTCGGTTGGCTCGGAAAGTACAGGCTTAGCTGGCCCAGGTGTTTCTATGATGATGGGCCCGGAAAGAACCGTTGAAGTCGTCAAAGGTTGATCTTCTGCCTCAGTCGTGTCTTGTCCCTCGCTAGTTGCTGTGGTAGTCTCCTCTGCCTTTGCTGGTGCCAGCTCGGGAGCCTTGGCTTTGGTAGGCGAGAGTGGCGCAACAACCAGATCGGGTTCCTCGAAGCGCTGCTCGTTAATCTCTACAGAGTTTACTGATAGCCGAGGAGAGCTTAGCGGCTCGTCCACAAACTCGTCCTCATCCTTGTCGAGGAACGAAGATGAGGATAGATTCGCCGACTGAGCAATATCGTCTTCTGCTTTGATAAATTCGTGGGAAGTGTCCTCGTTCATTTCATTGGTGGGTTCCACTTCCTCAAATCCATCATCGTCTGCGTTTGTGACTTCTAGACGGCGAACTTCCTCATGGTGGGCTGGATGAGGAATGCGCATCGTCAAGTCGTCGGCAGACGACTCATCTTCTCGGGTGACGAGCTTGCCTTCGGCTCTGAGTCGCTGGCGCTCAGCGTCTCGTGCTGCGATCAGCTGCTCTGAGCCCATTTCGTTGAGCAGGCCCATGTTACTGCAGTGCAGCAGTTCTGCCATGAGCTCACAAGTCTTGAATCTGTCGAATCCGAGGGGCTCCAGCTTCTCGTTAAAGGTCGAGTCAACGCCCTGCTTCTTAGACTGTCCGTTCATAATCAAATTCATGAACCTGGGTACGTTTTGAGCAAAAAGGCGCAGCAGGTTGCCCAGATAGATGGGGTCGCGACTGGAAGGAACGGTATTGGCTTCAGTACCAACGTCCGGATCGTAATCAGAGTTGTTCTTTCGAATGACTTCGATAATGATACCAACGCCCACAGTCAAGGAGTTTCCGCCTTCAAGCATATATCCGATGAGCTGTTCGACACACGGGTTCGAAACAAGCTGGCGAGTGAGCTCATTGGGGCCGATACACTGCTGCTCATTCTGCGAGGCATTGGCGGAGATGGTGATCATGGCCTTGATGAAATCACTGGCGGCAGTTTGGACAACCCAGCTGTGTTCGGGGCCGAGAAAAGAGAGAAGCGTTGGGATGATGTCCTTGGAATACAGCCACTGGACGCATGGAATAGAAGGGTTAGAATCACATATGACAAAGAAGAGCACTCGTTGAACAGGGAATATTCTGGAAGCAAGGATCAACCAACCTCAACAACACCTTGGCCACCTTCTGTGCGATCAAGGGCAATGATCTTGAGCAATAAGTCCATGATCATGGGGCTCTCAACGTGGCGAAGCATATCGGGAATCACGTTGGGCAAGCTCCAGAGTAGCTCCATCATCTCCTCCGTCTTCTTCTCAAACAGCGATTCATTGACTTTTGTAAAGTAACTAGCCTGGAGCGGGTCCAATGGCGCGGGTCGAGAGAGGAAATCCCAAAAGGTTCGAATCAGCTGTCGATTCTCGACGAGGGCCTCGTAAATAGACCAGGTGTCGGAGCTTAGGACCTCGCAGGCGACATGGGCGTAGCGGTTGCGCTTCTTGTCCAGCTCCTCATCGCTCTCGCCGGGGTCTGTGGCGCGTGAAGATGCGCGAGGGCGTTGGAAGGGCAGCAAGCGGCCTCTGGGCTTGTTTTCATCGTCGGCGGACTCGTCAAGGCCCTGGACGGCCTCGAGCTTGGGGACAACGGTGTATTCGAGCAGCTTCTCGAGGACCTTGTCCTCACGCAGGAACTCGATGAGCTTGGTGTTGTGCTGCTTCAGTTCCTGTATCAGATCGGCCTCTTCGAGGAGCTCTTCCAGGGTGAAGTCGGGCTTGTCGAGGATGGTGTCGATGGTCGAGATGTTGGCGTAACCGCCGAACCGCCAGAACATGGTTGCGGATCGATGCTGCTGCGCCGGGCGAGGAGCGTCGCCGGCGTAGAGACAGACGAGGGCGTTATGGAAAGGGCGTTGGACAAGGCGAGCAAGGGAGAGACTGAGCTGCGGTGGTTGCACGCCAAATCCCAACTGTCGTGGGGTCGAGCAAATACGGCCCTAAGCAGTGGCCACGTCAACCCGGACAACGGCCACCCGAAGCCCGATCAAAAGGATATACGAAGAATAAAGGAGGGGATAAAGAGAGAGTAAGAAATCAGTTGATGAGAAGACGCAGGTGGTCGGGCATCCAGGCACGACGATGTGTCAGAAGAGAAGACGTCAGTCGGTTCGTCAGAGAGAGCTGCGGGAAACAGGCCAGGCCAAGCACAGCACGGCCGGCGAGTCGCAGCTGCAGGATTGCGGTTCCTGATGCAGAGCAGACTGGGCTGGACAGGGCAGCAAAAGCAAAGCAGCGCCCCGGTCTCGTTTGTGGTCGCCTGGAAGCACCTGCGCTGCGGTTTGCGGTGCGGATGTGGGAGCGGTGGAGGGGGGTTGCTGTTTAGGTTCCGAGTGTGGGGAGACTTTTTTATCGCGGGCGATAGAGAAGAGCCCTCTTCTTGCTTCTTATCTCATCCAGGTACGAGGAACTAGGGGGGGCTGCAGGTATCTGTGATGTACCTGGCTTAGGCGAGTTTAGTGGACTGCGGCGCCGATTACAGCAGCAGGTCAAGTGTTTGTAGGCGGGCAGGCAGTGCAGCATCAAAGTAGCATTGGCTAGGGGGTTATACGAGAACAAGGAGAGGTTCAACAAAATTGATATGTGGAGGAGAAGAGAACAAAGAGGGTAATTCATCAGAAAAGCTAGCAAGTGCATACTGCCACGCGTTGTATCCAGTCAGTGGCAATCTACCTGCCTTAGGTATTTGTGGCAACATCACAGCGCTGGGCTCTGTACCCCGATTTAAATCCGCTGTAAGTCGGTCGTCGCCGCTGTGGCCATTTATGTGCAGGTACGGATCCAGTACCTGAATCAGGCCTCAATGAAGGTATATCCACTAACTGACATCAGGGCAGTAGCAGCAACAACAACATTGCATATAAAATAGCCCATATGATGCAAACAGGAAAAGAGAGAAAAAGCAAGCAAGCAAGAGCTTTAGCCAGGGCTCCAATACCCTGAGCAGGCAAGTCAGCTAGGTATCCAGTCTGAACTATGATATGCGGTAAGAGTACAGCGTGGTACAAGAGCCGCTGATTGTCGCCGTTCATCGTCAAAGCTGATCAGGGGCAGCCACTCCAACCCATGACGCTGCATATGCGCGCATGGCAGACCTAGGGCCCAGGAGCATGTGCTCGCTTGTCGCCGAACTGCGGCTGGGCACATGGGATTGCTTGCTGAGAAACGCTAAACGGAGGATGTTGTCTCGGCTGTTGGCGGTTGCGATATATAGCGTCGTGCATGTTTCAGATTACTAGTATCCAGCACCTTGAAGTAGTATATGGATATTCCAAGATGAAGAGTCTTGAGTTCCTCGACGCTACGACTATTCTAAACGCATTTCAAGGACTATTAGTAATATCCCCAGCTTCGATTAGCAATGGGGTCCTATCCTTCAGAAAGCTGTCTGCGTCGTCATCTGCCAAATTGGGCTTTCATTCCTCTGTTGCAGGGTAGCGGCATGCCGCAGGGGTTACAGCAAATGCGAGGCGCTTCACACGCAACACGGCGGCTTGGTGTTTGATTTTCATTATCAATGCAGTGTTTTTCGTGTCTTTGTTCTTGTAATTGTTGGGGTGCAACTCGTAAGCATATTGATTCATCTAATAAGTAGAACTAATACGTAATTCTTAGCAGTTGTGCCAAGGCGAATAAAAATAGAACACATGCCACCACCACCACTTCCACATGCATGTGCGTTTAGCTAGGATCAGCTGCCTCGAACGCATAGCATTTATTCATATGCCGCATACTCATGAGATCTTATAGCCCATGATTTACATGTATTTCAGGCCTAGAGTTAACATACTGCGCAGAGCAGTAGTTCCCATTCTCTTCATCCTTCTTCTAAAACCATGCTATTATACATGACTTCAACCTAAATAACTGCAAAAACCCAAACGCTATGCTAATCAAATCATATTCACAAGCTGCAGCCCTCTATCAAGTTCCGTCTTGACAGCCTTAATCTGCGCCATGCCCTTCAACAGCACTCCTCTCCACCAGCTATACCAATCCGCCACCTCGCCAAGATCCGCCTCCTCAAGCGCAAGCCATTCCTGTAACCTGCTGCTCCACATGGGGAACATATCCTGCACCAAGACCTCTGCAAGCACTGTATCTCCGAGAACCTGGTTCCACTTCATGATGCCAACCAGAATGGGGAGGTAAGGCTCTTGCTCTGCAGGGTCGACGCGGAAATTGGTGCGCAGGTACTTCCCCATGGATGGCAAGACGTGTGACATGATGAGCGGCCGCCATTGGTCTCCCAAGACGTCCTTCCACTGCGTCAGCCCGGGCACAACGCCCCTTTCGAACTCCCAAGCGTCGATGAGATGTCTAAACTTTCTTCTGACATCTGCAACCAATCCCGTGCCCCTTGGATCGAGATGGTACGGAGGGAGATACTGAAGCCAAGGGAATAGCCAAGTGTGTGGGAGATGATGGCTCTGTCGCTTCTTCTTCGGATTCCAGTCTGATACGGCCGTTTCCAGCTTTCGAGCCACGTTATCAACTAACTGCGCCCGAACAAATGGCGGGAGTAAGTCTTTCCAGTTCTCCATGATGTCAAGCATCGGCGTGGGATTGAAGGGGTCCCAAGAACGAAGCGCCGTCAGTACTCGTGGTAGCCAATTCTTGTACATCATCGTCTCATACGGCGTGGTCGCCTTGTGGTGTGTCCGGTACACGCCATCATCTTGATTCGCGGAAGAATTCCACTTGTTGACAGATTTATTGGTATTTGCAGATGTGGTGAAGAGTCCAGACAGCTTTTGCAGGTCAGATGCAAATCGAGTTGGCTCTGTCATCGGATCCCAATCGGAATTGCGTATAAACGGGTGAATTGCAGCTACTGCAATATCTGCAATGGCATCATTCGCAGAGCCCAGATCAACGGCGGTTTGGAGAGCACTTATGACTTGCTCCCACTCCGTTGCGTCAACAAGCCGTTCCGTCACCACGTTTGCAAAGGTCTGCAGCCTCTCAAAGTCAGAACGCAAATCTTCGATTTCTTGTTCCCTCTGCTTGAGCTCCAAATTCACCCACGTCTTGCGTCCTTCTAGGTTCCTCCACTCTTCTGAAAAAGCCAGCAGATCCGCCTGTGCTCTTTTGGCGAGCTTCCTCGCCTCGACTACTTCGCTTGATTCAGGCACGCCGGATAAAGGTGTCATAATACCGCTTGTTGAAGTAAGTAGCTTGCCGCCTGGCCCCGTCATGTCAAGGATAGGGGCAAATGCATCTGGAATGTTCAAGCCCGGCGCGCTCTTCTTTAACTCTTCGGCTGTGAGGTATTTCGTCTTTTGTCTCATCGGGGTGCTTCCGCCGCTGCTATAGGCTACTGCTGCTCCCCGAGCCTTCTTCTTAGCTTTTCTGCGTTTCTTCTCTTCTTCGTCGGAATCGACAACCATCTCCCCACGCATCCGTGCTTGTCTCTTCTCTTCTTGGCGTTCTTGCTCTGACTTTTCCTTGACGGCGCCAAGACCAATACCTTGGGGCCGGAGGTTGGCTTCGATGATGATGTTTCGTCCTTCGCCTTCCTTACCTAGACCCTTGCCCTCAACATAGCCCATCTTTGCCATCATCCGGGCACCAAACGAATTTGCATTAATTTTCCCTTTCGTTGTGAACGCGCTCACTTGGGGTTTATTTCGAGGAGTGTCGTTTCCATTGTTCGTCTCTTTCAATACAGGATCTTTGGCTGACGAGGGGACGAAGCCGCCGCCAAGGATACCACCCGAATTGAAATTTGTCTTGTATGACGGCCGTGTGTTTGATTCTTTCTGCGCATTGTCTTCGCGCGACCTTTCAGCGGCTGCAAAGCGCAGCTTCATGGCCGCGTTGCCAAGCCCCAGTCCAGCTGGTCTGTCGTAATCATCTTCATCTTCGTCTTCGTCTTCATCCTCTTCGCTGTTTCTGTTATGGCTACCCAGACCGCTGCCCAAGAGCCGCTCTTCGTTTTCCGATTCGTTGCTATCATCTTGCTGCCCCGCGCCTTCACTCGTCCTTGACACGAAATTTACACCTTTGCTTCTCAAAGTCTTTTTCTTCCAACGCGAGTTCGGATTATCGTCTTCGCTATCGGAGCCGAAAATACCCAAGGCTGCTTTCTCCTTGCTGTTTCCGCCGACGCGCCGCTTCTTGCGGGGATTGAAGTCGCCAAAGTCATTGTCGTCGTCATTCAGTCCAGGGACGATGGGATCATCGGATTCCGACTCGTCAGACGATGAGTAGTCTGCGGCGGCAGTTTTGGCGTTGAGGGGGAACGGCGGTGCGCCCGAAAAGCGATCCATGTTGCGACCGTGTGGGGGGCGGAAGGAGAAGTATTACAACCGCTGGAGACTCTCCATTTGTTCGAACTGCCGGAATGCTTCGAACGATGACAGGCTGATAATGGGTGGAGCCTGGATGAAGCGAGGCTGCACCGAATCTTTGTCTGACGCGCCTGGAACTTTCTTGAAGATCTATCTTATCTCCACGTGATATAGAAATTTTTGGCGGGGGTTTAAAAGCGGTGAACAGTCGGCACCAGATTTGCACGTGCTTGTGACTTTGTAGATGGATTGGCACATGCTTTTGCACCCTTGCGTCATTGCTTGACTCACAGTCGGTGGATGTTGGGTACCTGCATCGATTGGGCAGCAATTGTGATGCTGGAAATGGGAAGAAAAATTTGTGTGCGAAGGGAGCTGCTAAATGCCATACCTAATTTGGTACCTAACTCGTAGCATCTCTCCAATGATGGCAGGGCGGAATACATGTGATGCTGATTTTCTGGGCTGTGTCGCGGGGTTGATGTCTGGTACTTTGTCAGGCGGCAAATGGGGGGTGCAGCAGCGCAAAATGTGTAAGTTTGGCAGTACCTGGCGCTACCAGGCGTTTCTTAGCACTGCTGCAGGTACTCTGTCTTTCGGATAGCGGTGTATCTTACCTCTGTAGCTTGAAGCTGTCTACTAGGTACCTACTATTAGCTGTCAAGGTGAATACGATAGTCTACACTCAGAGTCCGATATTAATGACAAGTAAGTGAACAGAAATGCAGAATCTCCTTTCATCTCTTCTTCTAGATACCTACTCTTGAATTATTTACACTACTAGTTCCTTGTATTAGCAGAAAACTCCTTGTTGATGCACCTGTGGATGGCTGCCGCGCCGCCAGTGCCACTTCAGGACAGCCCTGCCAGCTGATTGGAGCAATCAGGTGATGGGTCCCTCGATTTGTTGACTTTTTGTGGATGGCATGGGTTGCCCATCAACCCTCCACCAGCAACAGGGACATGCCACGGCAAAGCGAGCACAAGACTAGACACCGAGTTTCTGCAGCTTCGCGACGCATATCACGAATCACGAGACACGACGCTCTTGCCGGCGGCTTGCGCGTCTGAAGCAGCGCATCCGAAGCAGCGCATCCGCTACGAGTCCCGCTCCCATTGCCATCGCCTGGGACCTGCGACGACCCGCGAACCGCAAACTTCATTCACCGACAGCTGCCCCGCCTCCTCGTCTTTTGTACATACCGATATTATTTTATACAGGGCCCGCCGCGAGGCATCACCGACAGCTCAGCCGTGCATCCATTGCCTATCCTGATCCCGGTCGTCGACTCCAGCCTCCAGCACGGCAGGGTAGCTGACACCTGCGGCCGCGCTCCCCGGTACTGTTCGTTGAATCGTGCCAAGTAGCCTCCTGGACTGGATCTGTCGCCTAGCCTCGACTCCCTGACGCATTCACGCCAGCCTCTTCCAACGTCTGTGGTATGTCGTGAACTGTTTAAGACTCCCCTTCCTCTCCGCCGCATGGCCCATTTGCACGATGGAGTCGCGACGGCGTCACCCGTTCAAGAAGCTCATCCGCAGAATAGCCAGTCTAATTGACCACCGCCCAGCAGATTCTTCAGAGCAGAAGCATCCCCAGACCTCATCAGCATCGCGGCACCTTTCGCTGCCCTCCCTCGTCGCCATGGCAGAAGAGGAGGACTTCTCCTCCTTACCGCTCCCCGACCGCTTTTCACACAAGGTAGGTGCTTTGGAACAGACCTCGCCGAACCCTCTCCTGGCTGACCTGACTTGATTTTGTTTGACATGTAGAATTGGAAAGTCCGCAAACAAGCCTACGAGGATGTTGCCAAGCAGTTTGCCAAATCACCGGATGAGTCCGACCCGTGTTTCCGACCCTTTCTGAACGACCCGGGGCTGTGGAAGTCTGCTGTTTCCGACTCCAACGTGGCTGCCCAGCAAGAGGCCATTATCTCTTTGTGCGAGTTCCTCAAATTCGGCGGACGAGACGGTGCGTTGCGAACGCGTGGACTCACAATCAGCCCCATGGTTGACAAATGTCTATCATCAACGCGACCTGCTATCAAGCAAAACTCTCTCGAGGCATTGCTGCTATATATTGAGCTCGATGTTTCTGCTCCCGTCATCGAAGAAGTGTTACCCGGTCTTGGTAACAAAGTGCCCAAGAACGTGGCCGCTACTCTCAATGCCCTGACCCAGATTGTACACAACTACGGCTGCAAGGTTGTCGACCCGAAGCCTATTCTGAAAGCTCTACCCAAGGCTTTTGGTGCTGCCGACAAGAATGTGCGTGCCGAGGCCACTAACCTTGCCGTGGAACTCTACAGGTGGCTGCGTGAAGCTATGAAGCCCATGTTTTGGGGGGATTTGAAACCTACACAGCAAACCGATTTGGAGGCACAATTTGAAAAAGTCAAAGCCGATGGCGCTCCTAAACAAGAGCGACTACTACGGTCTCAGCAGGAGATGGCTGAATCTGGCGGCGGCGGCGGAGGCGAAGAAGGCGAAGAGGAAGGTGAAGAGGAGGCAGACGAGCCGGCCGAGATTGATGCTTTTGCCTTGGCCGAGCCGGAGGATGTACTGAAGAAGATGCCGCCAAACTTCCACGAGCTTCTTGCCTCGTCCAAATGGAAGGATCGTAAGGACGCCGTTGATGGGCTGCACCAAGTACTCAATGTTCCTCGCATCAAGGACGGCGACTTCAACGAAGTAACGAGAGGCCTTGCCAAGTGTATGAAGGATGCCAACGTTGCCGTCGTTACTCAAGCAGCCCAGTGTATTGACTTATTGGCGAGGGGATTGCGGCAGGCTTTTGGCAAACACCGCGCCACAGTGATGCAGCCGATATTGGAACGGCTAAAGGAGAAGAAGGCTACCGTTGCCGATGCTTTAGGAGGGGCCCTTGACGCTACCTTCTTGGCGACGTCATTGTCCGACTGCCTCGAAGATATCCTGGCTTTCCTGGCAAACAAGAACCCTCAGGTGAAAGAGGGGACAATGAAGTTCCTCATCCGTTGCCTGCGGACTACGCGCGATGTCCCTTCCAAGCCCGAAATCGCCCAAGTCTGCGAAGCCGGAAAGAAGCTGCTTTCCGAATCAAGCCCGGTCATGCGAGATGGAGGTGCTGAGATTCTTGGAACTGTCATGAAGATCATCGGCGAACGAGCCATGAATCCCAACTTGGAAGGCCTGGATGATATTCGAAAGACCAAGATCAAGGAGTACTTTGAGGCCGCTGAAGTCAAGGCCAAGGACAAGCCCAAGCCCGTTGCGAAGCCGGCTCCAGCAGCGGCACCGAAGAAAGCCGTTGCAGGCAAGAAGCCTGCATTGGGCGCAAAGAAAGCGGCTCCTGCTGAAGCCCCTGCAGCAGCTCCGGCAGCGAAGCCCGCAGGAAGCAAATTGGGCCTACCAAAGACGGGCGGCTTGAAGGCCCCCCAGAAGCGGCCGCTTGCAAGTTCTGGAACTACATCACCTCGCCGATCCGGACCAATTATGCCACCGTCTGACGATGAAGAAGAGCTGCCGCCAACACCGCAGCCAAGAACTGCGCCTTCTCGTGGTCTGACAGGTCGTTCCCTGGCCAAGCCTGCTGCGGCCGCTGTGCAGATGCCTGCTGAATATTCTCCTCCTCCTCCAAGTGGCCTTTCCGCCATAGAGAGGGCTGAGCTGGAGGAATTGCGGACCGCCAATGATCGCCTAACTCGCCACATCGACGACCTGCGACAGGAACGAAGCAAATTCGCGTCGGAGATTCAAGAGCTGAAGAATCAGAATGCCAGCCTCATCGAGGACCACACACGGGATGTATTGAGTGTCAAAGCCAAAGAAACCCAGCTTGTCCGTGCTCGAAGCGATGCAGAAGCGGCAGAGCAAACCAATGACAGATTACGGCGTGAGCTAGACCGCCTAAAGAAAGCGCTCAGCCGTGCTGAGGCAAACGGTAAGTTTCATTGCCTTCTAGGTACCTCTATTTTCTGCGCTGATATCTGACCAACCGAATGCAGGCATGAGATCGCCAACACATGATGATATGTATCGTGATACCATGGCTGCCCCTAGCACCCGCAGTAGGATGAGCCTTGCTAGCAGCCTATCCGATGAGAGGGAAAATGGCGATGCTCCATACGCACGAAGCAAGCTAAGTCCGGACCTGCGCTACGCGGACAGTAACGGATCGTCTGGCCGTGAATCTCCTGCTCGAGGTTATAGAAATATTGGGCGGCATGACGATGGCAGCGATTCTACCTTGACGTCAGGCAGAGACCGCCCAGTATCATCGTTGCCGCAGGCCTCAAACGGAGTAGAGAGCTGGAGGCGAGCAGCTGAGGTAACAAGCCAGTTGAAGGCCAGAATTGAACAGATGAAGGTATGCAAAGAGACGTCTTCAAAAGGTCTTGATTGTCGACTTCTAACATTCAGCAGGCCAAGCAAGGATTTGCCAGACCTTAGGAAACGAATCACGAACTTGATGGATACGATCAACAAAGCATCACGATATAAGAGATTCCTTGTACTTGATGACAACCTGTGATATTGGTGAAACAAACATACGTACAGAATCATTTGCTGGGCCACGCTACATAGCTTGACATGACGAAATCTTGTGTGCATTTTTAGGCGTTGGAACCCATACCCCCTCTTTTTTTTAAAAAGGAGAAGGAGAGAGAAAAGAAAAAGATATTTGGTTGTTAGAAGTATACTGCAGACAAAGTGCTTTGGGAAACCTCTTGGCGTGAGAGGAAGACACATATAGGATTGAAGGTTGAAAGGTATGGATGATGCTGCCTGAGCAGCAACCAAAGGGGCCTTTTATTATGCCAAACTTGAACGGCTGTGGTGCATTTTAATTTACGAGTTTTTTTTTGTCCTTTCCGCATTAATATGTATGTGTGGGCGGGATAAGGTGAAACTGCTTTGTTGGCTGGTGTCAAGATTGTATGAAAAGGCAGGAAGACGAACTGAAATTAGGTAGTTTATTAAACTGCTGCAATGAAGCTAATTGGCTATGAATGCATCAAGAATAATCTGAAAGTTGGTTGTTTCTGGTGGTTTATTTCTTCTTCTTGCTGTCTTTCTCAGACTTGTCTTTGCTCTTGTCGTCGCCCTTGCTCTTGTTGTTGTCTTTGGACTTGTCGTCATCCTTGGACTTGTCGTCCTTGGCTTCGTCTTGTTGGTTGCTGTCGGTGTCGTCGTTTCTGTCTTCACTCTTGTTTTTCTCATCGCCTTCATCCTTCTCATCACTTTCATCCTTCTCATTACTTTCATCCTTGTTGTCCTTTTGATCCTTGTCATCTTTCTTCTCGTCCTTCTTCTCGTCCTTCTTCTCGTCGTTTTTCTCCTTATCATCATCGTTTTTCTCATTGTCATCGTCCTTCTTCTCCTTATCATTGTCGTTTTTCTCATTGTCATCGTCGTTCTTCCCCTGGTCATCTTCTCCGTCGTATTTTTCATCTTTCTTCTTGTCTTTACCATCATCGCCCTGTTTATCTTGTTTACCCTTCACATCTTCCTGCTTCTTCTTCTTTTCAGCCTGTCCCTCTTCTCTAGCCTTCTTGGCCTTTTCCTTTCTATTCTTCTCTATCTCTTCCCTCTCCAATTTGGCCCAGTCTGTGTCCTTGTCGGCAAGGCCCGGGTCCTCCAACCGCGCCTTTGTACTTTTCTGGTCGAGCTCTCCACGCTTAGAAATCTTGGCGCGGCCGACGAGCGAGACGAAGATGGAGAGGCCGACCATGGCCGTGAGGAGGAAGCGGTATTTTCCGTACCACGGGGGTGCCCATCCGCGCTTTGCGGCGCGGGAATCGGCGTAGTAGAGGGCGACAAAGGCGCCGAATTGGGCCGTCAGGGCGTATTCGAGGGGCATCATGAGCGTGGGCCAGGCGAGGATGGAAGCGCCGAGACCCATTCCGTAGCGGAAACGAGTGCGGTCATGCTGTGGCTTCTTTTCTGCGTATTCGAGACCCTATGTAATAAAAAATGTCAGCTATTTCGGGCTTCCAGGTGGTAAAAGCAGGTGGAAGGGCGTACCCAGTGAATGGCTCCGAGGAACGAGATGATTACGGCGCCGTATCCGAGCTGCAGAGGCTCGATGAAATCAAGCAGATATTTTGCCGTGTCGTGTTCTAGAAGAATGTGGTCGAGAATTCGGTTGCCACTTGGGACGTCCTTGTTGAGATTCCAAGCTAGGAAGACGGTCGAGAGAGAGGTGGCGAGATAAGGAACTGTTCCTGATAGACCAAGAATGTGAGATTCTCGGGGGACCGTATCCAGACGGAACGTATCTTTGACCATGTCCTAAGAAAAGAACACTTGTTAATTTTTAAATGTTACGTGAAGCAGTAGCTTGAGCATTTCGTACAATATCGTGCTTGAGACCCGCGTTTACTTCTACGGCATCTTTCTTTCTCTCATCGGGTTCAAAGACGCTCCGGACGCTGCTGGTGGTGGAAACATGCTCGCTCGACTCAAGTTTCTTGGGGGGAGGCTTTGGAGGGTCGTCGGAAGAGCTGGAAAGACGGATTGTGTTGTATAACGGACGCCGTTGTGCGATTGACGATGGTCTTGGAGAAGCGAGTTTTGCGCCGAGTATCCGCCCCGGGGATCGCAGCAATGGTGAAGCTCTGAACATGGCTTTGGAGGCGTTTTGAAGTGGTTATCTGAAAAAGGAAATGTTCATTCGAATCGAACAAAGGAAATATACAAAAATGGACGTATCGCGGGGAGAATCTACATGCAGCAGGAGATGGATAAGTGTAAGTGGGCTTGTCTCAGCTCTTCTGGACCATACTATTTGGGTTTATTATCTTGATTGTCCCTTTTATTTAAAAGTTCAGCTGCGATCAGAATTGAATCGCAATTACTTGATAGGAAATAAATACGATAGGTTAAACAAGAATCCGATCAGCGCGAAATGGAAAGCAGTGATGCTATGATGACATTGCTGGGATGGTGGTCGTGACGTAATGGCCACATGCACTGGGGTATGACGGCGGGAAAAACGGGAGAGGCTGCCGAAAGGTCGGATTTGAATGGCTATAAGTGTGATAAAATGGAGAAGGACGTTTGAATGAAGGAGACTTTGTTTTTAGCTTTATGGAGGTTGTGGCGGTGCTTTTGAAGCTGCTGTAGCAAACAGTTCCCTATGGGGTTTCTGGATTTTTTGCTGATGCTGTTGCGTCCGGCACTTGCGATATGCCGAGATAGAGATGATGGAAATAAGTGAAACCCTGCTGAAAAGGTTCCTTGATTTATCAAGATTATCAAGCTCGTCCGGGTCTACGGCATTCGAAGTTTGCACTGCAATCTCAATTGATATTTAACTCGGCTTTAGTAGAGGCCTTCTCGTGGCGAGGCAGGTTGTTGGCCAAAACAGGAAATAAGCCCAATAAGGCACGAGGGAGCTGTCGAAATCTCGGAGCCAGTACGAGGTACCAGCACTCCACCAGTTTACGGCATGCATGTGGTCGCGAAATTTATGTTTGTATGTACAGAGTCTGGTTACTTGTTTCGCATTGATGGTTTAATTAATTCCCTCCATTAAGAGGCCTTCCCAGGTGTTCATGTCCACGTCAATCACACCAACACTGAACTCGACGCCTTAATAGCAATTGGCCGGCGTCGAACTGGCGGGGCAGCCCTTACGTCATCGCCATCCATCATGGACACTGGACGACAGGGGGCGTGTCGCTATATCCAGGAGGACCCAGCGGGCTGTACCGCCTGTAGCAGGTACCCGACGGCGCTGCAGCTGCCCGCGAGCGACCTGGAGCGCGCTGGAGCTGCGCTACAACACGTCCCTCTCGTGAGATACCTGATGGAGTTCCTGCCATCGATCGATTGACGTCGTCGATCTGTACTCGTGGCCCAAACACCAACACTGGAACTACACTCAAGACAATTTTTCTGGTCTCTCAGTCCTTCATCCAGATCTGCTACCTACCGCACTGCACTCGCACCGCCTCGCACACCTCAGGCCTGATTCTTTGCGACTCGTCTGTTTTCTTTGTGCCTCTGCCCCTCCTGTCAGGCTGCGACGCATGAACGCACTCCGCTCTGCCTACAGCCGACGCCTACGAAATCACTTCGCTTCGCGCCCAATCTCCCCACTTTGAAGCGGATTCTACAATTGTTTGCTTCTCCCTCTGCCTCTCTCGCTGTGACTCGGGAACTCACAAAGCAGCAGCTCACAGGCACCAGATCGCGGCCGCGAACGACTCAATCGACCGGCGAGCACTCTGTGCAGAGCCTCCTCCCCCCCCCACCGCCAATGTCCTTCCCATAGGCCCTCGACCGACAAACTCTCTCCAACGCTCGTATCCCCGGCCCGGGTTACGGCATAAAACACCGGCAAGATGTTGGAAGGACTCGTCGCCGGCTTGCTCAACCGCTTCCTGGGCATGTACGTCAAGAACTTCGATCCCACACAGCTCAAGGTTGGCATCTGGTCCGGCGACGTCAAGCTGCGAAACCTCGAGCTCCGTCGAGAAGCCCTTGATCAGCTCAAGTTGCCCATCAACGTCATCGAGGGGCATCTGGGCGAGCTGACCCTCTACATTCCCTGGTCCAACATTCGGGGCGCTCCGGTCAAAGTCTTTATCGAAGACGTATACTTGCTGGCGAGTCCCAAAGAGGAGGCCGAATATGACGAGGATGAGGAGCAGCGGAGGAAACAGAGGCTCAAGATGGAGAAGCTGGAGAACGCCGAGCTGCTGAAAGAGCGCAGCAAGGCTGGCATGAGCCAAGAAGAGCAGAAGAAGAACCAGAGCTTTGCGCAGAGCTTGGCCACCAAGATCACGGACAATTTGCAGATTACAGTCAAGAACATTCACATTCGATACGAAGACTCCATCTCTGCGCCTGGCCACCCATTCGCCCTCGGTGTCACGCTTGAACAGTTTAGCGCTGTCAGCGCCGATGGCCACTGGACGCCGTCCTTCATCCAAGACTCGACAAAAACGACACACAAGCTCGCAACGCTGGATTCTTTGGCCGTGTACTGGAACACCGACTCAGAGCTCTTCACCAATGGCCGCGACCCAATATCTCACGAGGACATGGTCAGCAAGTTTAAGAGTACGCTTGCCAAGGTCCACGTCGTCGACTCGAGCAATCAGTTCATTTTGAAGCCTGTCAGCGGACAAGCAAAGATCGAGCTGGATAAATCTGGAGCTATCGAAGCGCCCAAGTTCAAAGCCACCCTCTTGTTCGACGAGATTGGTGTTGTATTAGACGACGACCAGTACCGGGATTCATTGATGATGGTGGACCTATTCCACTACTTCATTCGCCACCAGGAATATAAAGCACTGAAACCAAAGGGCGTCACTCCAAAGGAGGATCCCCGAGCTTGGCTGCTATTTGCAGGAAATGCCATCTTGGGTAAGATTCATGAGAGGAACCGTAAGTGGTCTTGGGATTACTTCAGAGAGCGCCGCGATGATCGTAAACGGTATATCGAGCTATTCAAGAAGAAGAAGCAAGGACTTGCTTTCGAAGCCGAAGAAACGGAGACTTTTGATAAGCTTGAAACGAAGCTTAGCTATGAAGACCTTAGATTCTGGCGCTCGTTAGCCCGCAACCAGCTAAAGAAAGAGAATGCAGCTGCCCTGAGCAAGCAACCTCAGCAACCACAGCAGCAAGGTTGGGTTGCCTGGATGTGGGGCTCCAAGCCAACGGGGACCATTGAACAAAACGAGGAGAACACGCAGATGACGGAAGAGCAGCGTAAAGAGCTGTACGAAATGATCGACTGGGATGAGAAGACTGCCCTCGCCGAAGAAGTTGATGTCCCACGTGAAGCCGTTAACATGTGCATTGAGGCATCACTCAGAACCGGCAGCTTTACGCTAAAAAAGAGTCCTCACCACAATACCATGGATCTTCTCAGCTTGCACTTTGACGTATTCAAAGCCAAGGCTCTGCAAAGAAAAGACTCAGTCCTAGCTAGTATCAGTCTGGGCGGCCTACGCGTCAATGATGGCACAACTCCCGACAGTCTTTACCCAGAAATTGTTCGAGTCAAAGACGCCCAACAGCGCAAGGTCATCTCGCTTGAGGAACTAGAAACTACTGACGAGGAACCGTTTTTCGAGTTTGAGATTGAACAGAACCCTCTGGAGCGGGAAGGTGACATCGCGATTGTAGGCAAGCTGAAGCCTCTCGAAGTTGTCTGGAACCCCAATTTCGTTGTGGGGGTTGTTGACTTTTTCCGGCCTCCGGAGAGGCACATGGAGTCTATTGCTGCTTTGATGGAGACTGCCGGTGCTACGGTTGAAGGCCTCCGTGAACAAACGCGAGTAGGCCTGGAGTTTGCACTGGAGGAGCACAAAACTATCAACGCCGAGCTGGATCTACAGGCACCGCTCATCATCATTCCAGTTAGCATCACTACCGAGCGCTCGACGTGTCTTGTTGTAGACGCAGGTCACATGCACGTCAACAGCCAGCTGGTCGACGAAGAGACATTAAAAGAGATCCAAGCCAAACAGCGCCAGTCGTACAACGAAGAGGACTTTAAGCGCCTTGAATCTGCCATGTATGACAGATTCATCGTCAAATTTACTTCAACTCAAGTCCTCATCGGGCCCTCCATTGAAGAAGCCAAGTCTCAATTGACCAGTAAATCTGGTGGATCTCCTCTACATGTAGTGGAAGAGATCAATGTCGATTTTGTGGTGGCAATGTCAATTTTACCCAAGGCACCTAACCTCACCAAGCTGAAAGTCTCTGGCCATCTGCCCATGTTGCATGCCACGGTCTCTGATACCAAGTACAAGAACTTGATGCAGATTATCGACGTTGCAATACCAAAATTCGGCAAGGAGACGGAACAAACCGTTGCACCTACTCCTGGAAGACCACCGTCCTCACGGTCTTCACGACCACGGCTGGGCAGCAGTGCTTCTAGCCGATCGGCGCTCAGGTCGATGCGTAACCGCCGACAATCTGCATTCCCATTCCTGCAGTCATCTACGGCAGTCATCTTGGAGGATATTGATGACGATGACGACGACGACTTCGAAGATGCTGAAGACGGGAGTCATAGCGAGCAGTTCAAGATGCAGCAGCGGAGCTTCGAGTTCAACTTCAAAGTAGACACTCTAAAGGGCTCGCTTTATCGAAGCGATCCAAACAGAGCGAACCCCGATGCTCTGCTTGTGGAATTAGTGGCGGAACGCTTTGATCTATCCTTCTACACCAGGCCCTATGACATGGCAGCGGAAGTTTCCCTTGGGTCGGTAACAGTGGACGATTTTGTCGATAACCCGCCGGCTGAATTCAAATCTATCGTGTCTTCTGGCGACCGAGAGGATCTTCAAGCTGGGCGAAGCCTTGTTCATGTAAAATTTGTGCGAGTCAATCGCCTATCCCCAGAATTCATGCCTGTGTATGAGGGTGTAGAAACAAACATTACCACAACCATATCTACCATAAACCTGGTAGTCACCCGGAAGACTCTCCTCACCCTGCTGGACTTTATTCTCGTCACATTTACAAGCAACAATGGCGACGGACAGGCGAGCCAGGCTGCTCCTGCTCAAATTGGCAATACCGAAGACGACCTAGCTGTAGGACCCGTCGTTATTGAAGAGCCGGTACAGAATGTGAACGCTACGAGCTCGATCCGCGTCAAGGTGGAGCTGAAGAGTATACGACTTATCTTGAATAACGATGGTATCAAGTTGGCAACCCTTTCTTTCAACCACGCTGATGCCGGTATCTTCCTTCGAGGTCAGACGATGCGAATCTCGGCCAAATTGGGCGACCTCTCCCTCATCGACGACGTCAATCTGGGTGTTTCAGAGGATTCTCATCTCCGAAAGCTCGTTACTATTCAGGGGGATGACCTTGCTGATTTCCGATACGAGACTTTTGATTCTCAAAATCCCCAAGCGTACCCTGGATATGACAGCTCAATCTTCCTGCGTGCGGGCTCCGTCAAGGTCAATTTTGTAGAGGAGCCTTTCCGCAAGATTATCGACTTCTTGGTCAAGTTTGGGAAGATGCAGGCACTGTACAATGCTGCACGCCAAGTTGCCATGAATAGAGCCAACCAGATACAGCAAAGCCCAAGCAAAATTAAGTTTGATGTTGTGGTTAACACGCCGATTGTCGTCTTTCCGCGCGCCGTCATTCCTGGTCGCCCCCAGCGTGATCTCGTCACGGCTTACCTAGGAGAAATTTATGCGCAAAATAAGTTCGTCCCTCTTGATGACAGCAGCAACGCCAATGTGGCCATGAAGATTTCTACAGGAATCAGGAACATTCGCCTTACTTCAATCTTCCATTATGCTGATGGCAAATCTGAGGAGTTGGAGATGATTGACCACGTCGACCTTGGGTTTAACATCACCCACGCTGAACATACCAGTGGCGTGAAACGGCCAGATACTGAAATCGAAGGAACAGTATCTGACATCAAGCTCCAGATAAACCAGCACCAACTCAAATTCTTGATGGAGATTTCAAGGGCCGTCCCCGCTGCTTTTGCTGGGGACGGCGATGCCAACGTGGAGGCCGAACGACTTGTTGACAACCAGACTCTGGAGCGCGCTAAAGCCTCGCCAGCTGATGACGATCAGTCTACGAATGAGCAACCGCTAGTTGATCTTAGTCCTGAGCTGGGTTCAGCTTCTAGCGTGTGGACCAAGCTGGATTTTGTATTCAATGCGAACACCATAGGCCTTGAAATCATCATGGCTCCGGACGAAGGGCCAGTCAAAGATGTAGCCGCCTGCAGCCTTTCACGCTTCTCTCTTGACGAAACTCGAGTCAAGACAAGAATGATGTCTGATGGCTCAATCGAAGCTGAGCTCCTTATCCGCTCTTTCACAATCTACGACAGTCGTCCTAGGGATACGAACAAGTTCCGCCGAATCATGACGTCTTCCAATAAAGAGGCGCAACAGTTGATGGCCAGCGTGACAATATCTGGTGGGCAAGAGCGTAATATCATTGCGATAGCCACCATTGACAGCCCTCGCGTCATTTTTGCCCTTGATTATCTCTTTGCCCTTCAGAAATTCGCTACCGAAGGATTGACGACGCCAGAGGAACCAAGTCTGGTGGAAACTGAAAGTATTCTGAGCTCTCCTGAGGAATCTGATACGGAGTCGATGCAGGTCACATTCTCGCAGCGACCGTCGATCAGTTCCCCACGACCTAGCATGTCTCCAGGAGAAGAAGCGCAGCAGAATACTCAAACTCCGATGAACATCGCCTTCCGAGTCAATCTTGTAGATGCTCAAGTCATCTTAATCGCTAATCCCTTGAGCTCCAACTCGGAAGCGATTGTTCTTGGAATTCGCCAAGTCCTTCTCTCAAAGCAGCATGCCCTTACTTTCCAGATTTCCGAAATTGGCATGTTTTTGTGCCGGATGGATAGGTTTGAGACTTCTCGCTTGAGGATTGTTGATGATTTCTCAGTCCAATTGGGCATGGATTCTCCGGATGCGAACTCGACAGACATCCATATTGAAATTGAGCCACTTATCCTAAGACTCTCCTTGAGAGATATCCTACTTGCGCTCCAGATTGTGGGAAGGGCAGGAGAACTATCTGGGAGTGACTCCAAGGAACCAAAAGAGTCAGCTGCCGATCAGAAGGCCAAGCAACTGCGGTCCAAAGCCAAATACAAGCGCGGTGATGCCTCAACGGCAAAGAGTAATACCATAAAGACAGCCTCCACTTCGGCGGCTACGAGAGCGGTAGCTCAGAAGCCGTACTCTCCCCCGAAGAATGAAAATCTGTCTGCTACTATTGATGGTATTCGAATCGTGCTAATTGGCGATCTCCACGAACTTCCTATCCTTGATATTGGAATTCAGAAGTTCACTTCGGTCGCCGAAAACTGGTCGTCAAATCTCAAGGCTGAAGCTGCCATTGACATGTACTCCAACGTGTACAATTTCGCAAAATCAAGCTGGGAGCCTCTTTTAGAGCCATGGCAAGTTGGCCTTGGAGTGGCAAAGGATTCCGTCAGTGGACTTCTCTCCGTCGACGTCGTGTCAAAGAAGACGTTTGATGTCACAGTTACAACAGCAACAATTGCATTGGCTTCCAAGTCATTTGACTTCTTGACAGGATCCGAGAATGTCCTTGACAAGCCTCGAGGCGTTGAAGCCCCATACAAAATCAGAAACTACACGGGCTTCAATGCTGTTATCCACTCCAAGAGTCCTATAAGCTCTGAGCCTATTACACTGCAGCTCGAAGATGGCCAAGAAGCCCCGTGGAGTTTTGAAAATTGGGAGAAGATGCGAGAGAATATTCTTGCAGAGTCACATCAAAACGATGTTGGCATTCACCTTGAAGCAAGCGGGTTCGACCTTATCAAGAATGTTTGCCTCAACCGCGAGGGTGAATTTTTATACAGCCTACGTCCCAAGACCGACAATGTCTTGCATAAGCTTTGTGTGGAAGTTAATCTAGGAGCCGACAATGTCAAATATGTCACGCTTCGATCCCCGCTCGTCGTCGAGAACGCTACCCAGATTCCTGTGGAACTCGGTATTTATGACGCTCAAGATGGTCACCTTCTCAAGATTGAAAAGATTGCTCCTGGCGATTCACGACCTGCTCCTGTTGGAGCCGTGTATGAGAAGAGGGTTCTCGTGAGACCGGACAGTGGATTCGGATATCAGTGGAGCGCGGAGCAGCTCTGGTGGCAGGATTTGCTGAAGCGCCCGACGAGGCAGCTGGTCTGCAAGGGTGAAAGTGGTGATCCGTTCTACTTCCAAGCGCACGCGTCGTTTGATAGGTCGAATCCCAATACTGGGTAAGCTTGGACTTCTTATTTCTTATCTACTAACTAGGTAAGCTGTTACTGACGTTTCTTCCATCTAGATCGTACCCGTACATGAAGATTAAGCTGTCTGCACCCGTTACTCTCGAGAATCTTTTGCCATATGACTTCAAATATAGAATCTACGACAAAAACACAAAGAAGGATTGGTCGAATTTCCTTCGCAAGGGTGGCGTTAGCCCTGTCCACGTTGTCGAGCTCTCTCATCTTCTTCTGCTCAATATCGACATGCAAGATACTGTCTTCAAGCCAAGCGATTTTGCTATCATCAACTCCGGTACAAACGAAGATTTCCGCAAAGAGTCACGCATTGTAGTCAAAGACGACCAAGGCCTTTCCCTCAACCTGAGTCTTCACTACCACAAGGTTCCTCAGAGTGGTGGCGCTTTCAAGGTCACAGTATACAGCCCCTACGTCATCCTCAACAAGACTGGATTGGATCTTACAATCAGGGCAAAGAGCTTCCTCCAACAGGCAAAATCGGCTGCTGGTCAATACCCGCTCATTGATACCTCTGAAAATGGCCGGCCCAAAGCGCTGCCGTTCATGTTCTCATTTGGTAGTAGCGATGATACCCGCAATCGAGCTGTGCTCAAGGTAGCAGACTCTGAATGGAGCAAGCCTCAGAGTTTTGACGCGATCGGCAGCACGTCTGAAGTCATACTCTGTCATTCCTCCAACAGGAGCAAAGAAATTCACTTGGGTATAACAATCCAATCTGGCGAAGGAAAATACAAGATGACAAAGGTTGTCACGCTCGCGCCACGCTTTGTGCTCAAGAACAAGCTGGATGAAGAGATTTTGATTCGAGAATCTAGTTCGTCGGGCTACATGACACTCGCGCCTGGTGCTCTGCAACCGCTTCACTTCATGCAAAATTCTACGGTCAAGCAGCTGTGCCTCTGCTTCCCGGGAATGAATAATCAATGGACGTCTCCTTTCAATATTGCTGACATTGGAGTTACTCACGTCAAAATTGCCAAGGCAGGCCAGCGTCAACGCCTCATTAGAACAGAGATTCTTTTAGAAGACTCGACTATATTCCTGCACTTTAGTGCTGAGACAAAGAACTGGCCTTTTTCGATGAGAAACGAGAGCGATACCGAGTTCACGTTTTATCAAGCAAACCCCAACGTTGAAGAAGACGATGTAGAAGACCGAAGCGGCTGGAAACCTATCCGATATCGCCTGCCACCTAGGAGTATCATGCCTTATGCGTGGGATTTCCCAGCGGCTAAGTTCCGAGAGGTGGTCATTGCTACGGCTGGCAAGGAGCGGCACGTCAAACTGGCAGAGATTGGCAATCAGTTCCCAATGAAGTTTACAAGTCAGAATGGCACTCAGAAGATCATTGATATCAATGTTGCTGCAGACGGGCCCACGCAGACGCTCATTTTGAGCAACTTCCGTCCAAGCCAAAGTTTGTACAGACAAAAGACCCTGTCGAGAACGAATACTGGACCCGAAGCTTTTGAAGTCAAAGATCAGAATACCGGCGCGACGTTTATGGCTCAGCTTAAACTGTCTGGCGTGGGCATTTCTTTTATCAACTCTCAACTGAAAGAGCTTGCTTATATCACGTTCAGGGATGTTCAGTTGCGCTTCTCAGACTCGCCAGTGGTTCAGACTGTGTCGTTGGCCATCAAGTGGATACAGATTGATAATCAGTTGTATGGAGGACTGTTCCCGATGGTATTATACCCCAGCGTGGTGCCTCAAAAAGCACAAGAGATTGAGGCTCATCCATCGCTGCACGCCATGGTAAGCCGAGTGAAGGACGACTCGTACGGTGTGCTCTACATCAAGTACGCAAGTATTCTACTGCAGCAAATGACGATTGATCTCGACGAAGACTTTGTGTTTGCTCTCTTGGACTTTTCGAACATTCCTGGAGCCAGCTGGAGTACGGAGGAAGAAGAAGGCAAGCTTTGCGATGAAGATTTGGACATTCCAGAGCCGAGTGAGCGAGAATCTGGCCAGGACATTTATTTTGAAGTTTTGAACATCCAACCGATGCAAGTGGATCTCAGCTTTATGCGTACCGAGCGCATCAATGTTGAGGACAAAACTTCTACTCACAATCCGCTCATGTTCTTCATGAACGTGATGACGATGGCTATTGGTAATGTCAACGATGCGCCGGTGCGATTTAATGCACTCATACTAGAAAATGTGCGGGTGTCCACACAGGTGCTTATCCAAAACATTTCCAACCACTACAGCCAAGAAGTCATGTACCAGGTTCACAAGATTCTGGGCTCTGCCGATTTCTTGGGTAATCCGGTAGGCTTATTCAACAACATCTCGTCAGGAGTGAACGACATCTTCTATGAGCCATACCAGGGTCTTATCCTTTCCGATAGGCCCGAAGAATTCGGCATGGGCATCGCAAAGGGTGCTGCGTCGTTTGCCAAGAAGACTGTTTTTGGATTTTCCGACAGTTTCTCCAAGTTTACTGGTAGTTTGAGCAAGGGCCTTGCCGCAGCGTCCCTGGATAAACAGTTCCAGGACCGACGACGAATTACCAGGGCAAGGAACAGGCCGAAGCATGCATTGTATGGTGTGGCGGCTGGCGCAAACAGCTTGTTTACGAGTGTGGCATCTGGAGTCGGTGGGTTGGCACTCAAGCCTCTGGAAGGTGCTGAGCAGGGAGGTGCTTTGGGCTTCTTCAAGGGCGTCGGCAAGGGTGTGCTGGGATTGGCAACCAAGCCGGCAGTGGGCATTCTCGACATGGCCAGCAATGTCAGTGAAGGCATCCGCAACACCACGACGGTATTTGATGGGAATGAACTGGAACGCACACGACACCCTCGTTTCGTACCCAGCGATGGAGTCGTGAGACCTTATAGCTCCAGAGAAGCACTTGGACAGTACTGGCTGAAACAGGTGGACAACGGGCGATACTTTGACGAGCAGTACATTGGGCATCTCGAACTGCCCAAGGAAGACATGGTCGTGATGGTGACATTTTCGCGTATTCTGCTGATTCGATCTCGGCGACTGACCAGCGAGTGGGACGTACCGCTAAAGGACGTTCAGACGATTGCAAAGGAGCGCACGGGTATCAGTCTGTCTCTGAGGGATGGGGCGAATGGGCCGTTTATTCCCGTGGGAGGAGGTAGTGAGAGGAGCTTCTTGTATAAGATGCTTGGGGTGGCTGTGGAGGAGTTTAATAGGAGGTTTAGGGGGAGTGAGAGGTGATGGTGAAAATGATGCGTGTATTGTATTTTAGCAGTATGTTATGAGTATTTTTATGAAATGACTATGATGATTGTGTTAAAGCGATGTTGTCATTTTGGATACTTTGGATGAATGTGACCGTTAAACTCACCAGACTGCACTCATCAGCTTGCTATCAAGCCTCAGAAGTTCGATGATTCCTGTGGTGTTCCTTGTCATTATCAGGCTAGAGCTCTCATTTCAACTTGGGTTTCAAAAACATTATTCTGATAGTATGAGAACGTGGGATTACATGGAATGTTCGAGCAAGACATTAGGCCCGATATCCTATCTCTCAATGCTCATCTATAAGAAAGTGGTGCAAGGTTCAACGATGGAAGTGTCTGTGAATGCATGCACTACTGCCGAAATGCTAGCCTTTGAGAAACTTTACTTTATCAAGGAACTTGTCGATATGTTTGTTCCATTGTGCATATCCGCCTTAATGGTGAATTATCTTCCATTTTAGCCTGGATTATAAGTCAAATGTGACAACTCAGGCATGATACGCTCGTCCCCGTCTCGTAGAAGGCTAACATCATTGAAAGGTATTTATTTGTAACGAACAGACTATCGCTTTTATGGTGTCTGTTTTACGAATTCTTCACTAGCTGCGTATCTTATTGATTGGCATTGGCTTGAAGTGGTGAGCTGGGTGAGCTGTAAATTCCGTAAGTTATCTGATGAGTGTAGTGGAGGTTAGTTGTAACTGTTTAGCAGAATGAGGTATAGCTAACTAGGTGTATTGGAAACTAGCTAGCCATTAGATATCGGAGTTTACTGTCAGATACGAAGAGAGTTGTAATGGTTCTTAAGTCAATCTTGTGAATAAGGCTAAGAGCCTCTGTACTCATCTTTCTCCCAGAATGGTCGACGTGTCGACTCTTACTAGAAATTATGTGCAATAGACCAATCATGATTTGGATACTCCACGAAAAGGGTTCAAGCATTGTTCCCCGAAATCAAACTCAGCTCAAGGCAATTTCATGCAAGTGATTATGATTGGCAGCAAAACGTGCCTGGTGTCGTACAGTCAACGTATTCGGACCTCCGGCCGGCAACGGCAGCTCATCTTCGGGCGGAACCGATGGAAGCAAGCATCTGAGAGATTTGAGCAACTACAATTTCCACTATCGGTACCGAATGAATGGTTCTAGAGGAGAGGAAACAGGCTATGATAGCGCGCGCCCTTGGCTCGCTCGGCAGGTGGTGTCTTTACTTGGGCGAGGCGGATTTCGTAGATTTCTTGTTAGCTGGGGGAGTGTGCTTGGAATGGCGTTATTGCAAGGGGTGGGATGTCTATTGTAGTCAATTCGTGGTGTAAACAATGGAAGATGGGGTCAACAATGGTCGCTAAGCATCCCGAGATACTTCATGTAGCTGTATGGTTGTGCGCATGGTGGCGGTGGTGATTGGTGATGTCGATAACGGTAAATGACGCATGTAGCTATCATTGATGCCCCATCTTTTCCCCAGCTCTTCCCCGTGTTTTGTGAGGATCCGACGCAATGGATTGAGTTGAGCTGAATCTCTCCGTCTGGGGGAGGCCGTCTGGGGGAGGAGACAGCTGCAATATCGGCAGCCGCCGATGGGACCTGGAGATGCTTGCGGGGGTGGAGGAGGCCGGACGGAGGAGGCCGAAGGAGCGGCAGCCAGAAGGGCAATTCTCCAGACTTTGACAGTAGCTTTGTGCTTGAGGCTAGAGCAACGGATCGCGGCTGTACATGGGGATCGCGCCTCGGTCAATGCGGGCAGTAGAACGAAGAAGCTGTTGGGTCTGGAGCTCGATTGTATAGACACCCCTCCCTCCTTTTTTACGTTTCTTCTCCATTTTGCTAGCAGTAGTGGTCAATCTATTGCATACCTTTTCATGCTTTTGTCCCCTGGGGAAAATAAAGATGGCAGCGTAGGTAATGATTAGCAAATATCTGGAGAATGGGTGAAATCAGTAACGTAATGTATTTGGCGCGTGGAGCTGACTTGGCCCGTTTCGGCATGATTTCCTGGGTGGATTGACCTGGGTTAGGTGCCAGGAGAAGCTAAGTAGGTAAAGATTCGGCAAACGAATGAATGAGCAGAGACAGAATCTTGGAAAGCAATTGTAAAGGCCATAAAGTTCTTCTTCTCGTGGGTAAAGACGGAGTCGCATTCCGTTCTAGTCTCCGGGTGGCTTGCCACGAGGCAAAAACGTGGAGTCTTGTTGGAGACAGCCTCACCGGCAGGGCAGCAAAGTGAGCTGGAGAAAGCAATAAAACCTGGGGCTGGCGGTGAAGGGCGGAACGAGATTGTGGAATTTGAGCTGAAGAAACGAGATTTCCTGTGGAGAGAAGCTTGTTGTTACGAAATGCCAAATTTGCAAAAGGGCAGATGCGGTTTGAGGCGGGTTATGACAAGAGAATACTCGTACTCGCTGAAGAATCGCAAGAAGTGCTCTGTCTCTATTCAGTGCGAAGCACGCACATCGTACAGAATGCAAAATTTCCTGCATCGTACCTCGATTGCCGTGCAAACTAGCACAAGCGTAGATTCATCTTGCCGCCTCAACATTGTCATTCCATTCTTGTCGATTAATCCGACACTTCTGGCTTCTAGCTGGTACTAAAACAGGCCGTGTGCTGCGATTGTGTGTGAGCGTGTGTGTGGAGAAAAAGCCAAAGACCGTGGAGAAATTGGAGAAGAGCCGGTCCGGTTTGAAGTGGTGGTCGCGTGTCTGGCTGAAAATCCGGAGCACTCACAGCGGTGTCTTGTTCTCCCCCACATTATTGAGGGCTGTTGGTGCGATAATGCGCATGATGAAGCTGTGATTGTAACTTCATTTATCACTGGTAGGTATGCTGCTGCTGATGACATCTTGACGAGGAGCAGCTCGGTTCCCGGCACGAAACACCCGCTGCAATGACCTGGTAAGCCCAGCGTCGTACTGCTTCTTGTCGATGATGAGATGAGAATGAGACTCTGTCATTGCCTTAGACTTGCCCCGAGTCATCGCCAACCAGGGAGATGAATCTGGCACCCCAGCCCGAGAAGTTGGCCGGGGCTAACACACGCCACCTCAACTCAAAAGCAATTGTCTTATTCTTATTCAACTGTAATTAAAAGTTCCGAAAGCTGCTGTGCTTCTCGAGACGCCGGCTCCTAGCAGCTGGGAGCTAAAGTCATAAGCCATGCTCCACGGCAGTGGTGGTCTAGCGCTTTGCTTCTGCTCCTGTGTAATAAGAGGCATTGAAGGTGAAAACTAGCGTTTGCAAAGGCTGATGGCCGAGCCTGCTAGACCGGGATCCCTTTGATTAGGCAGGCGGGTAGTATACTGTATCTGGGTCTCGGAAGTCGTATGTGCACGAGACCTCCGAGCGTAAAAGACAAGATATGGAGGACCAGTCCGGGGTTACTATCGCGCTCTTTGTACGTAATTGCTGGCTGCTCTCCGGGGTAGTATCGCTATCGGAATGCCGCCACGCATCTGATAGCCACTCCTTTCTGCCTTGCTCTCTCAGCCCAAGCAAACAATGATCGGTTGGCTCGGACAGATGCAAGACAGCAATCGTCAAGCGCTGATTGACCGAGCCAGAACAGGGTTGGCGGACGGGTAGATACGATGCTGGCAAAGGTTCCTCGCACTGCTGCAGCAGGGTGTGCTACGCGAGCCGAGCCTTATCAGAGGCATGTGTGCTGTATGGCCGTTTCTTCAGTGTGCCAGGCTAAGCAGGCATCGCTGGGCTTGGCTGCTCCGTGCGTGAGAACCGTCTGTTATTTGGTGTTTCCCGCCGCGGATTGGATGGCCTTATCAGCTTGTCAGCTCTGCTAGCTCCTCCACCCCTCCCTCGCCCATATCGTCTCTGGCCATCTAGATTCGAGCCCAAGCCTCTGCGGAAAGGAGCGCCACCACCAGCGCCGTGTCTTGCTGGCTGGCCACAGCAGCGGGTGGCTGCCTCTGTGAACCTTCCAGAACAGGCAACGAGGCTCAAGACGCCACTGATCAGTGATCCCAGCAGACCAGAGCTCACCGGGTATCCTGCTCGGCTTGGTTACAAGTCTGGTGCTGTCCGGGACACAACGCCCTGCCTTGTCTTATCTTGCCCAGGGGGCGATGCGAGCGATGCCATCGTGTGTTGGCCGGCCATTAATCGTACAACCCAGGACTGATAGTCGCTGAAGAAGCAGCCCATGACAGATTAGCGGACCGTTTGTGAGAGCGGAGAAGATGGGGCCACGACTGGCCTGGAGCGAAGAAACGAGGCCAACGTCCTCCACTCTGGACTGGGCGAACTTATCAGAGGGCGCGCCACTGATAAAGGCACCGCAGGGTTTTTCGCCTCCCGTGATGCCTCGCCGTCTCTTGCTTTGGATCATGGCTCGCGATAGTGCTTCGATAGCGTGTCGAATACGGAGTTGTGTAGAATGAGGGCGGACTTTGGACTCCCTGGAGATGGAGAACTGAGGGCTTCGACTCTGGGGTAATAGCGTAGACGCTCCTTTTCTCAGATTGGCAGTGCTGCTCGTGCCAGACTGCTGCTGCAATCGATATCACGATAAGCCTTTTTCTCCCCTACTTTATTTTTTGCTTCCTTCTGGAAAATTATTAGTGTGCGATGCTTCGGTGACGGGTCTAGCAAGAAGCGCGACCCTCTTGGCGGGATTGGCAAAATCAGAAGTACCATGGCCACTGAAAAAGGTTCCGTCAGTGGTGGCCCAGTAGGAATTGAAGATGCTTATGCACGGTGCACAGCAAGTTTGGCAGGACGGCAGTTTGGCGATTGCGCGCGGGGAAATTAGTAGCTGCAGCACGGGTACTTGCTATCGATAAGCATTTGGGCAAAATCATGTGCAGGCTCTAGTGGCTGCAATGTAGTATCTCTTCCAGAAGCAAGCTGCTCTGTGAGATTCACGACCGACTTCCATATTGGCTGCATGCATGCATGTGCTTGGTGCTTGGACGCATTTTCCATCAATGATTAACAATGCTTGGACGCTGCTGAAATGCGGATCCTGGCATTGCGCAGGCATCACTCATACACAATCCGTCTTCACGACTACATCCTCCCAGCAAAGCTTGCTCAACCGTTCCATCTGATACCTATCAGATTCCAGCTTCAACTCGCCAGGTCGGGGCCGAGGTAGCGCACAGTGCGCACAGCGACCGTCCGTGTGGGGTACATCCCCTGCCCTGTGGCGCGCCCCAAGCTCTACATTGCACCGCACAAGCGCCCTTTTCTTCGGCGCAGCGCTACTCGATTAGGCTGGACCCCTCTGGAAGCCTCCCAAGCTACAGGCGCTCACCCCCTGGACACTCCCCCCAAAGGCCGCTAAAGGCAGGATGGGACCTTTTGACCCATGCCCAAGACAGACACGGCCAGGGCTTCTCCACACTTTTTTTTTCTTCGCCAGGAAATGCCACCAAAGGGTCGGCTGGTTCCATCGCTGGTTCCATCCATCTCCAGCGAAACGGCGTTGCCGCTGCCATTGTGGGCTTGAAATCGCTGGGACCAGGCCCGGCCTGGCATGTGCGCGTGCGACTTGCGACTCGACCGAAGCGGACGGGGCTGGAGTACAAAAACTCGAGCGACCCACGAGTTGGCGATGCCTCTCTTTTCCTTCCCCAGGATTCTCAGGTTCGAACGTCACGCCGTCCTTCGTCCGCTCCTTCGGGCTTCCTCCCAGGTTCAGTTACGGCATCTCTCGCTGGCTAACCTGCTCTTCCTCTCTCTACCTCCTTTCTCTTCTATAGAGAAAAAGAAAATTCTTTCGCCCGTCTAGGTCTGGCTGTCAGAGTCTGAACCCAAGACTGCTTCAACGCCTTGCCCGCTTCTGCCTTGCTTCAACCCCAGGCACAAGGTCAAGGACACCAGACGAGATCTGCGAAGAAGAGGTAGCAGAGAAAAGAGAAAAGTCTTTACACACAGGGGTTGACCAGAAGAGACAGAATCACAATGGCGGACTCTTCACCACCGGCCGCCGTGCCCTATCACGACACCACCGAGAGCATCCACCACAACCTCGACCCGGCGCTGGAGCCCACGCACCAGCATCACCACGCGCACAAGCACCACTCGGCCCGCGTGGATGCCGCCGGCCACGACGATGCCGTCTACACGCGCGGCACCAACCTGGACCCGACGCTCGTGCCCACGCAGGACCACACTCACGACACCCACGACGCCCGCAGCATCGACAAGGCGCACGACGGCCACACGCCGCCCGACTACAGCGACCACGAAAAGGTCGGCCAGACAGACGTGGTGCGCACCGGCATCGACTCGGACGAGGCGGGGTCGCAGCGCAGCTGGCGCTTTGGCATCCCGTACCGCGTGGCCCGCGCCTTTGTGCACCTCGTCATCTTCCTGCTCTTCACCGGCTGGTGGATCGCCTCGCTGATCCTGCACCGCGACGACAAGAACTGGGAGGTGCCCTTCCTGCTGTGGCTGGCCATCACCATCCGCCTCTTCTTCTTCCACGTGCCTTCGCGCTATGTGTCCAGCGCCATCAAGTGGGTGTGGACTCGCACAGCTCTGGTTGTCTACGAGCGCATCCCGCCCAGGCTGCGCACCCCGGCCGGCGCTGCTGTTACCATCGCTGCCATCTTGGTCGGCTCCTTTGCCTCAGAGGAGAGCGCCGACAACACGCGCGCCAACCGTGCCGTCAGCTTGTTCGGCATGGTCGTCATCCTCTTTTGCTTCTGGATCACCAGCAAGAGCCGCAAGCACGTCAACTGGCGGACTGTCATCGGCGGCATGCTCGCCCAGTACATCATTGGCCTCTTCGTTCTGCGAACTGGTGTCGGATACAACATCTTCAAGTTTATTGCTGATCGTGCCGGCGACTTGCTTGGCTTTGCCGAGAATGGTGTGGCTTTCCTGACTACCCCAGACGTCGCCAAGCTCCCCTGGTTCTTCTTTGGCGTCATCCCCGCCATCATCTTCTTCATTTCGCTCGTCCAGGTCCTGTACTACATTGGATTCATCCAGTGGTTCATCAAGAAGGTGGCCATCTTCGTCTTCTGGGCCCTCAACGCCTCTGGTGCCGAAGCCGTCGTCGCTGCTGCCACCCCCTTCATCGGACAGGGAGAATCCGCCATGCTGGTCCGTCCCTTTGTCCCCCACATGACCAATGCCGAGCTTCACCAGGTCTTGACTTGTGGTTTTGCTACCATTTCTGGTTCCGTGCTGGTTGGCTACATTGGTCTCGGTCTGAATGCCGAGGCTCTTGTTTCCTCCTGCATCATGTCCATTCCCGCATCGCTTGCCATCTCCAAGCTGCGTTACCCCGAGACCGAGGAGACTCTCACCGCTGGTCGCGTCGTCATTCCCGACGACGACGAGCACAAGGCTGAAAACGCCCTGCACGCTTTTGCCAACGGTGCTTGGCTCGGTATCAAGATTGGTGGTACCATCATCGCCTCGCTTCTTTGCATTCTCGCCGCCGTCGGTCTCATCAACGGACTTCTCACCTGGTGGGGTCACTACATCAACATCAACGACCCCACTCTTACTCTCCAGACCATCCTGTCCTATGTCTTTTACCCGGTTGCTTTCTTGCTCGGTGTTCCTCGAGACGGCGACATCCTCAAGGTTGCCAAGCTCATTGCCGAGAAGGTCATCACCGTAAGTTTCTCCTGTTGTTTCTTTATGCAAAACGCTCTCTCTCTCTCCACTTTTTTCCACTGCCATCTCTGCTTGCCCTCTCGCTTCCTGTTTCCTCCGCTCCAATATTGTGCACCCTTAGCTGTGATATGATAATGACCATTGTTCCCTGCAGAATGAGTACAATGCCTTCAACGCCATGGCCACCGACCCCTACTACGCCACCCTGTCTCCCCGCTCTCAGCTCATTGCCACCTACGCTCTCTGCGGATTCGGCAACATTGGCTCCCTGGGTATCCAGATTGGTATTCTCAGCCAGCTGGCGCCATCTCGTGGTGGCGACGTCTCCCGACTTGCCCTGTCAGCTTTGGTTTCTGGCGTCTTCTCGACCCTGACCTCTGCCTCTGTTGCCGGTCTGGTCGTCACCACCCAGCTCTCCCACTTTGTCAAGCCTCAGTGATTGGAGATTTGCATGTGTATATGTATATGTAGTGAAGCATTTTTCTTTGGTGCCATATAGTTGAATGAGAAACGAAAGGAAGAAAGATGCGATATCGGAAAAAGAGTAGGACAAAAAAAGAAGATACCCCACCACTCTATCTACGCTCGGATGTGGATGGTCAGATTAAAGAGCACTTTTTAATTATTTGATGAGATGAATACAAGTGAAAGACGCCCGTAAAGTCCCATTTGGGCTGGGCATGACAAGACTACTATTTTGGATTCCTCGTTCTTGTGCATTTCGCGTTTAAATTTTTTTATCACTTGGAACCTTATCAGACTTTGTTCTGATTTTTGCACAGCTGTTGTACAATTGATATCCATCGCAACTAGCATCTAGTGTAGATGATACAGCTCTCTTCCTTTTATGCATCTCTCAATTGGATTAACGCGTCCTCACAGAATCTAGATTTCTGCCCCGACGCCCTTTGAAGCCATTGACGCGTGCATGAACTACTGTACAAGCTTTCTCCACATGGCATCTTCACCCCGCATCAAGATCTGCAGACAGCTATATAAGCTGGTTGTGCACGTTTTCACACGCTGTGTAATTAGTGAAACCAGGTTAAGACTACTTCTGATTTATGACAAGCTCTTACTTGTAAGTTATCTATATATATCATCGCAAATAAGCCATCATGGGCAGCCTCTCTTTTCGCAAGTTTATTCGGTGGCTGCCTGATGAAGCCAGCGAGCCAACGTCTACGCTGGTACTGACCTCTCCTGAGAAGAGGTTCGTGGATATAAGAGTGTTGCTACCTGATGGAAAGAATTCTTTGGCAGACAATGACGGTAATGACACACCAATCAATCCCTAACACGCCTTGTAAAAACTGCAATCTAATTGTAAACGCAGAAACACTACCCTTGAGTCGCCTGGACTGGGCCATGGCCGGATTCTCTTCCTCCGACGTCATCTCCGACGGCCACTCCCTTTCCCAGTGGAAACACTGGATTGACTCTCGAGCTGTTGATGCGCCTCCCGACGAAGGCCACATGTACGCCCAGCCCGATGGACTGAGCACCCTCGAAAAGGGCCACATGACGAACCCGGCTACGGGGAAGGACACTGAGTACGAAGAGATGTGGTATGATCCACCGGCTAAGAAGACGGGCGGGGACAAGGTCGTTTGTGTGGTGCTTGTGATGGAGGATGAAAAGGCTGGGAAGAAGGGCATGTTTGTGAGGGTTGGGGAGTGGGCGCAGGTGGTTGTGAGGGATGGGATGGGAGAGGGTGATGTTGTGGCGGAGAGGTGGGAGTGGAGGGATGATAATAGGGGAGAGAAGGGATGGAGGAGGATTGTGAGATTGGGGGGGGGGGGGAGGGAGTTGCCGTGTAGGGAGGTTTTGCTGGATGGGAAGAAGAGTGAGTATCGGGTTGGAGATGAGGTTTGGAGGGTTGTTGAGGATGTGGAGGTGTGAGTTGAGGTAAACAGATCAAATCACACAATTATATCTGCTTGGTGTAATTAATGGTGCTTTAGACTTTACCCTCAAGCAAATCTTCACGTATGTATGGCTATAAGTGAGCGTAGATGTGACAACCCCATAACTACTGAAAGAGAAGACGTCATTGATAGTACATCACAACCTCGTCCTTTGAAACCTTTTGAGCAGTCATTACTTGTTCAGGCTTCTTCCACACCAACCCCTTTACAATCTCTCTGTGCACCTCCACACCAGAATCAGCTACCGGACCAACATCCTCTCCAGCTAACCTTCGCAGCTCAAGCTCCTTCATCTTTTCATAAATTGCCACTCTCCCAGGCATTAGCGTTTCCCTCGTCCCCTTAATCTTCTAGGTTGGCAGGGCCTTAACCCCAAGCTCTTTTAATGTCTTTTTCTTAATAAGCGAGTATTCTCTCGGGTCCTCCCGGTTAAAGTTAAATGGCTCTTTCAAGCCTACAAATGGGTTAGTTATAACCCTTGGTATATGTAAGGAATTCCTAGAAGCGGAATGCATCATGAGGGGGTGTATCAAGACGACATCGCCACATTCCCCTGTCCTCTGCTGGAAAAGCTTGCATTTGCTGGCGTCTTTGCTTTGGTCGTAGAACCATTGCAGCTCGTGCCCCTTGTTTTCCTCGCCGCGTCGTGTCATGTATGGAGTAACGCCCTCTGGAAGATCATGGAGATGCTGGGCGACTACCTTGATTCCGTCTGGGCAAATGTACGTTGCGCCGCCATTCTCCAATACGTCCGTGATGCAGGGAATGAATCATAAGCCTTGGTTGGGCGAATCTAGATGAATGAAACTGTCCCCGTTGACGTGCCAGTTGTCAAGATCTCGAGGACCGACAATTCTTCCTTTGAGCTTGGCGCTGCCACAGTTGACGATAAAGTTGTCGCCCCAGAGACGGGAGATTTCGGCGACGCGCTCTTCGCCGCCGGAAAGTTTGTAGATGGCGCCCCATGCTTTGGGGGCGAAGTCGCGAACGTCGATGGTGTTGAGCACAGGCATGTTGACCTTCTCTAGGACCCAGGTTAAGGGGTCGTTTTCATCGTAGCCCAGGCGAGCCCAGAGATCTTTTGTCCATGCTTGGGCTTGTTCTCTGGTGAAGGCTGAAGGGATGGATACCCAGCCGTAGGTCATGAAGTGCTCAATCTGCTCGGGTGTGAGGAACTTGAATGTTTCGATAGCCATGTTGGTTCTCTTCTATAAAACTGTATTATGAGATTAAAAAGCTCAATCTGCTCACGACAATAGGTAGTGGTTAAATAGATACATGTAGTCTTTTACGTTTGTGAGGGGTGGGCTGGACGTTGTATCAACAACCCTACCGGCTATTATCTACGCTGCCTAAATGGCCTCTTATCTAGTCTACCTCTTCTCCCGCAAGTACATGTGTCTTGTAGTGATGTATATGGAGCTGTTGCCCGCTATTGCATATATGCCGATAGCCCCGACTACGAATGCCGACGCACATCTCCCAAATGTCCCTGACTGTTATCAATAGATTCATATCATCCACTCAAGTCACTACAAGTGCCTGGGCGGCACCAGCTCAGTCGGCAAACCCCGAATCGCCGTCGCCTCTCTCTTACTCAACGGAATCTTAGACCACTTCTCCAGCGCCTTCACTCGATCCTCCTCGTTCACCAGAGTTTCCACCACTTCCAAGCCCGGCACGCCCTCCACCCTCCTCCTCACCTCGTTCCGCAACAAAGTCATCACGCCCTGTAGCCCATCGCCTTTTTCGTTCAAGATTCCCCTCAGGGCAAAGACGTTGTTGACAAAGACGGCGGTGCGGACCGTGCTGCAGTAGAAATTCATGACGTCGTAGTCTGCGCGGAAGAGCTCCGTTTCCGTGAAGCAGTAGCGCTCGGTCCAGTCTGTGGAGGGAAGATCTTGCGTGGAGTAGACCCAGAGAGATTGAGTGGAGGGCGAGGTTGATTGAGCGAGGGGGCGGAACTCGAGTTTGCCGCGGCGAGGGAGGATGTTGTCGAACTCGTGGCCGTTGATGAGGGGGACGGGCGTGAAGGCGCCGTGGCTGCCAAAGGCGACGTCGACGAGGTAGCGCTGCTGGTTGATGGTGACGATGTTGGCGCTGTGAGTCCTGGTGGTTGAAGAAGCAGTTAGATATAGAACTGGTGTAAGTTGGAAGAGGGACAGACTTACATGCCGAGATATACAGGACCAGGCTTCACTCTGGCGCCGATGCTGAGGACGTTGAATCCCAGGGCCCTCATCATGTCGCCAAAGATGGTGTTCATCTCCACGCAGTAGCCGCCTCGGCTCTTCTCCACGACCTTTTGGAAGAGATCATCTGCATCGACGGACAGCGTGCGATGGGGTGAGTAGTGGAGGCTGATGGACTCAAAGGGCACGCGAGCAAGATGATGGGCTTGGAGCTCTTTGAGGAATTGGAGCTCGTCTCTGGGGTGCCGAGAGCGCGGATAGGAGATGTGCTCGAGGTAGCGCGTGAGCTGGTCTTGTGAATATACTTGCGCCGCCATTTTCTTTCTGTTCTGGCTTTCTTCTAAGGGACTTATATATGACGGCACGGTGGAGGGCCGGTGAGTCTATCGCTGCCTCTCTCTTTATATCTTTTGGTAGACAGGCCATCAATCTAGACTATAGCAATTCACGATATCCTGGTAATTGCGCTTCAGCCATTTTAGTCAACCATTTTCTACTGATGCAGCCCGGGTCCGAGTCGCAGCGATTTTGCCCCCGATGGGCTCCACAGATTCGTCGGGCTCGCGGGCGGAGAGCCGAAAGGCCGACGGGTCTTAGAAATATTATTTGTCAGGCCGGAAAAGCAAGTGGGATGAAGCTATATAGGCTTGAATGGCCTTGTATGATGTGTTGACTGTTGAAGATGAACGCTGGGGCTGTGGGGGATTGATTACATGCATAAGCCGTATTGTTGATGGCCGTAGACATGTCTTGTAGACGTGGCAGGCCGAGAGTCGACGCCCAGCTGCCCAATTGCCGGCGATTGGTGGAGACGGCTTCGCATATTATCTGTGTCTGATGAGATGGGCAGCGAGGATGGAATTCTGTAAAGTCATTGTCCTCCTGAAGAGATATGGCTCCAATGGAATCTCCAACGCCTCAACAATCAGCAGTCAAGGCCATCTCTCCTAGGTGAATAATTAATACAGCAAGAGTCCATGCATAACGCACACAGTCTCCGTCTTGCTCACATGCTAATTGCTGCTCGAACAGATCCAAAATCCCCGTCAAATCTCCCATCAAACCCCCCATCAAAGTGCAAAAAGTCCAACACACCACAAACTACAACCAAATCACAACCTACTTCAAGATCCCCGAAAAGCTGCCGCGCGCGCCCACGCTCAAGGGCCTCGACGTCACCCGCCTGCCCGACGACCTCAAGCTGATTGGGCCCGAGAACTGGGCGACGTGGTCCAGCATCATGATGGCCATTGCCGACGTCTCGGGCTTTGACAAGGCGGCGCTGGAGGAGATGCCGCAGGCGGTGCATGTGAGCTGCTGGCACAACAGCCAGAAGACGCTGGACGAGATCCGCGAGGGCAAGATGCTGGGGCTGCTGATCAAGTTCAACATCTCGGCGCATATGAATGACTTGGTGAGCCTGACGACGGATGGCTACGAGGTGTGGAAGGTGTTGAAGCTGTATTGTGCCAGGTTTGTGGAGACGGATCCGACGAGCATTTTGAAGAGGAATGGGGGGTGTATTAAGATTTCGTGAATGACCAAGGACTGGGAAATAATTGGCGATGATATGGAAATGACGGAAACCACACGAGAGATGTTACTGCATTTGTTGTTGAACAGAGAAAGATAAGACTATACAGAATGGATCAGATAGTGGGGGAACATTGCGATAAGATGGGTTGATGACGGGACTTTACAACTCTACAACTTCCAAGCAAGGGCTGTTTAAGCTTCTTCTAAAGGATCAACATCCTAGTATTCCCGCAGTTGGCGAAACTAGCCAAGTTAAACTAAGAGACTAGAAACTTGGTCTATCTTCTTCCACCTTTTAGTATTGTTGTGCATATGCGCCCTACAGACATTCGGAAAAGGGAAACCCACGCCGACTAGCTAAGCCGAGGTGGTGTCCGAGTGCGGAGTCATATGCGCAACTCCATCTCGGCTTCGGCGTTGGCTTCGTTGGCTTTGTTTGCACAGTATACAGTGGCTCAATACTACCTACTTTTAGATCTATATATGTCCTAATGTTGCTGCTGTTTTGAAGGAAAAGAATTGATGTAAACTAGTAATCATGTCTGTTTAAAAAGAATACAAGTTTCCATTCAACAGCACCAATTGAGCGATTGACTTGAATTGCCTCGCAATGCCGTCTTCAACCGTCTCCTATACCGCGCAAAACGGGACTCGCGAACCGGGTCTTATGCACCGCTCTCTCCTCGAACGCCCTCACCAAGTTATCTCAGGCTCAGGCATCCATCTCACTCTCGCCGATGGCTCTCGCATCATCGATGGATGTGGCGGCGCCGCCGTCGCAGTCATTGGCCACGGCAACAAAGAAGTCAAAGAAGCCATCGTGCAACAACTCTCTGACGTCGCATACGTGCACACCATGACTTATACGACTTCCAGCGCTGAGGAGCTGGCCAACGAGCTCACTGAATTGAGCAGGCCGTTTGGCTTGACCAAGGCTTTCTTTGTCTGCTCCGGCAGCGAGGCCATGGATGCGACTATGAAGCTGGCACGGCAGTACCATTTTGAAAACGGCCAGTTGCAGAGGACAAAGTTTGTTTCGAGGAGGCAGGCGTACCACGGTGGCACGATTGGGGCCATGAGCGTGAGCAGCAACCTCCCGAGGAAAATCCCTTATGAGGGCGCCTTGTTGCTTGACAACGTCAGCTATGTTAGCCCGGCATATGCATATCATGGCCAGAAAGACACCGAAACCGAGGGTCAGTACGCTGCGAGGCTGATTACAGAGCTCGACGACGAATTCCAGCGACAGGGGCCTGAGACAGTCATTGCTTTCGTGGCGGAGACTGTAGGAGGAGCCACGGCGGCCTGCATCACGCCTCCAAGGGGATATTTCGCAGGCGTGAGAAAAGTATGCGACAAATATGGCATCCTGCTCATCTTGGATGAAGTCATGTGTGGCAGCGGCCGGATGGGAACGTACTTTGCCTTTGAGCCCGAGGGCGATGTGCGACCCGATTTGCTTACACTGGGAAAGGGGCTCGGAGGAGGATATGCGCCCATTGCTGGCATCCTGATCAGCCAGAGAGTTGTCGATGTGTTGACAAAGGGGTCAGCGAGCTTTGTTCACGGCCAGACATATCAGGCTCACCCAACGGGCTGCGCCGCGGCCTTGGCTGTCCAACGAATCTTGAAGCGCGACGATTTAGTAGCAAAGTGTCACACCAAAGGGGCCTTTTTGGAAAAGCGGCTGCGGTCTGCTCTTGGAGATGCAAAGTATGTGGGCGAGATCCGCGGAAGGGGCTTTTTCTGGGGCATCGAATACGTACAGGATAGAGCTTTGAAGCAGCCATTCAAGCCAGAGGTCAAGTTTCATAAAAGGATACATGCTGCGGCGCATGATCGCGGCTTGGCCATTTATCCAGGAGCGGGGACCATAGATGGTGTTAACGGGGATCATTCGATTCTGGCGCCGCCATTGACTGCAACGGAGGAGGAGCTGGAAGAGATGGTGAGGTTGTTGAAGGAGGCGTATGATGCAGTGGAGAGGGAAATGGACTCTGAGGTGGTATAAGAGTGTGTTGAAAACGATATTTGTAGGGGGAGGGTATAGACGCTGATCAATACACAAGGCGTATAAGCGCTGTATCCGAATATCAGATAAATTAGGACTTTTTAATCCCAAAGACAATATTCTCTGGGGTGCTACTGATTCGGTTTATGATGTGTGCCCTGCGGAGGTCTCAAATAAAGTGTAAAGTCTCCTCAATCCATCATATCCCTACACTGAATAATCACCTGTTGATATCGGAGATGGATCTAATATTGCGACCTGTACCTTAAATCTGTATACAGAATGTTATGAAACTTGGGATAAAGCCTTGGCCCTGTGATGTTCTACAAGGATTGTCTCAGGGAGGCCACTGTCCTTCCATGCCTCATCCCATCCCGCAGTGCGCACCCACGGAAACTCGGGGTGCTCCCAGGTGCTGTCCAGAAGGAGGTACTGCGTGTTCAACCACGTCTTATCGTCTCTAATGCGTATCCATGGCCGGTCGAGGTACTCTTGAGAAAGGCGCTGCGCAAGGCCCAGAGCCCTCGCAGTCTTGACCACATGGCCGTCGTCGGGCATGTTGATGAACCCGGGAAGCAGCTCCTCCCAGTTCTTCACCAGCGCAGAGTCTTTTGGCATGTAGCTGCTGATGCTGCCCAGTTGCAGGGGCGGGGCCCATCGTACAACGTAGTGGAGAATGTCAAAGCGAGTCTTCCACTCGAGGGTTTGCAGTTTAACTGAGTCCGGGATCCATGTAACATCTTGGATTAAGAGCAAGAATGGCCCAATGGTAAGATGATGACTGTTCTCAGTCAAAACCTGACTCGTCTTCTCTTACAAAAGGGCACTTACATGAGAAAAAAGTCAAACCTCGGGTAGTCTGGAGGGTGGAAGACACACGCCGACGCCATGTACGCGGCCGCATGGATGTTCTCCGCGATGCCTTCTGCCAGCTTCTTGGGGTCAGCCTTGACCTGCGTGAGATAATTCACAGCCTCGTCAGGGCACAGAACCTCGACGCTGTTCAAGATCTTGTTTGGATTTCCATTGCGCACGCTGTTGACAAAGGCCGGGTCGGAGTGGACCTGTTCGTACAGCTCAGACGTGTTGAGGCGCTGTGAAGGCCGGTTCGCTGCTGCCTTGTCCACCTTGTTCAGGAAATCGCCCACGTAGGTGTCGTGGATGGCGGACTGGGCCAGGCCTTGGGCGATGATGGCGGGCTGATCCCACTCGATGCCATACATGAGCTGGATGAATGAATGGGCAAAGCCTGGAGCGACGTTAGCTTTCAACAGATGTGTTCTGGAGAGCCTGTTCCAGCCTGTAGCGGATGGACTTACTGCCCCAGCTGCGACGGTACATGTCGTGAGTGCTCTCTTTGCCGCTGAAGAGATATTCCACCAATGCATTCTTCCACCCCCTTGCGTCTACTTGCTCCTGGAAATATCGCAGGAAATCGGTGTAGTACTTGGCGTCTCCGAGATACTTGGGAGCATTGGCTGCCCAATCTCGGCGAAGGTCCTCGAGAACGCCATCATTTAACTGAAACTGATCAACCTGAAGTTCAGCATCACGGTCGAACGCCGCCTGGAGCTCTTCGGGAGTTGCTCCTGCGCCGTAGAGTGTACATAGGTGGTGTGCCATCTGCCATTTGCATTAGTTACAGCTCTATAGTGTGTATTTCGTAAGCCAGGTTTGCTCCTACATGGTTGTGGTAACCTCTCGCCAGGAAGAAGACATGATGCCTCTGAGACCGAGTTAGTATAATGCCACGCATTCATCATCCGGGTGGCTCACGTCGAGATCTTTTTGAAGCAGTTCAGACAGCTTGGCTGCTGCAGTTTCGTTGTGCTTGTAACCTAGGAGACCGACCCGATTAGGGTCAATCTGTATCTTGTATGCTGTAGCCATGATGATGTTGTTGTTGTTGTTATTGTGCGCGTAGCTCTTTGCCTGATACAGGTAGTAGAACTGGGCAGCTAGAGGAACCTGGTATTAGATGGTTCATGCTGGGGAGTCTGCGGGCATTTAAATGCTGTTCGTTGTATGCAAACATTGAGGTCAACACAAGGGACAAAGTGATGAGACGAGCATCTCCCCGTCCCCTTCGACTGAGTGTTTGTCTATGAATTAATGTTGACAGTCGATGTCTGCTCTGTCGCCTGTTTCTGGCTCACATCGTCGTTTTGCCCGCTCTGTCGAAGCCGGCAAGACTCGCTCAACACTAGAACGAGCGGAAGCGGGAAGAAGCGAGAGCGGGCCGGAGCGGACTGGAGCAGCAGCGGGCGCGGATTGGGGTAAAAGCGGATCGAAAGCGCAGAGATAGTTGAGGGTAAGGCTAAACAACATTCTCAAAAGCTGGTGCTGACAGTTCTGGTAACGATCATGAGACTATGCAACCTCCCTGGAGTTATACTGCAACTTCCTATATCCGACAGCCAACGTGGGCGCATTCGAGAAGGGCTCGCCAATCGCCGAGTACTGAAATGGAATCTACTAGAGCCATGTAAGCCAAGGTTATCTGCAACAATTCCTAAACAGGATATATTTACAAACAAATGCACTATAAATTGACCGCCCACGATGTGTGAAATGGAGAGCCCATGACCTCCTCGCTTACTATAGGTGCCAAAAGTAAACTTATAGCAGCGACATTTGGCTTTCATATTCTATTTTTCAGTATTAGGTAATGAAAGTGCCCTGTCTAGATACTGTATTCATGGTGTAATTAGATTATCTGGTGCTGGTAGTGTTAGTATGGTGAAAGGGGTATCAATTCTAGGATGAACCTGGGAAAGCCTCCCTTTCTGGAGTCGGTCTTGCTACCGCCACCAGCATTTAATATGCATGCTAGCGAGTCCTAAGTAGCAGAAGTAGCAGAAGTAGATTTGGATGGCTATGACTCTATGGCATTGCTATACCCTGGACGCTGGATTCTCCCTCAACATGTACACTTTCAAAAACCTACAAGCCCACCATCGCCGAACTCTCCTATCCGCCAACTTCAGAATCAAACTTGAAATAGCCTCTCCACAGCCTATTCAGCACACGCTCTGGGTCCCAATTCCTCGCCACAATCCTCAGCTTATCATAAGACTCTGGGTTGAGACGCGTCCAGTAATCTTGGCTGGGATGGGCGTAGTTCATGTGTATGACGCCGCGAAGCTGGGCATTTTGCCTCCCCGTCTCTTCGATTCCATCGATGAAGCGCTTGCACTCAGCCTCCACGGTGTCATCAAAGACCGCGTCGTTCCACTGCACGGACAGGAGAACGTATGTCATTGGGACCATTGAAATGGGCAACTCCAAGGCGTTGTGGCCCTTGTGTCGCCCGTTCCTAACCATGCGTTTCGACACGGGCTGGAATTCTATTTCTGACCTAAAGTTTTTCTGGCCTGGCAAGCTCTTGAGTTTCATATCCATTGCTTGCCAGCGGGAGAGAATGTCGGCGAGGAACTCGGGCTTGTCGAAGCCAAACGAGGTCGACCAGGCCGTGCGACGGAGGCCAGCAGGCTCAACGAATGCTTCTGTGAAGTTGGCAACTCCGTTTCCCTCAGTGATGTTCTGCATGGCTCCGGTAAGGCTCTTGAAAGGAATTGACAATGCCGGCGCAGATCGGTCATGCGAGGTGTCTTTCCCGGAATGCACGATATGGACCTCGGTCACGTACTCTAGATGGTCTTCCGAGAAGAAGCTCATCAGAAAAGTGTGGGAATGCAAGTCTGTTTCGAGAACCTCCTTCGCTGCATTCGCATAAGCCTTCATCACCTCCAAGTTCATGGAAGCAGGAAACATGATGTGCTGCCACCACGTTTTCTTGTTAAAATAGCGAAGAAAGTCGAAGCGAGTGACGATTCCAAAGCTGGAGCCGCCACCGCCACGAAGGGCATACAAGAGCTCTTGGTTTTCCTCGTCGTTGACTCTGATGATGTCCCCTTTTGCCGTGACGACTTCGTAGTTCCATACGTCGTCACAGGCGAATCCAGCATGCTGCTGATAGAAAGAAAAGCCACAGCCAAGAAAGTATCCCGCAACGCTCAGATCGCCATTCTTGGGGCCTATGCCTGCCATCTTCCTGTCGTCAAAGCGGCGGTATATACCATAGAATGTGGCCGCTGGGCCGGCCATCATGGTGCCTCCGGTAGCTAGGACTTCAATCTTATTCATGCGGGCGAGGTCGACGAGCACGCCGCCGTCAATACTGGAGGCGCCGGCAAAGCGCGAGAAGCCGCCGCTCTTGACGTTGAACGTGGCGTTTGTTGCCGTGAGAGTCTTCATGATGGCAGCGACTTCAATAGCATTCTCTGGGCGCACGTAACAAGCAGGGAGGAGGGCGCGCTGCTGCTGGGTGAAGTAGCTAGTTCTGCTGACTTCGTATTGTGTCGAGTTGGGATAATCGACGTATCCGGCCATGAAGCCGGAGATCCATCTGCACTACACGGCGTTAGTCTAGGATGATAGTAGTAATAGTAGGAATAGCAGCGGTAAAAGTAAAGAAAGATTTCTAATACATACCGCACGTTCGGCTTCTGGTGTAGCTGTCGCCGTTGCAAAAGGACACGCCAATGCCACAAAGGCGAGGGCAAACATCCACTGAATGGAAACCATCTTTTCAATACTACTGATGAAAATTGTGACTGAAACAAAAAGAGAAAGGAAAATGAAAAGACAAAGATACTAAAAACCAAAGACTTGAAAATTAAAAAAAACAACAAGTAATACGCCTGCTTTTTGAAAAGAATTGTTGTCTATTATGCGTACACGAATGACGAAAGGTCTATATTGATGATGTGTCTTTGAGGGCAGAATGAAAATTGTATATTGGGATTTCGGCTCTCTGTCGGCGTATTGCTGCGTCACCTTTCCTCAAGACCCTTAATTATGAACCTTATGTGATGTCTGAGGCGATCTAGACGCCTGTGGCTGAACTGGATACGATACGTGATGTGGGTAGCAAACTATCAAGGTACTGCTACTTCTACTACTGCTACTTCTACTACTGCTACAGCTGCTAGGTCCAAGTATCTATAACAGTCTTTATCTTTGTGTGGACTAGCTATCTTGTAGGCCGGTGTTGACTATTGGGAAGGGGGATGTCTTTTTACTTCAAGTGCTATATACTACATGGATACTATATAACGACCTCAGAAAGAAGATACTATACTCATTCACGTACATATTCTCTTATTGCTTTCTACTAATGTCCCTTGAGCTCTCATGATGCCGTTGATTACCTAGGTAGAAGCGTTGACGAGCGATTTTTAAGTAAGCCATGGTCTTGTAGCGAACACATCCGCCCCATCCACGAGACACTGAAAACAGAAGAAGGCTGCAACATCTATATGTATCCTCCTACTGTTTACCCTGTTTTAAGCTTCTTTCCACGTTTACAATATGTCTTATGTCCACTGTATCCCAACACCCGGATTACTACAGCAAAACAAGCTTCCCTTATCTTAAAGTTTGTCCTAAGCCTGAAAATATACATGCATATCGCTGGCCCCTTTGCGCTATCAATGTCACTCAGATGAAGCCGGTGTCTCCGTCGTTAGAAAATTGCTCATCAACGCTAAGAATACTCAGTATAAGGTAGCTGGATTGCGCGCTTGTAGCCAACGTCATTATGTCACGCAGTAGGAGCACAGGGGAAGAGTTAGAAGAAACATTGAGAAATTGAGCACAACAAGGAGGTTCTTGATCAGTACGCGCAGCTTGTGATTTTCGAAATTAGACATTCTCACCGTGGCCTTGCTGCTATGGCTTGATATCTCCTAGGGCACACGCTATGGACGAGAAATTGCACTCAAACGCCAAGGCTGCTGTTATCGCTCGACCAAGCCGGATACAAAATTAGAATTTGAAACGTCGGCTACATGCCGTTGATTGTTGAATTCGGGCTGTGGGCCGCGCCGGGCTCATCTCTCATTTTGGAGTCGGCATCGCTACCATCATCTATAATAGGAGATGAGAAATTTATAGACACTAATGGGATGATTGCTTAAGCCATTGACTCGAGTTATGATCCATACATGGAGTGCATCACTGATAAGCAAGGTCTTTTCAAGAGGGACGGCTCTGATCTTGAAGAAATACAATCTCTATGGAGGACTCTCGAGCCAAACACGCAAGGCATTTGATCCAGAATTGTAGTTCGGCGAATGTCTCGTTCCAGGGTAATTTCCTGCCCCGATGCTCATAAGGAATCAGATAATGTCGGACGAATTACTCTCCCAAAGCGCTCAGCTATCTTGTCCTGGTCCATCGTAGGCGTGAAGAAAGATCTAAGTGTAATCACGATATTCTCCACAATCTGCCCACATCTTCTTGTATATAATTTGTAAAGTGATATTGCCATTGTCTTTGACCTATCCGTCCACTTTTGACTGTTTGATCATGGCTGTAAAGGATGTAACCTGAAACGTTATAATAGTGAAGAATCCGCGCGACCTTTATTAACTTTGACGAAACGTTTACTGATATAATTTCTCAGCTAACATCTTTTACATCATATATGGCATAGCTTTGTATAGATTCTCGCTCTTAAGCTGCGAGCCGTCTGTGTTGAGACTCTTCTGCCTTGCGGCCATGCATTCTATAAAGAGATCGTGGATAGCTAAATATTTTATCGTAGTCCGGCGGAGTAGCTCGATGCACGTCGGCAAGCTGTTCAGGCCCTGCCTCCTCGTCCTCGATTCCCGGCCGCTGGGTGTTGATGTCGTAGCACCCCAAGAATTTGTCCCGAGGAGTGGGCATCCTGTAGGATCACTTCCCTTCACGTCCATAATACACCAAGACTCGCCCATCGTATTTGGCTATCTTGCCTGGCCCATCATGAGCATAAAGGAAAACCTGGGATGCTGTTTTGGAACATGCTGCCAGCAGGACTTGGGGCAGGATATGGCTACTCTTTTGCCTGCACAGTTCCACCTCCGGAATGAAGCATCTCGGCGTCCATGGCCGTAGGCCTCGCCTCGACAAATTTAGCAGGCGGGGCCTTGTAAAAGACCGGGGTGTACCTCGGATGAAGAGGTTTCCCAGCCTTAAACTCGTCTTCTGCCGCCGCATGCCGAGGGTCATAGGTTTGGGTATGGACGAGCGGCCGGACTGGGGCTACGGCGCTCCTGATGCGTCGGGCTATGAAAGACTGGGCCTAACACTGGCTCGGGCTTTCTGCCATCAACACTGATCCATGGTGTATCGCAGTCCTTCTGCACCTGATTGAATGAGTGGCCCACGATCGACCGCACGCTTTGGACGAGGTTCACGAGGTCTAGTAATCCGCACATCCTTTCTGGTTATAGCTCGACGATTGTATGTACGAAGCCCATACACCAGATTCCGCAGACTTTTGTGTCATGGAGCCACGCACCAAATTCGACCAGACTCATGATTCTGTCTCAATACATATGTTGCTCTAATCTAAATATCGCAAAAAAAGCATGATGCGCGCTCAAAAATGGCTCACAATGTACTCCAGAGTTTCCATGGCGGAAGAGGCAAAAGTAGGCCAAACAGTACCAACTTTCCCCAGTCTCTGTACTCAAGCTTGGGAAAGACTTTCAATCAAAGTATCACGCTCTTTGATCCGAATTACTATTCCCTTTCCCGCCGTTTTACCTTGCTTCAATATTTCTAAAGCACCATTTATAGCATCCAGGCCACCGGACATTGATTCGACTTCCGGAGGCAGCAGCTTGTGTGTATCTAGCAGCTCGTATAGCCACTTACTCAGATGACCACCAACGTATTGACTTGTGTGGAAGAGCTTGATTGGTACTGTATGAACCTGGATGTTGGGTGAATACGTCGGAGGGATGCCTGCCAGAGCAACAAGATGGCTGAGCTTGCTGCCACCTCCGCGAGTAGCCACATATGCCGATGATAATCGGTTTGTCGGCGTTTCGTATCCTGGTCGGCAATATCTGGAGCTTGTGCGCTCTGCGAGGACTTGTTGGCACCAAGCAGCGGTTTGAGACCCAACGGTGTCAACTGCAAATCTAAGTGAGCCAGGAATAAGCTGTTTAATGTCCCGCTTAGCTCGATCGAGATCGCTGCTTTCAACTAGAATGTCTAAAAGTCATGTAAGTCATAGCTTTTATAATAATCCTGCAGACAAACCTACCCGTTCCGAGTGACTGTAAAAGCTGCCGATGTTTACTCAGGTCGGCAACACCCACAACTTTCAGCCCTCCTAGCTTAGCTAACTGAATTATAATCTGGCCCGTAATAGTAGATGCTTCAAATAGAGTCAGATGTGTGTGTTTCTGCTAGTATCTTCTACTTAACTCACCTCCATAGACTAAGAGCCACTCGCCAGGCTGGGCTTGGTAGCAAGGCGCCATAGCATCAAAGACTTCTGCAATGATATCGTCAGGTATATCTTCAGGGCGCCTCTTAGCAATCTCCAAAAGATTAAACTCTCTCTTCTTTGGCCCTTTTGTAAAAGTGACGCCGAGACAGACTCCAAGCGAGAGTCCTGCTGCAACATAGGCGACACCCATGGAAGCGATTTTGAATGGATCGACATGCTTGGGAATTCGAATTGCATTATAGCAGCAGACAATGGTATATTCTTGAAACGTCGATTTCCTGATATCTCGATAGTCTGTGGGTACGGCAAGGACCTTGAGCTAGTGTCAGCCGTCCATTTATGATGAGGCACATCATTCAGCTAGCAGACTCACCCACTCTCCGAACTGAAGGGGGCATCTCTGGTCGACCTCGGAAGCTACGATTCTGCCAATAAATTCACGTTCATTCAAGCCAGCCGGCGATGGGAGAAGGTATCCAAGGTCTCTAAAATTAAGCTTGTTAATAAGAACGAAAGGCGTTAAAGGCTGGTACTGTACAGGGCTTTGTTACTGGGAAAATACACACGCAGATTTCCAATCGGCCGGGTTCAAGCCGATCCCGTACACTTCCACCAACAGATCTCCGAATTTTAACTTGGGGATCTTCCTATCTGTGTGGAGCCTATAAGGCTGTCGATGGTCATGGCGGAGCAGCTGTTGTTGCGAATATGGCATAGGTTTACCGTTGGTGGTGATCGGAAACGATGGTATCGCGGTGGCCTCTGCAGTCGCCATTATAGCCTTGGATGATGCCATAGCCATGGTGTAGATGGGAACCAATGTTAGAAAGCCCAAGGGTCATCTGTAACAAGAGCCGTCTTAACCTTGTGCTTGCGCGATGGGAATAACATTGTTTTGCCTAGGTCCCAGCTGACGGTGCTTTATCTGTCCATGGTAAAGTATGATTGTACGCAAGTGCTTACACGTTTTGCGCGAACTAGTGGCGACCCCAAGTAAAGAGAGAGATAAAGTAATACGGAATAGGCATACAAGGAAATGGATACCAACTCAAGCATACAAAGACATAGGCTTTTATAAAAACATGAGAGAGAATGGAGTGGGGGGGAGAATCTTGGATAAAGGGCAGGATTGGGGCAGAATGAGAATCCCACAGGAATTCCCGGTTTTAGAATTGCGGAGCTTCAGCGCCCGTGGGTCGATTAAACTATAGATTTGTAAGGTACTTGATGCCGATGGCCTCTATGAAAGACTCTTTTGATCAGGTATATAGGCCTACACTATTGGCTACTTTAGCTTAGGAGCCCGCCGTCTGCAATGGTCGCAACTATTGGCTTTGCCTTCTTAAGAAATGAGCTGGCTCGCCAGTTGATACTCGTAAGCTCTTTCGAGCGAACAATCTTGTATTAGCTGACCGAAATGGTCCGTTTCTTGAAATGAACACTACTAGGCCACAGTCCGTATGACCCGGGGTGAGCAGGTTTCATTCACATGCACCTGAACTTCACAGGCCTCCTGTGGTTCGCAAATGAATAGGCATACCATCGCGCAAGGCCGCGTTTTTCGTCTTGCTTGTCTTTCAGGCCTTATTTTTCTTTCCAGCGATCTTGGCAAGATGGCGAAGGCTCCTCAGAGATGTCGTGATCAGATAATGGGGCATTAGAGATGGCGAACTGCGTGGCGCGTGGGGGGAATTTGGAGAAATTACTAGATTATCAGCTTACCATTGGTGCTCGGTTACTTTCTTGCTAGAGCGAGAATTACTCTGCCACGCAGCAGTATGAAGCTGGAGTCTTTTGGCTGGAGTCTTTGTGCGGCGTTTGCGATAGTGATTGGCGGAAGACGCCAAGGATCGGCCGGTCCCTACACTTTTTGCTGTAAAGGCCTCAAAGAATCCGTGTAAGAAATTTGACCCAGCCCTATGAGAATGGGAGTTGATACACGTGACAATGACTCTATTAGGATAGAGTCTTGTGCACTAGCATTGGCATCGTGATAATATATATGCTGGTTTGCCGAACGATTTTGCAATGCAGTATAATCCTGACGCATCTTGAGTGCGACCTTGGATGCCGCAATCGCAGTCTTTTAATCGAAACAATCTGACCTACCGGCATTATCATTCGTCATGATGAAACCGTGATCCTGCATGATTATTCTCATTTGTCGTATCGCTGTCAATATTGCGACGAATCGCGCCGAGCTTCGAACAACGACGGAACTCAGGTCGCGAAGAAAAGAAAACGAAAGCAGTAGCAAAAGCTAATACATATCAGAAGAATGATATGGAGTTCATTTGGCCTGCGTAATAGGCTGTTCTGTGTCTCATTGATGGAGTCGGGATAATGGGCTCTTTCACGTCCAATTCCTCGACGATGACTTAGACTTATGTGTTATCCTGCCTCTTACTCCTATTCCGTGGCTTATAAGATCCATTCGGACTGATTACGTGTGTGAAGAAGTCTTATAAGACAGACAACGCCATTTCCTTCCCTCCGATCAGTAATCTATCCATACTCTCAAGCACCAACAAGGCGCGCCTGTTGACCATTTCCACCTACTCAGGATTCATGAATCCGCTAACATGAAGAAAATCCGGGACCTCAGCCTCCTTGTTGTTTCTCTTTAATAATTTAGTCTTCAACATATGCGATGTTTGGTCTTGTTGGTCCCCAACACATCTTTTCGGATAAGGGACAATTATTAATCACCGCCAGCTGAAAGATAGAGCCTCCCATGGCAGCTCAGTGACGGTGTAGCAGTCTGGATTCGGCAGTGAAAGCCAAACAAACTAATCTATATGCCGGATTCATCGGCGCCGGTGGGATGCAACAAGATGCCGGCAATGAAACTGTATCCAGGATAATTCTAAATGGCAATTAAAATCGGAGTCGATAGTCATCCCACATTCACAAATTGTAATCAGTTGAGAAATGCTGCTGCCATCAGTGTTACGTTGATGGATTTAAGGCGGGCACCATCCGTCCAAGTTGAAAAAGAAACACTGCATCAGTTCTGAACACAATTTGAGCGCAAACCTATCTGACTATGGCATCCGAATCTATCATCAAGAAGATCGTCTGGTACGGTGTGAGTATAGAGCCTACATCTGCTGAGACTAAATCACATAGCTTACAAGTCCTCTTCAGCAAGGACCCAGACTCGGCAGTCGAGTCCTCCAGCGCGTCGCTGCACTCAAGAAATACGACATTACCTTTATCGGCCGTAAAGAGCCTTCTGAGTACGAGAATGTGCCAGAAGGTATTCCAATCGTACAAGTCGACTTGAAAGACCATAAGAGTCTTGTCAAAACATTGACGGGGGCTGATGCAGTTATTGTGTTCACCCATTTCAATCCAGGCGGAGAACTCGACATTGTTCAAATTGCGCTCATCAACGCTGCTATAGAGGCTGGAGTCAAGCTCTTCGTGCCTTCAGAATGGGCGCCCGACACTGCGGGTGGGAATGGAGCAACAATTGCAAGAATAGGACCAAACACTTTGCCTCCTAATCCCGCCGTCGCAGCAAAGAGGGTAGTTCACAACTACTTGTTATGTAGATCTGCTACAAACCAGATTGACTTTGTAAGTCTACATGTTGGCAACCTTCTCATAAGTAAGTAATTTTGCGAGAAACGTTTACTTGGAACAACACGCTCATTACTTCTAGACTTGAGCGCTTTTGCATCTTTGGACATCAACAAACGCACCGCTTCGCTTGGCGACGGTGGGCACGGCCTCATCTCCGTATCTAGCATTGATACGCTCGTAAAAGGTCTCGACAGTCTTTTGACCCAATATCCGAAATATAAAAACGACTTCTTTTACATCTGCGACGGCGAAACCAGCTTGCAGCGTCTCGTCAAAACCTTCCAGGAGGCCTCAGAGACCAATGAGCCATGGGAAGTCACTTCGTTTTCGATCGCCGAAAGAAAGCAGCAAGCAGATGAGAACATGCGCAACGGCATATTCACCAATAAAGAATTCGCGGCTGTTCTTACGTTTCCATTTACGGGTGGTTTGACAGTATGGCAAAATCCGGACAATGAGAGGCTCGGCCTGGAACCGCCTAGCGACGAGAAGGCCCAGAAAGTTGTCGATGATTTTGTGCAGAATTCGATTGCAAGGGGATATGTTAGTTAGGCACCAGGTGGAGTGGTATGCCCATGGCTAAGGAAGTGTAATAACGAACAAGTTACAGACACGATTATGATCTACATATTGAGCTACATTGACTTGTAGGATCTTATTCATCGCAAGAATTAAGTCAAATATTTTGTAATAATAAGCACGAGAAAAACGAGAAAAAACACTGGGCCTTTTCATCTCTCAGTCCCAATACTGTACTCAAGCCTCCACCTCGCACAAAGCACGCAATCCAAAGGTCAACTCCATGACACCACTTGCCAGAGCCTTCATGGGTCTTTTTTTCCAAGCTTTTCTGTCTATATTGGTGCTTTTCTTTATTTCGCTCCTGTTTCAGTCTCCGCTCTCCATGCAGAACCGCTTCACTGGTAACCCAGCCATATCTACTCCCTCCATCAAGGCCCCCCACCTCTCACTACATAGAAGCAAGGAACATAGTCATTCTCATCTAAAAGATGAGTCTATTATCTTATTACTTTACTTCAGCTGGTGGCAAGCCTGGGGGCAAGAGCTACATGACCAACACATACCAACAAGGGTATACTTATCCAGACAGACTAGAAGTAGCAGCGACGCTACTCTAGACTGCTGCATACATCAACAACATCGTATCACATCTTGCTATTCGCGCCAGACGGTGCGGCTGAAAGTCAGTCCCATTAGGCCCCGAAACTAATAAAACTAATAGATGTAGGCTCGCGATGTCCCGATGTGACTCGTTGTACTACCAACATGTGATAAGACGGATGTCGCCTTCTGACGGCGCCATGGTGTCATTAGGAGATACGCAGGCATTCAATAGAGGCAACTTGCTGTAATGATGGAGGATTGGAACTGAATATCATTCGTTCTACGCAGAGGCATTTGCCTTTGAAGATCTGGCTTAATTTTATTCGCCTCAGATATCTAAACACGAGCAAATAAGTAAAATCTCTTCCAGTCTTTGGGTGTGGGAAGCTTGCACGCAAATTGCCACCCCACAACCCAGATTATATGTCTCATATTCTCTATGCACGCCAGCAATTTGTTTCTATACCGAAAAGACAGCCGTAGCTGAAAAACAGGGAGGGTATTGGGGGCTCATTCATGCAGACCAGTCCGTGATCGTTGTAGTGGCAACCTGGCAGCCACCACTCGGTGATGATATACGGAGTAGACACATCAAAATAAATAGATGTAGGGCAGAAGAAACACTGCAATTGGTCCACGCATAATACTTGGAGCAATAGTTCCCCCTTGGTTGAAGGATTGCCAATTGCCACAGCTCAGCCCCAGGTATCGGGCTCCCCAACGTCAAACTTCATCGTCTGAGACTATACGGCAACTATAGCAAAGACGGCTGAAAGAATCCAATCACACCATTCAGCCATTCGCTCCTCATGACGGCAGCGGCAGGTTAAGCCATTCGTAGCAAGTGTTCACATGTCCCTGCCATGCTCCGGCCCAGAACCTGCCCAGCCCCAAATTCTATCCTCTGAGCAGCCCAATATTGAAAAGCTCGGGGCTGACTTTTAGCTCACAATAACAAGGGTTGAAAGGACCATCTCCGCCGTCTCCCAGGGACACGGGTTGATGCAGCGTGCCGTGCTGTGACCAGGGCAGGGCGTTACACTCATCTCACATCGAATTACTAGCTCGCATGAGGCGGCAGATGTCCCAAAACACAACTCCTATTTTTTCTCTCTTTGCCGGTGGTTGGCTTGCCACATGCTTTGGCTAGCAGGAGGTGGTTTAAAAAGCCTCCAATTTTTCCCGATGTTGATAGGATCAACCTTGGAATAGACGTGAATCAATCAAATGATCACGATTAAACGCTCCAAGGCGCAAGAACTATTGATCGGTAATGACCTTTTCATCATCCCAACAACGGCCCAGACTTCTCCATTGGTGATGAAAAGCCTTAGTAAGAGCCCCCCCTTGCTTCAACCCAACGACGTATGTACTCGCGTGGGTAGCCCAAGAGGGCGGGCATAACGAGTGTACATGGGAAGATTGCGCCATCTGCGCTATTCGAACGTATTTGGAAGTGCTGGAAGTCGCTCCTGAAAAGGCGACCACCCGAGGCTCCATAATGAGGGACCCTTTACTGCTCAAACGCCAGGGCGGTTCTAGGATCCCATGTCCGTGTATCTGGTGCAGACGTGGCCAGCCCTCCAGCCGTGTCTTGGACGTTTGTGATGGTGATGAATGAAGTAGCTGAAGCTGAAGCTGAAAATAGCGTCCAGGGCATGCAGCTAGGGAGAGATGATTGTCACGAGTCGATATACTGGAGGTGGCGTATGTCATCAAGCCATTGAAGCAGACGTGCCCTATATGTCAGCTAGTCGCGCCAAACAGCAAAGTGATGCTATCTCGATGGAGCCACGCCGTCTCGAGAGGAGCATTGATGGGCCGGTTCCCTCCAGGGCCCCATAATAGGACGCGGAGCACGGAATAATACGCATGCCCAGCGTCTAACAACATGTGCCCTAGTGTAGTAGCTTAAATCAAGTTAGACGGCGATGTTCCGTGCTGCTGTCCCGAGACATCTTTGAATGGCTGATGTGATGAGCTCAAGAGCATGAAGCATGATGAGACAAAACATGTTCAGCTCTGCAGCTCTAAAAAGCGACTAGATGATACACTGGATTCAGGCTGACTTGGAGTTGCCGTGCGTGAGAACACGATTCAGTCGGTAGCGTAGAGGCCATCACAGAAGACAGCATCTGTGGCGATGAAGGCATCATCTCGACAGCTTCGGGTCGCCGGCAATGGGCTCAAGCGTCCCCCCAAAGAGGTGTGTCAGCCCGAGAGAGATGACATGGGAAGTGCAGGGATCGCATCGTAGCATGGCGATGCCGTAGCCGCGGGCGTGTGGAGTCTGGGATTGCAGTAGACGATCTTTTTGTGCTCGTCGAATGTGCTTCGTACGAGTACGATGCTGAACGTGTTTGTATTTTCTACAGGCATCAGCCAATGAAATGGTCTGGCAGGTCATGCTGACAGGTCTATTCTCGTATGGAGTCAAGCAGACAACCATCCATGCAATACAACTCTACGGTCCATCGGGAGCCTTGATTCAAAACTGAATCCCTTGCATGATCATAATCTAAACAAGGTACAAGTAGAACACACAAGCACATGTTAGGTCTTTCATAAAATGGAATCAAGTCAAAAGTTTTTCCCCGTTGACGCAATCCATACAAAATCTCTCTCAGCAAGTACCTCTTACACCCATCCAGTATCAGGCCGCTACTTGACAGCCATTCTCCATCCGGGGGCTTCTTTAGGCTCCCTACTAGGCAAGCCAAGAAAAGAAAAAAGAATGGAAGCAGCCAAACAGCCACAAAAAAAAGAGGAACTTGCCGCTAGACTAACCGTTCGGTGCCACCCCTGGACCTTTTAGCTGCAAGCGAATACTTAGTCGGAAGCACGCAATCCAGTGGCTCTCGACAAAGGTACGCAATCTTGCCCAAATCTCAGGGCCAAAGGCAAAGTCCTAACCGATTTTAATTCTCTCTTTTTTTTTTTGGTCTTGTCATCTAGGCCCTGAGAATTGGACCCCAATTATATGTATATGATACTCCGAGTTGGCGGGTGGCTGCCGTGGGCAAGGGTGGATATGTACATATCCGGTACACATTTTGTATAAGGAATGTATAAGCCGTATGGGGAAGATGACGGAACGTACTCGCAACTCTGAGAAGATTTTGGTGCCTCTGGTGCTGAATCGGTATCCATCTCGGAGCCTCGCCAATACCGGGGAGATACTTGTCAAGTACAAGCAACTTGCACCAAGTCTGGAGCAGCATTACACGTACATAGCACCACACCCAGGGGAGTACGCCAGAAGAGGCTGATGCTGGAGCTGGGACGGGAACACAAACCAGCAAGGAATAGAGCACATGGCATGGATGGATAAGGATGTGCATCCGCACAGGCGAGGCTTCGGGGCAACCTCCCAATACTTGCTGGGGGGGACCCTCAAGGAAACTGGATGCTACTTTGCACATAAATAAAGTTGGGCTTGCTGTCCACCGACCCGCTCGCATCTCGCATTACTCTTCATCTCTTTTACTTCCTTCATCTTTTTTTTTTTTTCATTTTGCAGCTCTGGAAGAAGAGAGAAGACGATCATTCTCCCATCTGCCATCTGCTCCATAACGGTGCGTCACGGACGCGTTATATCCTGTCCATATATCCCCCTTCTCCATATTCTGGAGTGAAAACAACGGGGGACTCAAGTTCGGTGTATGGTGACGACTTTTGTGTGTAAACTCGAAAGTTTATACTTCACCCACCTCTCTCTACTATTTCCTTAAAACTCAATCCCTCTTTTTCTTCTTCTTCTTCACAAAGAGTAACCATGGCCTCCTTCGCGACAAACACCAAAGAGCGCCTGGCCAAGGCCGTTGGCTTCGACTCGGAAGACCGTGACAGCGATGTGCCGTCAATATCCAACGCCGACCCGTTCCTGGAGCGGGAGCCCACCGTGGGCGAGTATCTCGAGGAGATCCGGCCGTCGCTGCATGATATCGGAATGTACTTTTACAATCTGTTTCCGTTTCTCCACTGGATCGGCAAATACAACTTTACGTGGTTCATTGGTGATTTGATTGCTGGTGAGTTGGCGCACAACACCCGTGATATGTAGATGTTATAACGAGTTGTGTCTAATTGCGCCGTTTTAGGTATGACTGTTGGAGCTGTCGTTGTGCCCCAGAGCATGGCGTATGCGCTTCTGGCTCAGTTACCTCCCGAATATGGCCTGTACTCGTCCTTCATGGGTGTCTTGATCTACTGGTTCTTTGCCACTTCGAAAGATATCACCATCGGAGTAAGTCTGGCTACTACTTACACAACGTATCAGAACCACAGCTAACGACCAACTTATAGCCCGTTGCCGTCATGTCCCAAGTCACCGGCGACGTCGTCCTCAAAGCCGCAACACGCCTCCCCGATGTCCCCGGCCACGTTATCGCCTCGGCCCTGGCCATCATCGCCGGCGCCATCATCTGCTTCCTCGGCCTCGCGCGCCTTGGCTGGCTGGTCGAGTTCATCCCGCTGCCGTCCATCTGCTCCTTCATGACGGGCTCGGCCATCAACATCATCTCGGGCCAGGTGCCCAAGCTCATGGGCATCAAGGGCGTCAACACGCGCACCGCGCCGTACCTGGTCATCATCAACACGCTCAAGGGCCTGCCGACGACGACGATTGACGCCGCGCTGGGCCTGACGGCGCTGCTGATGCTGTACCTCATCAGGGGCTTCTGCACGTACATGGCCAAGAAGCAGCCGCACCGGGCCAAGATGTACTTTTTCATCTCGACGCTGCGCACGGCCTTTGTGATTCTGCTGTACACGGGCATCAGCGCCGGCATGGTGCTGCACCACAGGGAGAAGCCCCCGATCAGCGTCCTGGGCAAGGTGCCTCGAGGCTTCCAGCACACGGGCGCCCCCGAAATCAACACGACCATCATCAAGGCCTTTGCGCCGGAGCTGCCCGCCGCCGTCATCGTGATGTTGATTGAGCATATTTCCATCTCCAAGTCGTTTGGCCGCGTCAACAACTACATCATCGACCCGTCGCAGGAACTCGTGGCCATTGGCGTCACCAACCTGCTGGGCCCCTTCCTGGGCGCATATCCCGCGACCGGATCCTTCTCGCGAACCGCCATCAAGGCCAAGGCCGGCGTCCGCACGCCCTTTGCGGGCGTCATCACGGCCATCGTTGTGCTGCTGGCTCTGTATGCCCTCCCAGCGCTCTTCTTCTACATCCCCAACGCCGCACTCGCCGCCGTGATTATCCACGCCGTGGGCGACGTCATCACGCCGCTCCGAGTCGTCTTCCAGTTCTGGCGCGTGTCGCCCATCGAGGTCGTCATCTTCCTGGCCGGTGTCCTGGTGACTGTCTTTGCTACCATCGAGGACGGCATCTACACCACCATCTGCATGTCCGCTGCCGTCATCGTCGTGCGCCTTTTCCTCAGCCGCGGCCGCTTCCTTGGGGTTGCCCGCGTGCGCACCGTCAAAGCGACCGAATCGACAAACAAGGGCGGCGACCAGGAGGCTCTTGTCGAGTCGACAGAGTACTCGCAGCGCTCTGGCTTCTTGCCGCTGGACCATGCGGACGGCTCCAACCCGCGAGTTTTGGTGTCGAGCCCGTATCCCGGCATCTTCATCTACCGCTTCGCCGAGGGCTTCAACTACCCGAATGCGACGCGATATCTCAACCACCTGACGGAGACTATTTTCAAGGAGACGCGACGGACCGATGTCAAGACGATTGCCAAGCTTGGGGTAAGTCAGCTCTGAATCCAACAGGAGTGTAAAAGGAAAACTAACCGTACAACAGGACCGGCCGTGGAACGACCCAACCCCACGAAACGCAGAGCAAGACGAGCACGACAACCGCCCCACGCTCAAGGCCATCATCCTCGACTTCTCCTCGGTCAACATTGTCGACGTCACCGCCGCCCAGGCCCTCATCGACGTCCGCAACCAGCTCGACCGCTACGCAACCCCCCAGACCGTCGACTGGCACTTTGCCCACATCGAGAACCGCTGGACCAAGCGAGCCCTCTGCGCCGCCGGCTTCGGCTACCGAACCCCGCGCCACAACGCGGAGGACGGCGAGGGCGCGGGCCACTGGAAGACAATCTTCAGCATTGCCGACCTGGGCGGCTCGGACAGCGCGGCGGCGGCGGCAGCGGCGGAGGAGAAGGACAAGGAAAAGGGCGGCCGGGCGGTGCAGTACGACGTGGAGCGCACAAACTCGGATGACATCTCCAAGGCGTCTGACAAGGACGTGCCGTCGCACCCCAGCAGCCGGAGACTGGTGGCCATCAAGGGGCTCAACAGGCCGTACTTTCACTTTGACCTGCAAGAGGCGGTTGAGTCTGCCATTGCCAACGCGGAGAGGCATCACGAGAGCCGCCGTGAGAGCGATGACACTGATGAATAAGCATTTGATGTTGTTTTGATTTGGTTTATGAATAAATTTCTAATCTAGTACTGGGAAGAGGAGCGTGTCGTCTGTTTCTAATGAGTCTTGTAGCTACTGAGCTGCTGCTTGGAGTAGCAGCAACAAGTGGTCAACTTCTTTATACCTTGTTATATCATTTTCAAACACTTTATATAGATACCACTGCTCGTTGGGGATGTAGTTAAGGAATCCCACGGCAGACAGAATAAAGAACTCCAGCACATACTAGTTGCTGTTGCTGGAAATTAACAGCCCACGTTTATTTCCACGTCCTACAAGTCAGAGAATTCGACGTCTGACTCTTGCTGCCACACCATACTATCGAATATCCCACCCATATATAGCTCTTAGTCAAAACTTCTGACAGTGACGTGTCAATGGATAATAGTTCCCGGGTAAGCCATTTACGCTGGGCCATTGGCCAATCGAGCCGAAGAAAAGTGCCGTGCCCATGGGGAAAAGAGGGCGGCGGTGGCTGAGTGCACTGCAGAAATGGGATATTACGGCAACAACCTTCACACGGGAAGTTCGTTGGCTGTAACTATCGATTTATTCAATGTGCTCACGTGCTGCGTGTGTGATTGGAGCAGCGACTCGTGTTGGGATGCTTTGTTTCCATAACCGTGGGAATATGCGAATGTGAGACAGGCAAGTAATTGCGCGCGGGGCGACGCATGCATGCATACATGTATGGATGTTTACGTGCCTTAGTGGTTGTGCTTCTAATGGACAGGACAGGTAGGCAATCGACCACGAAAAAGGGTGAGAGATGATAGTTCCGATATCCGAGGAGATAGGAGGAGAGATTTTGGCGCATGGGCCCGATATTCGAGCATCACGGTGGCCATTCCGTCATTGCGGCCAGAACGGTCGAGTATCCAGTTAATGAGCTTCACATGATGTGCCAGAGCCCAGTTATTAAACCGGAGTCTTTCGCATGACTTTGTCTCTTTGTCTTTGTCTCTGCGTTCCTGTACCTGTTGTTCTTTTTTCTAGAATGCTGTTGGCAAGCTATACTTGGATGTACCTACAGTACAGACTGTGCGTGACCGGTTTTGGATGCAGTGCAGGCCGTGTGGAGAGTGCATGTAGCCATCAAATTGGAGCAAATACGGCAAATGCCGCCATGGTAAGATATTAGGCTAGCATTACGAGGCAACACTCACTAATTAGTTGCGATGATGATGTTCATGTTGGGTGGTTCGTACAATCAGATCATTGGTAGGTATTTGTAGCATTTCATGACCTACCTGAAGATTGATTCCATTATTGAATCTTTTTCTTAGAGAGAAAACAAGTAGATTAAAAACAAAAAAAAAATAAAAAAATAAAAACAAGCCCGACGTCAACTTAATTTCAACAGTCATGGATCATCAAAAATCATCGTCTCATTTCCTGTTCCCTGTCCTAGCGCTCCTAGCGCTCCTAGCTCCCCATTAGTCACTAAAGCTGGTCCCCAGTGCACCTACCACCTACTGTGATGGGACAAAACTTCCCACGCTGGCGCCGCCTATTCGCAGAGCCCGTCTGACAAAGCAGCGCCCGTCACTCGATACGGGGCGCAGTGACGTAATGGCACGTCGCCGGGGCAGCCTCTGCAGCAGGCTTGGACGGCAAATCCTGCTGCTTCCAGCTTCCAGCGGCCTCGTCCAGCGCGCTAAGGTGCCGTGACAGCGCCAGCCAGCGCCAGCCAGCGCCACGGCCTGTGGCCTTTTCCTTTTAAACTTTGCCTGTGCCGGGTGGCCAAACCGAAGGATCCGTCGATTCCGCCAGAGTCTCGCCCGGAGACTGAGCAGCGCGCGAAAAGAGGGCAAAAGAGAGCAAAAGAGAGCAGAGGAAACAGACAAAGTTGATTGATGGAGCACCACGCGTCACTGGCCTGACTTATTCGCCGCAGTCGTTGCCAACCTGCGACTCGACTCGACTCGATTGACGACCTGAACCTGCTTCCGCTGCTTTTTACTCGTTGCATCTACTCCATCCATTGACCGCTGATCGACACGCCGTTTGCGTGCCGAGTCGTTCTTTTGTCTGCTCTGCTGCTCTGCTGCTCTGCTCGATTTCATCCTTCTTTTGTTTCCATCGTTTGCTCTCTTTCATCCTCCCACTCGATTCCCTCGATTCCTCGATTCCCCAGTGCCAAGGAAAAATCAACAACCAGTGGGCAAAACCTGGGTCGCGGGGCCTGACTAAGCGATTCCGCGGCTTCTGAGAGGCCCGTCCGTCTCTCTGTGTCGCCATCACCCTCTGATCTGATATCCACACGCTCAGACCCGATCCTGCACCTGCGCACTGCGATCCTTCAGCATGGATTCCAGTCGCCGCTCGCGAGGCTCCAGAAGCCTGCGGTCGTCGCGATGGCGCTCCATCTCGTCAGCCTCAGCCTCGCCGTCGCCGTCGCCCAGATCGCCGTCGCCGCCTCGCACCGACGACGAGGTCGATCCGCACACAGTCGTTCCGCCTTCACAACAACAACAGCAACAACAACAACCGCCGCCAGCACGAGCGCAAAGTGAGAGTCTGCAGCCGCCGCCGCCTCGATATGGCGCGCCCAGCTCAGATCGCGGCCGCGGACGCCGCATGGGATCCGTCTCGTCTCGCCGGTCGTACACCCCGGCCACGCCAGACGCTACCGAAGAGTCAGAGACCGAATACTTCCCGCCGCTGGGCATCGCCTCCAGCGCCGTTTCCAGGACGTCGAGCATCCGCGGCCGTGCTCCGTCATACGCGGGCTCTACTGCCGGCTCCGTGGCAGGCTCCAACGCCGGTGGCCGGCCGGTCCATGAGCGGATAAGACAGCCCAGTGTTCGCATTCGACGCCGCAGCTCCAGCGGCGGCGGTACCTCCGTCATCGACTATGCCTCCGAGAGCAGCGACACCGACGCAGGCCGGCGCCACCTTCCCCGGCCGCGGAGCATATCGCAGCCTATGCCTGCCGCGCAAATCTACCCGGATGCCAACGTTGCCAGACTGTCGCGCCGCGTGCCGCAGGTGGCGCTGCCGCGTCTCACAGAGGAGGGCTCGCGGCCGACCATGTCCGAGCTGGGCATTCCTCCATCGCCGCTTTCGCCCTCGCGGTCGCTGCCAGAGGAGACGCTGGAGGAAGACGACCCTCGCAATCCTGATAGCGGCGGCTCTCCAGCACGGAGACTGACCAGGAAGCGAAAGCTTAGCAAGATGTTCTGGCCTGGCGGCTCCCTCAACCGCGGACCAATGTCACCACCGCCCCGCGGAGCCAGCTCAGAGAGAGGCACATCCGCGGGTCCTTCCAACCAGAGTCATTTCGGCCTGAGTCTTGGCCAACGTCAAGGCCAGCAGGCGCCCGCGTCGGACGAGTACGGCGAAGACCTGGTCGACTGGCTAGATATCATTGGTGAGTCCCAGCCGGGTCTAGAACAAGCAATTGACCGGCCGATGCTGACAGTTTCCGTGTGCCACTAGATCCCGAGGTCCAGACCCTTTCGACCCTGACCAACGTGCAAAACTCCCTGTTCGTGCCTGATCTTGGGCCTTGGATCAACCGCCGCCCCACCTACGTCTTGTCCCAGCGTGACACTGCGCCGACTGGACGACGAGGCCGGGCTGCTACTACTGCTACTGCTGGGCTCGACGAGGAACAGCTGCCCGAGCCGATCGAGGAGCTGCCAAGGTTCGAGACCGGCGTGGAGACGCCCAGGAGCGAGGGTGTGCCGGCGACGCTGCGGCGATCCGACACAATCACCTCGCGGCTCACAGACTCGCACTACGCGGCGCTGCCGCACGGCATCAGCCTCGAGGGCTGGACCGAGGAGGAAAAGGCCGAGCTGGACGACCGCGTGCGCCACATGCTGCACTCCAAGCGGTCCCGCTTCAAGCGCCAGATGAAGGGCTTTGGCCAGTACGTGCGGCGGCCGCTGGGCTTCTTCGTCACGCTCTACGCCGTCCTCATCACCCTCTTCGGTCTGGCCTGGGTGCTGTTCCTCATCGGCTGGATCTACGTTGGCGATAAGCAGGTGTATACTATCCACATCATCGACAGCGTGCTGGTGGCCCTGTTCGCCGTCATGGGCGACGGCCTGGCCCCCTTCCGAGCCATTGACACATACCACATGGCCTTTGTCATACACTACTCCCGCAAGATTGAAAAGGCCAAGAAGAAGAAGCTCAAGGAGAAGGAAAAGGCCATCACCGATGCGGCGGCCGAAGGCAGCGTGGAGCTTACCCACTATGCTTCCGGCGACCCTCTCGCGGCGTACCCCGGCGCTCCCATTGTCGAGCCCCAGACCAACGGCCTCGAGCCCCAGAGCGTCAGCGCGAGTGCCAGCGCTTCGGTCGAGAGAATCGCCACTAGCACCAGCAATCTCAACCTAGCGATGGCGCCCACGCCCGATCCCGAGCAGGCCATTGTGGATCAGAATGGAGACGTCGAGGCCGCCAAGCTCGCCATCGAGTACGACGAAGACTCTCCGCTCACGTTCAAGCAGTGGAAGCGCATGCGGCACCACCAGAAGAAGCTGGCCAAGTCTCACAGTTTCTACAAGCCCGACGAGACCTTTACGCACTTTGCCTTTCCCTTGCCCTACCTGATTGCGATTGTGATACTGCTGGACTGCCACTCCTGCCTGCAAATTTCCCTGGGTGCCACCACCTGGGGCATCGACTACCACCACCGACCCTTTGCCATCACCACCGTCATCCTCTGCGTCAGTATCGCGTGCAACATCTCGGCCGGCCTCACCATCATGATTGGCGATCGCAAGACGCGGAAGAAGGAAGTATGGAAGCTGTTGACGCGACAGGAGCTGACGGGCGATGCCATCAAGCATCTTGAGACCAAGCGTGCCAAGGAGCAGAGCCAAAGCCACGACAGCGGCCACAATAGCGTGCAGGAGGAGCAGACGGATATGAACTCGAAAGAGGACCGGTAGTAGCCATGCATATCTTAAACCGTGCATGAATACGATGTCCTTTGATACCCCATGAGCGAGAACGGTTCTATTATACAATACACCATGACCCTTTTTCCCTTTTATTTTATACCTTTATTTATACTCGTCGATAAATGCAATCGCTTAATCAATCAGAGATATACACGTGGCGTTTCTCAGGCGTATAATTTTCTGTTCTATTTCTTTTGGGTATAGTTCTGGGTTATCCTTATCTTGTATTCTCATGGCTTTGTTGTTGTTGCTGCTGTTTCCCTTGCTATTATGCAGTGCCATGATGGATATGCATGCCATGGCGGTCCAGACTTTTCTTGTGGTTTCTTTTTACCTCGGGATTTGACAGTCAGCTACGTGTTATGTCATGCAGCCGACGCCGGAGATGGATGGGGAGTGGTTCACGTTACAGGATGCAGGAGTTGTTGGCGCAGAGTCTGCTCAAAAGGCAAAAGCTTCGGATGATACAAGAACTTCTAGACCTCGATCTGGCTACATTTAGTCTAGTGTCAAGGGTGTTTGTGTTTGTTTAATTAATGAGAAACGCTTTGCAACGATCTGGCGTCGCCTAGAGCCTCTGCCGTGCCACCGATGCGACCTTGTATCGGCATTAGACCCTCTTACCAAAGTGATGTGTCCCTTTTTAGCTGCTGTCACGTTGGCTTTTGTCTGGCGTTTTCAATCTCCGCCTCATATCCGACGATGGATGGGCGTTGCAGCGCTTGTTGCGCCCTACCCGCCTTTTTGTTTAGAAAATGGAAAAAAATAAGAACTAAGAGAGCGAGAGAGATGGGCTAGAACTGCCTGGACCCGCGGATATTACGGATCCTGGCGGTGGAGAGGCGTTCTTGGCGATCTCAGCTGTTTACTTGCTCGCACTCGCTTCTCTGCTGAGTTTCACCTTGATCTGCTTCCCGCACTTCTTGGTGGCGTTTCGGCATTTCTCGTAAAGTAACCGTTACACTAGCCTGACAGCTATCACTTGTCACCTTCTTTCGTTGATTTCATTTCTTTTTTCCCTCTCTTTCTTTTCCCCATTCGTTATCCGTTGACTTTTTTTGTTTCCCCTCCTTATGTTAAGCTGATCATCTAGACTGGAGATGGCGTTTGTCAGCCACACTCGACCCCCAGAGTGGGGGACTGGAAAAAAGATTAGAAAGACCACGGGCCTGGACTCTGGGATCACGATGGATCGAAAAATGTCTTGTCCTTTTTTTTACTTCTTGATTTCTTTCCGTTTTTTAAGATTTGCAGCAGGGAAAAAGGGCTGCGCTAATGCCGAGGGGTGGATTAGCCGTCCATCCTATCCTACCCAGTGGTACGGTGCCTGGTATATATGAGTGAGACAGATGTTTGTCGAGGGAGCCTGCGCTCTTATACCTGATGCTATTTGTGTCTCTTCTTCTCTTCTTAATCTCTTTCGTTATTTTACTTGATGAATAGAAAATGCCTGCTTGACACTCTTGCTCAGACAATCCCATCGCAAAAGACATCTTCCTAAGAGACAGACACTCAACGAAACCATGGTCGCCGACCTCCCTCTCTCCACCATCCCCCCCTCCAAGCCTCACTCCCACACCGTCATCTTCCTGCACGAGAACAAAAACTTTGCCCGCAGCGCCGTCAACCGCATGCACGAGGCCACCGACCGCGACTGGCAGTCCATCATCCAAAACTACGCCTCGACGCGGTGGGTGTTCCCGCAGGCACCCACCGGCGAGCCGCTTATACCGTCGCTGCAGAGCATCTCGACGGGCATCCAGCACGCCGTGCACAGGGGCGAGCCCAACTGGTGGAATAACCAGGACCCGGATGCTGCGAGGAAAGAGAGTGACATTCTGCCTGATCTGCGGGAGAGGATCAAGGAGCTGGAAAAGGTCATCTCGAACGAAGTGAGCGTGCTGGGAGGCCGTTGGGAGAGGGTCATTCTGGCGGGAATAGGCCACGGCGCGGGCATGGCCATGGCGACAATCATCAGCCTGGGCATCCCCAACGAGCAAGACCTCAGTACAGTTACAAGCAGCACCGGAAAGAAGAAGCCTCAGCCCCTGGGCGGCTTCGTCGGCATATCCTGCGAGATGCCCCTCCAAGAAACGCCCTCCGCCGCCCGCCGCCTCCTCTTCCCAGACAGCGACGCCCTGCCAGACAAAGAAAAGAGCAACGATGTCTGGAAGAAGACGCCCGTGCTGCTGCAATATTTCGTCAATGGCGGGCAGGAGTATCTGGACAAGGGCCGGGCTTTGAGGGACATGCTGGTGGCGAACGGCGTGGAGGATGTTTGTTGGCGGGAGTACGAGGATGGACGGATGTTTATGAATTCGCCGCGGGGGGTGGAGGATGTGAAGGAGTTTTTTGGGGACAAGATGGATTTGAGGCCGAATTACTGATTGATTTGGTTGTGATGTTTGTTTGAAATGGATTTGTGCGGGCGTGTTTTTGGATCAAAAGTATACCAGGAGGGAATTTGTGATGAACTTTAATGGTATTGGCATACTGCATCATGGTGGACAGGGCTTGGATTTTCTTTAGCATCTTTCAACCATCTTATTTGAGCGTCTCTTGATATTGATCTTGTGTTACTTGAGTTCTACTTTGTGTGTTAATTAGGCGGCTAGAAAGAGAAATCACCGCAAGCTGAGCGACGGACAAAGAAGGAGAGAAGCCAACCAAGCAAAGGTGCTGTGCCATATCCCAATGGATGCTCGATTCATCCCCCAACATTCCTATCAAGGCTGCGTAAGCTGTTTCAGCAAAAGTCTCACGATGCCATTTGAAGCAATAGACATTTTCCCTGAGTGGGCATGCATGTATCACACGGCGTTTACAAAGTGATACCTGTACTGTGCAGCTCTTCGGGATCCCGGTTGTTGGGCTGACAGGGGGCGAGGCATGCAGTAGTAAGCTGGAACAAGCCGCTCGGGAAGATCCTAGTGTAGATGGGCGGTATCACGTCAGAATCGATGCCGATTAGCGTCGCTGCCCTTGAGGCTGACGTGGATTAGCTGAACTCTCAGCAAGATATTCTTTTATATAGTTTTGACCTTTGGCCAGTGCAGTGTCTGGGGCTATTCTCATCATCATTCAGATTTCTATTTATAAGTAAGAGCAAGTAATGCGGAGTACCTTGTATCACAAGATATTATGTGTACAAAACGCCACTTCACATAAACGCGCACACCACCTTGGCCATTTGTCTGAGACATTCTCGACTAATACAGGCCGCGACTGACAGCCCGACTTACTGAGACTCGGACTCAGCTTCACGCTCCAGTTCCAGGATTTCGGCATGATAAAATCAAGGATTCTGCCATGGTTGACTTTTTGGCCAAGGGAGAGCCGCCCTTTTGCTGCTCCGTGCAGCGGGAGTGATAGTTTGATGTCTGCTCTTAGTGCTTGCATGTCCACTGTTAGCCATGATTAGATCACATACAGCTCCTTTGGCTTCTGAGAAGCAGTACTTCAAGAAATGTGAACCGGCATGAAGATGAAATGCACGAGTCATGAGCTTAAATAAACGCCATTTGGCGCATGGGGGGCGGTTCATCTCACAGACTGCAGCTTTCTCCAAGCTTACTGCTACATCAACACTACACACGTAAAAGCTCACCACCATCGTAGTATCCAATGTCGCAGCCGATATTGATGTTGCACCTGCAATTACACTGCCAAGACCATGCATGTCCTTGAATGTACTTTACAGCACAACTCTCCTAGGAGGAGAAATGCCGTACCTCGTGTGTAGCATTGGCCGTGATGCCATTTTGTGCCGTGTCTCACATCTCTTTATGGCCTACGGAAGGGATAGTCATGCTCTCCTCTGCTTCTCCCTACTCATGTCCTGCTCTCTGGCGTGGCTTTTGGTTTCTTCAGCGGTCATTCCCGTACATCATTATTTATCCCCTACTTGGCCATCCTCAGCTCGATTCCTGCCTGCCTTGACTGTTTGATCACTTCACCATTGACTCATCCTCCAACAACCATGGACGCCCCCCCGCCCATCATCATCGGCCTTGAAGGCCTCATCCAGCACTCCCTGCCGCGCATCACCAGGTTCCGCAGCGCCGCAGCCGCCATGACAGACTTTGGGCGACTCTCGCCCTTCTTGAAGCGCCTTCAGGTTAGCGTCCTGCTCCTGGGCTCGATATACCGCAAATTCTCGCAGTACGACATGATTGCGGGATCCGATCTGTGTCTTGGTATCTGCCACGACAGCCTTGTGCAGACGCAGGGCATGATGCAGGCGGTGTTGCAGGCGCCAGATGGCGATAATGTATACAATCTAGGCGCAGAGGTGCTGATTGAGAGATTGCCTGATGAGATTAGCTCATTCATTTCCTCTGTTGAGCTCTTGAGGAGCACATATCAAGAGTGAGTCGCAACGGCTGTAGCATAGCTTCTTACTGCTAATGATTGTAAACTAGGTCACAATCCGAGTACATACTCGGATCAATGAAGGAGCTCGCCAACCTACGACAAGACTACTCCAAGCACCTGCAAGAATGCACGCACCGGAAAAAAGGAGCGCATCTCGTCATGACTGGATCAAGTGAAGATGAGCGGACCTCGCGCTCGGATGGGACACAGCTCACCGAACCCGAAGTATCATCATCTATCAAGTCACCTGGACAGAGAGCCATCGAAGTAAAACTGACGCCTTCACGCAACACTGCTGCTAGTATAAGAGGAAAGCTCGGCCACACCGCTGTTTTGGGAGCACAAGCCAGGCCCAACAGAAGCGGAGAGCTTGGATACGAGTCTAAGAAGAACAAAGAAGCATGATGTGAGCTTAGAATGGGGAAATTTTGGCGCCGATACAATAACAGGATTTTTACACTTTCTACATAATGGGGATGCCCATGAAAAGCAGGGTAATAGAATCAACGTCACCGCTCGAGAGGAAGGGTGAAGAAGCGGAAGCAGACACGGACCTGATATTTTCCTTTGTTTTTAACAAGAGTATCGTTTACAATATGGGCCTTACAATGGTATGGGAAGGCATTTCTTATACACTGACAATTCTGTCTTTCCTTTTTCTAGTTGGGTGTTCTTGATCTTCGGTTCAATCTGTCTATGCACAGCACAGACCTGATTCAATCTTATTCATTAGACAATTTAATTAGTCTTTTATATTATTCTCTTGCTATCAAGGTTATTATCACTGTATCTCTTATCCCAGTCCATGCGCTGAAGGCTGTGCGGTGCTTGTGCTGCTAGCGTTGCTCGTCACATTCCTCATGTGCTGTTATACCGTAATAATCACAATTTATGGATCAAGCATCCCATGATAATCCAAATATATAAACTGGACTTGTGGCCGGCTCACATTCTCTCAAGCAGCTCCCTCTAAAGCTCTCACCGACCATCTACAACCGCCTAGGGAGCTCTTGGTCCGGGACATCCATTATTCAAGATGTCCCGGCCCAAAGAAAAGAGTCATCAAGGCTCTCATGACGGAAGCTTGATCTAACCGAGCTTACTATGTGGCTGGTAAGTGCCCGTCCTTGTCATCTTCTCATGCTGGAGATTAACATGAAGTCATTATAGGAATGGTTCGTCTCCAATCATCCTTCTTCGCGGTCAACTTGCCTGTCATAATAATTGGACCTGCATGCGCTTGAAAGAATGCGAAAGTCAGCATTTGAGTGTCAAGTCATCTTGAAGAAAGAAGCGAAGTAATATTATTGATTGAGCTGATAATAACTATCTTGTATGACGTGTCATTGCGTGATAAATGTAACTTTTGGAAAGGCGAAGTAAGTCCTAAGTGTAAATGTTCCACGCATTGTCTCTGCACCAAGCTAATCTGGAGATTGAACTTATCGTCCAATGCAGCGAACCAATTAGCCGACTTCCGAAGTAAGGTACGGCATAATGATAAACCGCAGATAGTCGTCATCAAAACTCAGCCCCAGTAGCTAGATGTCGTACTGCAAACCACATTTCATAAATGCATGGAATAAAACAGTAACACCATGCCTTGTGATACGCCAAATGGAAAGACGATGAGCAATAAACGACCCATTAACAGCTACCATTCGCACGCAGATCTTCAGGGGTATCAGGTTGGTTTTGCCAGTGCGCTTTGATGATTGCAGGATGCTTGCTCAAGTTCTCACTGGTCTTTGTGATGATCGGAAATGCGTCGAGATCAACGCCATATCGCTGCGCATTCCAGACAGCTGGCAGCAGACAAACGTCTGCCAATGTGATGTTATCGCCAACGGAGTACTGGCCCGCCGAGTCCTTGGCCGTCGTCTCATAGGCCTGAAGCACTTCTGTCATTATTTCCTTGTTCCACTGCTCTGGGCTGGCCCCGAGCCTCTTAATGCGCTTCATGATCCTCAGGTTTGTGACAGGCTGCAGGTCGCAGGCAATGATGCTAGCCAGCGTACGGGTGACAGCCCTTGCCTCTGGGTCTGAAACTGGCGGTAAAAGCTGATAGCTCTCGGGGAGTGTCTCGTCAAGATACTCGATGGCAGCGACCGATTGGCCGACCTTGAAAATGCTTCCGTCGCTGCCTTTGCGCAACAGCAAAGGTACAGTAGCGTTTGGATTGAGGGCCTTGTGCTCGCTGGACTGCTGTTCTGCTTTGAGGAGGTTGACAGTCTTCATTTCATACTCAATGCCCTTGAGGTTTAGTACCATTCGAAGGCGGGCAGAGCAAGAAGAGCGAAAATAGCTGTATATGATGTATGTTGGTTTCGACATCTTGATGAGAGTAGCTCGTTCTGTGTGGCGGGACCGGAAGTATTCAAGATAGTAGGTATGTGTTTGTTATAGAGTTCAACAGTTGTCAAATGAGAAGAAGAAAAAGTCTTATTCTGCTGTAGGAGAGAACTGAGAAAAGCGCAGAAACAAAGGAGTTGGCTTGAGATTGAAGTTGTTATGGAAACAAAGATTGCGTAGCACAATGATGGCTTTATGAACTCAGGCCTCGGATAGCATCGCGGAAATGGCACCGCCAAGCTGATTCCGAGATGGCCAGCCTAGACATCCGCTGGTAGCCTCGGTGGGCCGAAAATCTGGAGTATTGTGGCGCTTTTAAATACCTCTAACGCAAGTAGGCAAACAGTACCCTCTGCTTTCATTCCGTTGAAATTTTTTGGTCCGAGCCTCAAGCAATAGCTCAGTCAAAGGGCGGCAGGAAAGAATTCATGATTATACGAGTGAGACAGGTGACGACGTAAGTAGAGAGAAAACAGTAATTATATAATTAATCAAGTAAATGAACTTGTAACTGAAGAAGCTTTATTATTAGTTCCATGAACACCATCAGACCCCGCCAAAGACCTAAAAGCGGCTCAACCTTAGCCGACGAGCCGTTTGGACAATGTACCGATATTCTCTCCCGCTCTCTAACTTTTGGTCTTCAATTTCATACGCCTATTGGCTTTTTAACAGTTGATGGCTAGGCAGATACCTGTTGTTGAGTTGCAGACATGAGCCCCTACGTAACTACGCATTTATGACGCCAGATCGCGATAGACATTGGACTATTACGGGCCTTACCGTGCCCTCTGGCATTTGCGGCTGAGATTGTAACAATAGGGATTGGTGCTAATATGTGTTCCTGAACACAAATCTAACAACGGATACAAGATAATGCGTTTGACTCTATACTTGCACCTTGAAGTGAGTGGAAATGAGACCGGTTGTAGCTTCGACCGATATCCGCCACTAAATGCTCACTCATTAACGTCATGGCCACAAAGCGGTTATACACGTCGATGATAACACAGTCATAGGCTTTCACTTTTTCATTTGACATATTTTCTCACAGACATCTATCTACCTGCTCTTAAGCCTATGCTCCCCAATATCCATCATCATAGGCCAGGCTTTGTTCTTAATATAGATCCTGTCTGCATCCCATTCGGCTGCATATTTCATCCGCCTTACGCTTCCCCACTCAGCTCCAGCAACCGCGCTGAATACCAAAACCGGGCACCCAGCAACTTAAAACGCACCATATTGCGCGTTGACGAAACATTGAGCGTAGATATATTAAACTATATTAAGTTGCAGACCGCTAAGCTCATCATAACCTGTTTTTGATGCCAAGAGGTGTATTGTCTCCTCAGCTACCGCATCTTCATTGGCTGCAATGTGGAGTGAAGGGCCGTCTCTGTGCCTAAAATGCTAGAATTTAGTAGTTCGTTTTCAACAAGTACTGCATGAAGCACACCTCACCGCTTGGCCATTTTGCTTGTTTTCGTTTTCTCATATCCTAGGTGTTTACAGTCATCCAGATCTAGTAGCCACCAAGGCTTCTTCCGCGCACTGACCCTGAGACAATTTGAGCCAAGCTCGTGCCCACTGCTTGTCAGTCATTCTCAGCTGCCAGTATGTGCTTGGATAACAGACGTGTGACTTTACTGTACAAGGCAAAAGAAGCATCGATCCTGAGTTTAGAGCATGTTGCCTAGAAAACTAGACCAGAAGCCCAATGGTGTAACACGGGTTAGGCTTCTCTTAGCAGGGTAGAGCGTTCAGCCGCACGTCGCCTGCAGAGATGGATCAGGTTGGCTGCCCACCCAACCATCTCTTCTCGTCATGCAGGCTGAAATACGAGCTGGGATATCGATGAGACTGCAATGTGAGAGGACACGGAAAATTGAGTGTCAATTCGCTACGAGATCATGATTCTTCGACCTTGATTATAAGCGTACACAAAGAACGTTAGCTGTAGAAATAAATATCGGTTTTGCGTAACCAAACGCTGCTTTTGGCATTGTTTCTTGGGTTAAAGCTGCATTCACTAACAAGGTCAAGCAGGGCATAAGAATAGACTAAAAAATAAAGGCCACCCTACAAGCTGCAGCTACCTTGTTATGGCATAGCAGGCCAAGAGCAGACAAATAAAGATCGACGAGAAGTATCGGGTATTCCTTCGTTCTCTTAGGCGTCGAAATTTGCACCAATAGCATCCTGGTCCAAAGCTCTAGCTGCCAAGTCGCTATGCCGATATATTGTTGGCCATTGGATTGTGCAGTAGTTTGGGTAGTTCAAAGCGAGAGAATGGTATTAATATGAGCAAAGTGCCCAGTTGCATTTCTACTCGAGGGAAGAATTTCTAATCCAATCTTAACCCCTTAGAAGCCTGTCGATACGCTTTCACAGCTAATAAGAATGCAGTCTGCATTTCTATTGCTCTGGGCTGCCACTCTCTCGAGTGCTAAGCTTTTTGTGAATTACGATGAGAAGCTGGAAGGTCGTCCCAAAGTATACACGGTGGTGAAGGAAGAAATTGGGCGACTGGACGTTCCATCAAAATCGAGTCATAAGAACAATGATAGCAAGGTTCCGCTTGGTATTGACTTGAAGCCCCGAGAAGCTCTCGACATCTTGCTCGGCAAGCGCCAAACTTGTGCTCAAGGCTACGGATATTGTCCCAGTGAGTGGTCATCCAGACATTGGTATAGCCATTGCGAAAGACATCACTTCTAACCAAATTGTTTATTGCAGGTGCTGGAGGATGCTGCGTCACGAATAGCCTTTGCTGCTCTTACGGATATTGCCATACTCAGGGATCCGCGTGCTGTCCGACTGGCCCATGTGGCCAAGGCCAAACCTGCTGCGGCGTCGCCCACTGCATGCCCACCGGGGATCAATGCTGCGAAGACGAATCTCATTGTCCTGCAGGCAATAACTGTTATCTTTCTTCATTGTTGAACAGCATTGTTTGTTGTACCGACGCAAAATGCACGGCTCACGTTGATGATGGAAAGACTACTTATGCTCAAACAACCACGACAACACATACGTATACTACTACATATTACCAGACCTACTACTGGACGGTTACTTGGTGAGTGCTCTATCGCTACTGTGGCTGGTATTAAGGTTGTAGAGCGGCGTACTGATAACTCTTATAGGTACTATTGGTATTATTATTGGACGTACTCAATCGACATTCAAGCATCCGTCGTTACCTCCACACGTTCAACCACTCAAACTGTCTTCAGTGTAAAGACAACAGATGCAGGCGCCGCTTCCGAGTACTTTAGCGAAAAGTCAAGAACACTGTCTCTTCCTACGCCCGCTGCCGCCACTACCCTCGAATCTTTGGCTGGGAGCACATCATTCGTATCCACGCCATCGTCAAAGGCTCCAATCCCTAGCCCGAGTTTAAACACGGAACCCTCTAGCGAGCCGAGCATAACTGAAAAACCCAGTGCTCCTTTTGACCCCATCCCCAGCTCAGGCGGGCCTGACGATAACGAAAGTAGCAGCTCAAGCGAGAGTCGTAGCAGCTCGACTACTACTCTGCTAAGAAGTGGCGGTGATGATGGTGGTACCCCTCCGAAGAATGGAGGCAGTGGTTCTTCAGGCGCAAAGCCACTATGGGCTGGCTCAGACTGGAAGAGCCTCTGGGTTCTTGCGCTGGGCGTTGGTACTGGGGTGCTGGCTGCGGTTCTTTAATTTGAATTATGAGGAGGCTTAATGGGAGCATGTTATACCAATTTCTTAATCATTTGGCTTAAAGCAGAATCCGTTCACAGAGGGAAGGAAGTACGTCACGAATGTGTGCAATGATCATGCCGGTTATTTGAGCTTTTTATGATCCGTTGAAGCTATATTCTCTTGTATCTCAGCAACAACGGTGGAACCTGCTGCTTAGTTCTATTACAAATCTGCCTGAATAGCTTGTTCCAAGGCAAGGTGCCTCTCCAGAATATTCTTAACTTTATCCAGAGGCAGTGCTTCCACACGACTGCCCTTGAATCCCGTCAAACTTTCTGCCATACAGAGGACATTGTATATGGCCTCCTCAGTAGAGTCAGCGGCAGCTTCGAACAAGGCATTAATAGTTTGGTCATCTACCGACTCCGTTACCAAGGTTCTAGCCTTGAACGGATCAACGTCGCGATGAGCAGAACCCACAGTCTGAACTGGAATCTTATTCGCCGTGCTGAATGCGATGAAAATGTCGCCGCTGGGATTGTGTCCGTAGCCACCAACACGAGACAGGCCGCCTGTGGCTCGCTTTGCCAGGCGTTGGAGCTGAATGGCGCTCAGTGGAGCATCCGTGGCAAGGACGATGATGATGCTGCCGTCCTTTTTGTCCTTGGCAGCATCATATTCGGCCTGGGCTTTTGCGGCCTCCTTGTTCTTCAACGCCTCCGCAGCGAGGATCCTTCCTACGGGGACACCGGTGATTTTCAAAGGAGGCATCCGGCCGTAGTTGGCCTGTACCAGTGCCGCAACGGTATAGCTCTTCTCATTGCCATTGCTGTCAAAGCCTGGTACCACACGGCTTGAAGTGCCGGTGCCTCCCTTGAAACCTTGGCACATCATGCCCGTGCCACCACCGGTGTTGCCCTCTGGAACGGGATCTGCAGAGGCTGCTTGGATGCCATCAACGACATGCTGCGGCGTTACAGCAAACTGGGTCAGATCGTTGAGGTGGCCATCAAAAGTTTCGCCCACGACGGGCAGGAGGAACCAATCTACACTTCCATCGGCTCCGCTGTACTCCTTAATGGCATGTTGATAGATGCCAGTATAGCAGTTGCCTACAGCAAAGCTGTTTGTCAAGATGATGGGGCTGTGGAGGAGTCCCGTCTCTTCAATCCAGTGGCTGCCCGTCAGCTCTCCCGAGCCGTTGTAGCGGAAGATGCCCGCGTGGCACGCGTTGTGGAACCAGTCTTTGCGTGGGAGAATGGTAGTCACTCCCGTGTTGACAGCTCCATCAGCGGTGTGGATGGATTTCGTATGAACGAGCACGCCAGGAACGTCGGTGATACCGTTCTTGGGTCCCGTTGGCCAAGCTCCGACTTGAATGCCGGGGACGAGATCCCGAAGCCGAACACGGCCGGATGGCGGACTTGACTGATTCGGCTCGGACATTATTTATGGTTGCCGTTTGCCTATTGGCTTTTGCCAAAATTGAAAGAAATTGCCGTGTCTTGCTTCCGACACAGCGGGTACTAGAACTTAATTTGGCCCTGATCCCTAATTGATCCCTATGTGAGAGTTTGCGGCGCGGAGGGTATCTTGACAACAAGGCCGAGAGCCAATGAATGAGATGGCCGGGTCGTCATGTTAAATATACCTACATGACAAATGAAGGAGCAGATGTCGGTAGTATACCGTAATACGATGGATGCTAGCAGTGAGGAGATGAGGAGGCAGAGGAGAATCCATTATTAATGACTCACGCCGGCGAGCATTAGTCATAAGCATAAATTGGCGACGGATCAGATAACTCTAGATAGCACTAAAATGACACGGAGGTGAAGCACACTCGTAGGTACATACAAGACTGCAACTATGCTGGATGTTAGATCTCATTTCATCCCCTACCTTTTTGATGAGAATGTTCCGAAAGTTGAGGCTTGGCTTTGATCCCTTTTCAGCCCCCAAACTCAGACACTGCATTGCTCATTGGCCACTGGTTTCGATGTCGCTAGAAATAAGTCAAGATTATGACATGAATTTGTTCAATACCATATCTCTACTGTTTCTCTGAAGATTGATGATAGGTTTCTACACGTATCGCACAATCGGGTCATCAGTCAACTCTGCTTTTGTCAGCGAGTTTAGCTGCAGCTGCCCTCAAGAGTCTAGTTGGTTTCGAGAGTATGCGGGGTAGCTCTGTTTCAATTGCCGCGTGTGGTGTGGAAAACAATCTCGTCATCCGGCGACGGCTCTAGTGACATTTTTTCTGTAACATCACCTTGTTAACAGTGTATTTGCTGTATAATGTAGATTCTCAGTCAATGTAAAGCTACTGAGCTCTGTTATGGCATACAGTGTGCAGATAAAAATTGCGGTGGAGATACAGTTGGCGACAGCCACTAAGTGCATACATTGGTCATTGTGCTCTTGAATGGACTTATACCCTCTGCATACTGAATTCCATTTACTCTTTCATTTACGCTTAGACGCTGCTTCTGGCTCTTTGTTTCTATGCTTCATCCTCATTATTATTGCTTCAGAGTTGATTGCCGAGTGGCTCATCTGTGCTCTTTTCCCTTGCTTTTTTGATGACCGCTGGCGCAGTCAACTTTTTTTGCGGTTCCCGTCTCTATTCCCGGCAATTGTTACCTCTTTGGAACTGGGTAAATTACGTTACGAAAAGCAAAGCCCAGGCGGTACAGGACCATTGTACTCATATGAATCGTTACCTGTTTAATCTAGCGTTGCGCCATTGCTCGTTAGCCATCTCCACCCATCAGCACTCTGTTCAAAAATTTCCTTGTTTGCCACAGGGCGTTGTGTAGTCAAGTGCTCTCGTATCTGGTCGCCTAATTCGCTTGAGCTGTTTGGAGAGGGGAAACAGCAGATCATGCAGTGTATGGGCTGGTGATGATTCCTCTGCTTATGAAGCAACACTATGCATATTGTTTCACTGATATGTCAACTGAAAGTAGAATACAGAAACTTGCCTTAATAAGTAAATGTAACGAACATCGCTTGTCCCAGCATGGCTTGCTTGACCATGTGGCTTGCCGCTGGGGATCAATCCTGGGCGCCGGCTCGTCTCGGTCTCGGTCGACTGATGGGCCGGGCCTCCTGAAAAACTCGGCCCTTAACCGTTCGTTGGTTTACTCAGCTCTACGGCATTATTCATCTGCCATTGAAATAGACTTGGAAAACGATTGACTTAGCGTAGGTTATCTCCACGATTGAATTCTTACCCCTTTATATACACTATGCGTACACCGTAAAGTAGCCCAAGTTCAGATCAGCAATCTTCGTTTGGCCTCGAACTGTGCCCGGTAGCCGAAAAGCCCTTTGGACGGCTATCCGCTGCAGATCGGTTAGCTCGCTAAACTTTTCGTTGTTCCGACTTGCCATACGCTTTCGCGACCGCCATGTTTTCAGGCTCAAACTCCAGCGACACCGTAATGGAAGACGGCGGTCACAATGAGCAGCACATCATTGCTCCTGAAAAGGATGGGAACAGAGACTCTGGCTACGAAGAGCCTGTTTACTCAAAGGAGGAGGAAGCTGGATACCAGGCTCCGGCTCAAGCACCAATCGGCAGCGCTCCTCCAGATGGTGGTCTGCGAGCATGGCTCGTTGTTGCAGGAGCATGGTGCACTTCGTTCTGCAGCTTTGGGTGGATTAATAGTACGTTGCCTTCAAATTTGTATGGCATTGATGAGTTCAAGAGGGTCGAATGAGCTAACCCATCGGCAAAAATAGGCGTTGGAGCGTTCCAGGACTACTACGAAACTACGATTCTGAAAGACTATTCGGCCAGTACCGTGTCATGGATCCCATCTTTGCAAATTTTCTTCATGATGTTCTTGGTAAGTCAATTGATGCCATCGATACCACGGTGCTTGTTATCAGGTTGAGTTATGCCCCTAGCTAACCTGAGATCGCATGTTTAGGGACCCTTTGTCGGCCTTATATACGACAAATATGGCCCTCGCTACCTCATCATTGGCGGAACCTTTTTGCATGTCTTTGGCCTGATGATGACATCCATCTCTACTCAGTACTACCAGATCCTCCTTTCTCAGGGAGTCTGTAGCGCTATCGGTGTTTCTGCCATCTTCCAGCCAGGTAAGTCGGCCGCATATGTCTCGCCCACGCCTTCAAATCTAATCAATGAATACAGCGCTTAACAGTATCGCTACCTGGTTCACGACGAAACGCGGTGCCGCCTACGGACTCTTGGCGACTGGGTCAAGTTTAGGAGGCGTCATCTTCCCCATCATGGTCACTCGATTGATCAAAGAAGTCGGATTCCCCTGGGCAATGCGAATCTGTGCCTTCCTGATCCTCGGCCTCCTCATAATCGCCATCGTGACGGTTGATGCGTTCAACCCGCCAAAGTTCCAACCGATCACGCTTAAGAGAATGGTGGCTCCTTTCACCGAATTTGAGTTCTCCTGTGTTTGTTTTGGGTTGCTGCTATTTACCTTTGGGCTTTATGTCCCAATCAACTTCGTCTCGGTCGAGGCCGCTGCGGGCGGAGTAGACCCTAACCTGGTGTTGTACATGGTTCCTATTCTGAACGCCGGAAGGTATGATGGTCCAAGGTCTTATCTCTCTTCATGTCTGCGTGTTTGCTAACCATGCTCTATCTAGCTTGTTCGGTCGTATAATGTCTGGCTTCGCTGGTGACAAATTTGGCCGTTACAACGTCTTCATTACCGTCTGTTACCTAGCAAGTATTTTCGTCTTAGGCCTCTGGATTCCTGCATCTACAACTGCAGCGAGAATTGCCTTTGCCGCCATCTTTGGATTCTTCTCTGGAGCATACGTCGCCTTAATCGCTGCGCTCGTGGTCCAGATTTCGCCCGTGACCGAAATGGGATTCCGGATGGGCCTTTCATTTTTCGTTTTGTCTTTTGGAGGCCTGACGACAAATCCCATTTCTGGCGCTATTCTGGAGGGTCCATTAGGATGGCTCGGACCAAAGATATTCTCTGGTGTTTTTTGCATTGTCGGAACGACATTTGTGCTAGCTGCGAGAATCAAGCAGACGGGATGGAAGCTGAACGCAGTCTTTTAAAATCACCTGAGCTTGGAGTCAGCTTAAGAATTGCATGTTGCATCATATACGTATAGATTTAGAATGTTTAATTTGATAATATGCATACTGCATAAATGCCCGGCCCTTAGAGGCTTGCCAAATACATATAATTAATATCTAATATTAAGAATCATCCAGACGTAACGTAAGGGTATATACGGCGTATACATGGAAATGGACTTATTAAAAATAACTGGAGAAGTCATACAGATCCACATGTAAATCTTCAACCAGCGTATTCCAGTCTGGAAGGTTGTTCTGCATGAGGCTGTTCCAATCCACGTTTTCTCCATCAAAACGACGGACGTCCATTACTGCCTCCGGGAGAGAACTCTCCATTTCTTCTTCTTCAGGTGTTTCATTGACTCCTTCTGGTGTGGACCCCGGTGTGTCACTGCCGTTAATCAACGACTGTCGTATCAATTCAGCCTTTTTGCGCATTCTCCTCAAGATGATGGCCTTCAACGCAGGGCTGGACACTGCCATGGACATTCTCACTTCCTCCAGCTCAAATTGCTTTGCGACTATAACCCAGGCACGCTCAACACTAGGACCGCTCGGTGAAACGCAGAGATGCCATAGAACGTAGAGCAGCATGTGGTACTGTGGATGGCCGTGCATGCACCATCTATATGGCCGCAGAAGCTCATCTCCCCATAGCTCGAGGTGAATTTCGAGGCATCGCAGTGCGGACAAAAGATTTGCCTCCGTGGCAAAAGTATTTCGCTTGTCGGGATTCTCCAAGTTTGCCAGTTGCTGCCGTGTGACAAAGTCTATCTTGTGTACCATGGCTAGAGCTGTTTTCATGGCCATTCTCTGTATGGGAATCACGGGATTGCACGGCTTGATATATTGTTCGACGCGGGACCTTAGTTGGGTTAACAGGTTACTCCTGATTACTTCTTTAGGTGTCGGCCCTGATGGTGTCATTGAGAGGTTGGCCATGGCCTGCAATGTCTGAGCCACTTCCATGCATGTCAACGGAAGACTCATCTTGGTCCATCCGCTGTGAGAAGGTGGCAGCTCTTTCATGTCCGGGCGAAGTTCGTTGTCGTCAATGTTGAGTGGCAGTTTGGTATCGTATCCTGGAACTGTTGACCATGAGCTGATACCGTGGTCTTCCGCAGCCCGCCCATCCCTCGCCAGAAAGTGCCACCACAGCCGCCTGCGGACTTCGGATTCAAATGGCGAGATTCCCAGCTTGCTTCCGTCCCTGTGAAGGCCGATGGAATGCGCCATTCTTACGGCAAGGCCGCTCAGAATCCAGATGCCCCTGCCGTGATAATGAGCTCGTGTGGACGCCTAGTTTGACGGATCAGCAACTACGTATCAAGGACAGCAATAGCGTGAACGGAGAGAGCATACCAGGTATATAGCCAATGCTTGAAGTAGCACAACTGTTGGATTCTCCAACATGTCAACCGCCGCCAAGTACATCTGAAAATCTTGTTTAAATGTCCGTAGAGCGTTCATTTTGTCAATGCCAAGTATATACTGAGCCTCGTCTGGTTCCATTGTCAATGTAGCAGCAAAATACACCGCTGAGACTAAGGCTAAAGTGTCTTTTGATACGGCATCTGGTTGGTGGATGGCCGTGAAAACAGTCACTTCATCGGTAGGGATATGCAAAACTTTGATAGTGGCGTCAACATTCTGGACAAATAAATGCCATAGCTGTGTAGCATGTAATCGGGATAGACGCCATCCCTTTTCTTTGTCCTCAAAGACAGCAGGGCCAGAGAGTAAGCCCAAGAGGCTGAATGGCGAGTCAGGATCTGGTTTCTTTATTTCACAGCACGGTGAATGCAACAGTGAGGATTTATCTTGATCCTTTAGTTACATATTAGCTTGATGGTATATAGAGTTAAAATTCCTTGCAGAGGTTGACCAATAGCTTACCTCTTCGATGACCCTGGATATAAGAAGCTCATTGAAGTATTGGCTTGAGGTACCATTTCTAATCAGGACCTCCTCTGACGGAAGTTCCTGAGGCTCCTGGGGAGATTCATGAGGGCTCACGGGCAGATTCGGAACGAAAGATACTTGTGCAGATGGCGGCGGTGGCCTTCTTGCCGCTCCGCCCTGGTCGATGGATGCCGCTACGATTGTCTTCTCAAGATCTGATATCCTCGACGCAACATCCGCAATGGTAGCCTTCCTAACTCGTCGAACAGGCCGGTCTGACGACGGATAAGTGCACGTGAGACGAGCCCTCACGCATGCCAAGCACGGCGTCTGTCTGTCGCATCGGATCTTCCTCCGGTGGCAGAGAACGCAGGACCTGTCCGGCCTTCGGCGGGGGTTCGGCGACGGCGGCGTGAGATCACGGTCCGTCGCAACGGGAGTTATTAGAGGGTCAATGCTGGCTGGACGGCTGGGATCATGCGGAGGAGACATGTCTCAAAGAGCCTTTTGAGTTGAGCCCAACCTAAACTGCAGTGAATGGAATGCTTCTACAACAGCCAATATTTCGGTTCAGTGAGCAAAAGAGTCCCCGACCGAACTGACTGAGCCTGGGATAATCAATGACTTTGTCTCGCAGCAATCGGTTCGGCCTTTGCATAAGCACCGAGGCCGAGAGGTCGCACTCTTACCTCATTGAGCTAAGAGTGGGAGCACCGACGAGTACATTAGTAATTACTCTGTAGCACGCAACCCGGTACAACAGCTTCTAGGAGCATTGTAACCAATAAAGGCTTAGCAATAGGATCAACAGGATCTAGGTTGAGAGCAAACTTTGCAAGAGGGAAGTGAACGCGATCAATGAGATAAACATTTCTCATCACATTCTCGTGCCATGTGCAATACCTCGGAATTCGAATTGTGGCATAAACCGATCTCCACTCGATTACTGATGTGGGCGTGAACAAGCCGCCCAAGGCCCTTCCCTTTGTTGGCCGTGGCATGGCTGTTCCTGCTCCTAAACCACTTGGAGAGAGCGATCATTCAATATCAGCGATAAACTGTGCATATACCAGTCATTTCGCAGCAGCAAATTGTTGCCTCCCTACCAAGAGTTAGTTTGGCAGAACTGGTAACGAATTGAGATACTCAAAGACAATAGCTGATAGGCTTACCGCACTTTTCATGTTTATCCTCTAACAGAGTTGACTTGTAAGGCTACTCTGCGGCAGTGTTCGATGCGCGTGGATAGCCATAGCCTTAGTCAATCGTTAGCAACTATAACCACAAAGTAGAAGCAGCGCCCAAAAGGCCATCAAATTCATTTGGGGCATGCTGTCCATTTTATTGCTCTGTCGGCATGGTACAGAGCGTTTCGGCAGCAACCCGAAACTACCGAGCGCCCGACTCTTTCTCGGATTCGGCCGCAGCCACCTCGCCTTATAGCTCTGTGCGCTATGTGAAATTACCTCGGAACTTGCAAAATGACTCGGATACTTGCTGCTCGCCTTGAAATAGCGCTTGTATGGATCGATTGCAGCATGATTATTCGACCAAGCTGAGTCGATTCAGGGATCCCCAGTTATCGATATAAATTGGGCAGCCTATGTGGATAATCATACTCGGCAAGCGTATTCGGCAGTAGTGGCCTCGAACCAAAACATATGAAGCTTAAGATAAGGTTGCGAATCATTCGGATAGACTGTGTATATATATTCACATCGAATGGAACAATCTTCATTGGCTCGTATTCAGCGATTACAACAAGCTCACCATCGTTGCATTGAGCGGGAAAAGTAGACGAGCACTCTGGTATGCCTGGTCGGCAAGATCCATGCCAGTAAGTAATTACTGACTGATATAGCCTATTGAATTGGTCAAAGAGTAAAAAGATTATTCCTTCCGCTAAGTCTAAAAGAATATCCCGGCATTCTACATGCCACAGTTCATCCAAGTCAGTCGAAACTATATTACTCATACTTTACTCACGTTGTCTACCAAACAGGAACCGCGGTTGATGTGTTTTATAACTTGTAAAGGTTTTTCATCTGTATTAAACAAATTCAATCAACGGAAGAGAAGAAATATATATACTTTATTTTGGCGGGATGGCTAATCTCTAGGGTTGTTGCACGTTGCAAGCAAGTCAGAAAATAGACATGAGTCTTGTAGATTTATACGGCCTTAAGGCATTGTGGGTTATCAAGACCACTTTACCAATATGCTTCGTCTCATTACTTTATCATTCACTTTGTTCATCAATATACCTATTATGGCGGCTAGAATTTCTAGATCAACGGATCCTGGCAAGATAGTATCGGCGGGGGTCATATGCATTCACATGCTCATTAGCGAGCACGTCCCAGAACTACTGCGGGTGGTCCGTGGTGGCGCAAGAGTAAAACATCGCAAACTCTTGCCTCGCTCGACTCAGCGCATCGAGACGGCCCCGATCTGGTTTAGTGTACCGCCTGAACCCGTCGATCTGCTTCCGACTTGCATCTCGGATCGGGCTGCCGAGAGATCGATGCAAATGTCTGCGACAGGCAATAGTCTGCGATGTCGGTAGAGGAAATGATTGGTGGGCTGGCATCAGCTGCGTTATCAATCAGCCGTGAGCCTGTCGCCGACGTGTGATTCCAGACATCATGGACGGATGCTGGCCACGGAAGAAACAGGTTGCGATGATGGAAGGGCTCGAGGGAGTACTTGACGACTATAAGAATGAGACAGAAGTCCAAGAATCATGGCATTTTTTATCATCAGTTTGAAGAGATATCCATTGCAAGCTTCTGAGAAGAGACTGTTTCTAAGCCAATAGAGCTACACGAAACCATGGATACCGCAACCAGAGACGAGAAAACCATCAGAGTCGGCGCTGTTCAGGCTGAGCCTGTCTGGTTCGACCTCGACGGATGCGTCGACAAGACCATTCAGCTCATCAACCAAGCTGCTGCCGATGGCGTCCAAGTCCTTGGCTTCCCCGAGGCGTGGATCCCAGGTTACCCATGGTAAATCGCCCGAATGGCATGAACAACCTCCTTCTGTCTGATGCCTCCATCTGCTAACACTGCGAGTTGTCTGGAACGCAGGCAGATGCGAGTCGCTGCGCCAATCATGCAGTCGATGTGGGTTCCTCAATATCAGGCAAACTCCATGGCCAGGGACTCGCCTCAGATGAAACGCATTCAGGCTGCTGTTAAAAAGGCCGGCATGTTCATCGTGCTTGGCTACAGTGAGCGCGATGGAGCCAGCATTTATCTTGCACAGGCTTTTATCTCGCCCGATGGAGAGATTGTCCTCAATCGCCGCAAAGTCAAGCCTACTCACGCAGAGCGGACTATATGGGGCGAAGGCCAGGCCGAGTCCCTACAAACTGTTGTAGACTCGCCGTTTGGTAAGATTGGCGGTCTCAACTGCTGGGAGCATCTGCAGCCTTTGCTGCGCTATTACGAATTCACGCAAGGTGTTCAGATCCACGTTTCGAGCTGGCCATCCATGTTCGTAATGCCAGATCCCGAAAAGATTGCCTGGCTCTACCATGATACTGGTGAGGCAGACCAGCGCATCAGTCAGAACATGGCGATGGAGGGGCAAGCCTTTGTCATCTGTTCATCGCAGATTCTAACAGAAGAGGGCTTGGCAAAGAACAGCTTATTGGCAGGAAATCCCGTCACCAAAGTGGTATGTCTGGCGCTCTGTCTCGTATATAAGCGACATACACTAACAATCATATCTAGCCTGGCGGCGGCTTCTCCCAGATATTCGGCCCCGACGGAAGGGCACTGTGCGAACCGATCAGCGACGGCGAAGAGGCAATTCTCAAGGCCGATATATCTCTGAGCGACATCACCAAAGCCAAAATATCCATCGATGTCGTTGGCCATTCTGCTCGGCCAGACATGCTCAGTCTCTTGGTCAATCCAAAGGTGGGCAAACTCGTGACGGTGATGGATATGTAGACAAGGAATCTACGTGGTTGAAGAGTATAGTTTAAAAAAGTTAAATTAAGTGTCTGTATTAAATAAACCAAGGTACCGCTGTTTCGTAATTAACAAACTCCCACCATTTCATGCGATTCGTGTACGTCGAGTCGGCCTGAAGATCGTAGTGCTTCCAACAAGTCTCGATAAGATTGCGCATCACCCGGATATTGCCAATGTTTCTCACATTATTCATCAAATCCAAGATGCGCAGAATTCTGATGCGTTGTTCATCTGTGTGGCACTCGCAAGCCGCCATGAATATCGGCCACGGGCTTGTGGCCACCCCTAAGCGTTCTAGGATATCGAACGCCTCTTCCAAATAAGTCGTTTTCTGGTCCTCGTCTCCGGGCAGAGGGACAACATGAACGAGATAGAGCAGTGTCGCTATGCGGTAAAGTTCCGCAGTAGCCAAGATGCGTGTGCGCCTTGCGGGAGCCTCACCGGTGTCTCCCGCAGGATCGAGCCTTTGAACAATGTTGTGTAGTGTGTGCTCCAGTTCGAATCGTTGCTGGATCAGCTTGGGGGACATTGGCTCGATTTCCTTTGTCATGATGCCTATGCGGAGTTTGTTTACTCGGTGTATAATGGCAATTACTTCTAACGAGCATCCTAGAGCTCCAAGAATCTGCAACCAACTAGATTAGCCAGGGTAGATTGAAAAAAAAAAAAAGTAGCGTCAAAGACTGACCAAGGTGGCATCACAGTTGGAAGAACCCAGCAGGAAAAGAATATCAAGGCAATTGTTGGCTTGTCGAAGTGGCTGGCTGAAGCAGGCTAATACTTCATGATACAAGAACCAAGTGAAGAGGAAGTCGGCTTTGATGTGTCTCCGGTGTTCCGGGTATAGCCCTTCCAGCATATATTTCGCTCCATCGAGGTGCGTCGTCCAGTTACCGTCGGTCTCATCAAACACCTAGCATATCCCAGTCAGTGTCAACAGGCCATGAGCCTTTCATTTCTTCTTCACTTACACTATAGATACACAACATCATAGACGCAGCAAACTGCGTCTCGTTTAGATCGATTGATCTCGTTTCACTCCCCGGAGTCAGAGAGGCGGATAGGTAGCGGACAGCGTTTGTCTTGTACGTCAAAGCAGATTCGGCACCACTGTGGTGGAAAGCAGAAACAGCCATCATGGAGTTCCAGAGGGCTTTCGTGGCACTGTCTCCTCGAGATAACACCATTTGGACAAGATCGGTTCGGAAGCCATTCTGAACTTGCGTGGTCGAAATCATAGGAGCAATAACGCGTTCATCTTGTTAATGTCAGTCATTGCTCAATCAAGCATATCGGTTAATGCTCTTACAGTATGACATGAACATGGCATCTTGGCCGACCATCGAGGGATAGAGATTGAGAGCTCGGGCTGGCTTCGTGAAGGGCCTCGTAACGAGCGCATTATAAGAGCTAGGATCCAGCGACGACGCCACATCGTTGTTCGTAACGTTTAGGAAATGCAGCCCATAAGTCTCAGACAGCTCCAGCGGATTCTCAGGCGGCGAATAGACTACAAAGCCGCTATCCTTTCGCCTGCCATCATGGCGATCCGGCCACAGCAGACGAACACCATAGCCCAAGCATCGTCTGCCGGTGCGAGTGCAGTTGTGGCACACTGGCAGACCCCTGTCGCACCCTATTTTCCGCTCTTTGCCGCTGTCAGTAACCCGCACGGACGCGCCAAAGTTCCACAAGCAGAAAACTTACGTTTACAAGTCCAGCAGCCTTGTTTGGCCTTCATAATTCCTAGGCCAAAGCCTGACGACCTCGCCCAGAAGAAACTGTCTTTTGCATTGTATCTCACCTAGTGAATAGGCGAGTGATTCTCAAAACTACATAGCAGCAGAGAGAGTTGCAACAGTACGAAGAAAGAATGGCACGAGTTGCAATCTGACTGCATCCGCCGGCCTCCGCTTTCAGGAGCTGAAACGAGCCAAGGGCTATCAATATTCCGATCCCCGAGACTCGTAACGGCTAGTCTAAGCCCCGTTGCTCTCCAGGCCTCTGATCCTTTGGCTGCAACATGGCATATGTGCCTTGCAGGGGCATTCATGACCCTAGCATCGGCCTACGTACCTATTAGCAGTAGTATACGAATTTTATATACATATATGGACTGATACATATTCAACTCCTATTTTGTTCCCGGCTATTTGCGCCAAGCGCCAAGTTAGGCTTTTGGCAAGGAATCTCCACCTACTACTACTTTGATGGACCGGCATTCGTAAGCCATGATGGCCGAGGACCGTTTCGGTAAACATGCCATATGCCCTCCATGATGGAGATGACAAAAGCTCGCTTACTAATGTCTGCTTTTCTTCGATCCGCTATGCCGGTATTTGAATTCGTATCTCAGTATATCATTATTCAAATACTACCTAATAGATAGCTTCTAGGACTAATAGGTACGGGCCGAAGCAAATAGGGCAAACTCATCCAAACACCTAGACCAGACTTGATGAAAATCGCTGACTTCTAAGAAGTCTCGCCTCTCAGTCGGCCTCATCAATTACTACTTTGGGAGCCTTATTCGTAGCTATTTGTGACATTCTTCTGCTGATGCCTAAATACAGGCATTTATGTAGGGACAATACTAGGAACGAGTGCTTTCTATTTTTTTCCTACACTATTTCCGCAAAGGCCGAATGAAAGAGTCTTCAACGATACCGGTGTTGGTTGTCGAGACTAAAACTGGGAGAAGGAGAGAAAAGGGGCTAATACGCAGTTTGTAAAGAACAGCAAGGATTGTATCTTGCTAGTGATACCCTGCTAGGCATCTATAGTAAAAAAAAATTTGCCTATCACGACGCCTATCTATCCGCATTGCTGCGTCTCATTTAACAACAGGTAACTACATCACGGCAAACCAGCGTTGTATTGATGTGCTCTATTGAGACGGTATTCTCATACTAGGTCCACGCATACGACTTCTTGCTCCAAGACGCTATTATTCCCTCGCAACGTCGTTTTTTTCCCACCAGATGAACCCTGCCAAAACGATGTGTGGCAAACGAGCCAATAGAGCGTGCCGATGGAGGACGCATATTTCATTGATAGCACAGCTACCTAGCAGCATAATTTATAAATCACACAGGGGCCGTCAATTTTTGTTTTAGGTCATGTTTTCTTATTATATGTCTCAGCAATCGTCACTTAGTATGCTGGAAGTGAAAGGAGACGTTTGAGCCTGTTCTTCGGAGCACCGCCGTCGCTCTCTATGCTACTCGCGCTGGGCCGACGTGGAACAGAGTTAACCACTCCGCAGCCCGTAGCATATCGTGTCGTCGCATAGCGATTTTTCAGATCTATTGTACAGAGTTAGGCATCTTTTTGATGGCACAGTCTTTGACCTTACGGGAGCTATCATATCGCCCCGGATCGTTCAACACTGCATCGAGCTTCGCTTTTGCTTTCTCAGACACTGACGGCATGATGATTTTGGTTGCTCAACTGAGACCTTGGGTATTTCAACAGTTGGTTTGGCCACGCAGAGGCTTTGAATAGAGTTTCAGGGCATTGAAGACGTTATATATTCGCCATGCGGGGTAAAACGCCGTTTCAGTGCATATTCTCTTACAAAGCTAGTTCTCGCGATAATATCCAAACCGGCGACGTAATTATGACATCAAAGCTCTGACTTATACCATACATCAATGTCTTCTTTTAAATGATTGTTTTCGGGTTGAGACTGAATTGAAGGTTTGTCATAATAGAAGTTAGCTGTTTAGTGAGGTTATATAAAGAATAATCGTTCCCGCGACAACCCCGTTGAGCAGTGAGACAAGAAAACATTGCTTGCGTCAAAAGTTACTGGGATATCAAATGAAAGCCAAGCCAGGAATGGACAACTACTTCGAAGCCCCGTAATAGACAGGTAACAGCCGTAACTGTTTTATTAACAATGCCAGATGATCTCTTATCGGCATAGTGGGAAACAAAAGAAGAAGGTTGTTGTGTTTAGGAGCTCAACAGCTTGAAAATGATAAACAGTAATCTAATTGCACAGATCTGATACAGCCATCGAAGTCATAGACAACACATTCATTATCAGTGACTTAGCTGCTTCTCGTGTTTGTTAAAAGACTCTTTTATCAAACTCGTTGCGCACCAATGACAGGAAACAGAAAACGAGCGAACATCTGCAAGTAATTTCACAACCTTGTTCAACTCGTTTGGCGGCTTACGGACTGCCTACATTGGCGCAGCATCATCCAGGATTATTAAAATCCGAGGCACCGAGGGGCATTAGTCAGGGAAAGTGTGCTGCTACTCTTCCACAAAGTATTGATTGACCTATTGCAGTAAATCCTCTGCATTTCCCTGCTGCATGGCCAGTTGGCAATATGCGAATTCACGGAAGTCAAGGCAGCCCGATGTAGAGATGTGTTGGCAAGATATGTCGGTGTTGCTCCCTGCTTTGACAACTCGCACTAGTATTGTTTCAGGACAAGCGAAGGTAATAGGGTATTTTGCTGAATGAGAATTGAAATGGAGGCTACAAGAGTCGTCTCGTTGGTAGGTACGAAAGAAAAGAACAGAGCGTTGGCGTCTTCTTTCAGAAAAGATTAATCACATACCTATTAGCGGAGTTGCAGTAGGAACCAGAAAACGAGATCGCGGAGGAAAATTCAATTTAAAGGTCAAATTGCGCCACAGAAAACTTTAAACGCAAGGATGCCCTGTCTTGCCACGGAAACGGCGTTTGCGTGCTCCAACTAACTAGCCTCTCAGAATGAGAATCCAGTTGCTCGATGACATGACATGGATGAGCTGCAATTAGATTGCTGACAGAAGCCAAGCTACGCCAGTTGGTGCTGAATTCGTTGATCCCCTTGCCGGGTGTCGGCTATCTTAATTTCACAGGATCACTCAGAGGGGTAAGCAATAAAAACAAGCATTCACAGCTAAGAAAAAGGCGCTGGAGAATACTAGCACAAAGAGTAGCGGGGAGAGGCGGGGAGAAGCGCCACGAAATCTACCACGCATAAACCACACAAGAACTACGTGAGTGGGAAACAACGGGGCGTTTGCTAGACGCAAAACAGAGGGCTGAGATGTGTTTGCTTTGGGCGCATCTCAGAAGGTATGGATATTGCCGCCCGATCCGTCGAGCTGGCTGCGTCTTTGGGCTCTGGCCTTGTCAGCCTGCTTAGACCAGCAACTATGAGTGTCTAACGCTAAAACAAAACATCCGTGACAAACAGATGGCCAGAGCGTGGCCAGAGCGTGGCGTACCTGGGCTGCTGCCGATTCTGACATAAGGTAATGACCCGTTGTATCGAACGGCGTGAAACAAAGATAGCCTCGTCCAGCTGCAAACAAAGAAACGCGCGCCTCTGCTCGGGTCATGAGGCTAGACGCATGTGGCTAGAAATGGTCGCGGGCCACAGAGCACAACCTGCTGGCCACCTATTAATAAACAAAAGAAACCAAAGGCTGGAGTTTTTCTTAGAGCTTTACTAGAGCTTTACTAGAGCACGGCCACGGCCTCTGCTTTGGCCCAACAAACGCCCACAGCCTCAAAAGCCAAAAATAGCAGGGCTGTCAGCAGCTAGTAGTCATCGGCTTACAACGCATCCGGGGGCCTTCTATTGACGGCGCTTGTTAGCAGCCAAGCAGCATTACTCGGCAGCTTTAGCTTCCGGCATCCAGGTAGTCTAAAATCGGAGCAGTAGGTCAATGGCTTAGATAGCCTTTGGGCTGGGAAGAAGCCACAGGCGATCCGGAAGCAGAGTGGCCCGCTGCTGGATGGCCGTCATGATGCCGCCTAGTGAGAGAGCCTAGTAGAGCTGATGGCCGCCAAAGGATAGATATATAGCCTGCCTCACCTGTCGTGTCATCTCATTCCGTTTCCAGAAGACCATCCCTCTCTCCAAGACCATCTCCCAGCATTCAGCTTCTCGCAGAATAGCCTCGCCGCTCCCGCATATCCGCATACCCAATCAGCACCCTCTCTCTTACACACCACCCGCTCGGAACAATGGCCAAGATCGCCAAGATCCTCGCTTCCGTCCTGGCTTTGGCCGGATCGTCTGCCGCAACATGGCCCCCCAATGCCAAGGACTGCTCCAGCACCGCGGTAGCTCCCGTTGCCGCCGCCGCTGCCACAGACGGCTTTCCCACTCCGAATGCTGAGCAGCTCAAGGCCATTTCTAAACAAGCCGATGGCTCGCTCTCAAACGCGCCTCCGCCAGCCAAACTGGCCGACAGCACTCTTCAGTCACTGCAGGTCATTGCCGTCAACGAGGAGTTCGAGGTTGCCTACTTCCGCTCTCTCCTCGGCAACATCACAACTGGTGTGAAGGGTTATGAGTCTTTCAAAGGTTATGACAAGAAGGCACTGGAGAAGATCTTCAAGGTTGTCATTGCTGTAAGCAGTTTATCCACATGAGCGCATCTGAAAATCTTTTTGGCTCGTCTTATACTAACAATCCATTAGCAAGAGGAGCTGCACGCTCTCAATGCACTCACCGCTCTGAACAAGTTCAACAAGCTTGCCCCGCTGCCTTGCAAATACCAATTCCCCGTTACAAACATCCACGACGCCATTGCTGTTGCGGGAGTTTTCACGTCTCTCGTCTTGGCCACTCTCCAAGACGTCAGTCAGGGCGCTGCCGTAGCTGGAGACGCTGGCATTGTTCGAGGTGTCGCATCCATCATTGGCCAAGAGGGTGAGCAGAATGGCTTCTACCGGACATTCATTGGCGCCGTGCCCTCTGAGAAGCCATTCTTGACCACCAGTGTCGGCGCTTTTGCCTACTCCTTTCTCAACAACAACGTCATTGTTCCAGGCTCTTGCCCTTTTGATGTCAACGCGCTCGGCGTCCCCATCTTCCAACAGCTCAAGGTACAGGGTGGCAGCGTTGCCCTTGGTGTCAAGCCCGAGGACCAGACCTTTGAGTTCAGTGCCGATCTGAGCACCGTTCAGGCCGCCTCCAAGTTCAGCAACGGTAACAGCGCCGGCCTCTTCGTCACCTACTTCAGCGGCCAGCTGCTCCCCATCAGCGTCCCCGTCAAGAACTTCAAGTGGAACGGCGGCAAGGTCACCTTCCAGGCCGCCTTCCCCTTCGACGAGAACATCATGTTCGGCCTGTCTGTTGCTGCCTTGACTGATGGCAACAACTTTGCCAGCCCCGATGATGTTCCTGCCAAGACACTCGCTGCCCCGGCTCTCATCAGCGTCAACGATGAGTTCTAAGGGAGAAGCAGTCAGAGTCATAAAAAGGAGTTTGATTTAATAATGTGTAATGGGATTGGGGTTATAAGCGAACTGGGACTGAGGTCACGGAATGGGAGAACAACTAGAGGGGAATATACCAGTTGGGAGAGAGTCATGCACTCCACGGAAGGTGTTATTTCGGTCGCATATTTTAATAGTTTCGTAGTTATTCAATAGATTGTCTCTGGTTCACTCCATTTAAATTTTTCTCTTTTTTCTTGAGCTTTTGGAACGCTGTTTCTCCGTAGTTTCTCTGTTGACCGACAATCCAGGCGGCTATTGTTGCTCGCTTGGCTTCGGTGAAAGGGACGAGGCTCTTTCGTTCAATTCTTACAGGTAACCAGCTATGTTAAAGCTGATACTTTGTGTCAAGATTGATAGAGCTCATTCTCAAGTGAGAGGTGAAGAATTGCAAACCATGTAAGAGCTTTACACTCATGGTAAGATCATCGCTGAACTCGTACGAGTACCTTAGCAAGCCGCTTACAAGCAAGATCTAACGAGGGACTAAGCTCAGCTACAGAACTTGCTATTAGTAAGCTCTTACCTCACCCATACCATTTCCTGCCTTAGGCAATAATCCTCCATCATGCGCGTGGAGCTCTGATCCATGCGAGAGGTTAGGTAAGCAGGAAGCAGGCGAGCGCAAACGCTCAGTATGAGGCTGGCACTTTCGTACCGTCTTGGCCACAGCTCACAATCAACATTGAAAGCCGAGATCCAGCTATTGCGCAGTATCCAAGGCGTCACTTAATGTAAAGACATACACATCTGGGCCGTCTCCCGTTGTATGTCTCCCGTTGGCCCGTTTTAACCCCAGGACGGTCACGCGTCCATTAGAAGATGAGCATCTCAAGACCGTGGTGATGAAGAAATCAATCGCCTGCGGCGCATGTCGGACTTCAAAAAGAAGAGTGAACACAGCCCAGATTCGTGGTGCCCCGTCTTCTCTCCAATGCTGACAGCCTTCAGTGTATCCATTCCGGTGGGCCGCCATGTATCCGCTGCAAAGAGCGAGGAGATGAGTGCATCTTCCCTCCCAAGGGCACTTCGTTCATCTTTAGGCGCTCGCGACTTGAGCGCCAGGCGCGTGCCGCTCCGAATGTGCCTTATTCAGCAGACGGCAACTTTGCAGCTTCACTTCTGGCCACCCCGGCGGCTGCCCAGAGTAACAGTGCAGAGGACCCCGATGAGCATCCCAAGATCAATTTATGGGAGAAGGACCCGTTGGATTACGTGACAGATGAGGTCAAGGAGAGCTACCTAAGATGTTCCTACAAATGGTCGTTTCATCACATCCCTACATTCTTCACAGCAATCCGCAACAAGGTGCTGGATCGGTCTGTTGCGTGGGCTATGCTGGCTATTACAGTGAGGTCAGTTCATGATATCCAATTCATGGTTTCCATTTCTCATGTGAGTTGTTGAGAGGGAAGCTGACTCATCCAACAGATTTCTCAAAAACCCCCCAGAGGGATTCTCCAGTCAGATTCAGACCAGCAACTATTTTGCGGCGCATACTAGATCCCTCATCCTTCCATCAATCGACGAGCCAAGCCTGCAGCGGATCCAAGTTCTTCTTATGCTCACCGGCCATGGATGGGGCTCGGGTGAGGGGAGGCGCGCATGGGTCTACCTTGGGATGGCCGTGAGAATGGCTCAGATCATGGGCCTATTTGACGATCCTCCGGTTGGGGCCCAGACCAAAGAAGAGTTCATTCACGGAGAGGAACGACGACGCACCGCATGGACTTGTTTCCTTATGGACAGTCTGCTGAGCGGCGGCAAGGGCCGTGAGCGGCTGCTTTCTGCAGACAGCATGCACATCCAACTGCCCTGCGACTCAGGCAACTTTATCTTTGGCGAGCCTGTCATATGTCCCCATATTGACGGCTTCCGATCCGATGGCAATCCACACATCCCGATCGGCAAGCTGGGCATCGTCGCGTACAGCATGCGAGTTGCTGACGTCTGGGGTGCTGTTGCTAAGTGGTCCTGCTCTTCGCATCCCAATAATACGCCTCCGTGGCAACCAGAGTCTGAAATCCAGCGTTTGTTAGTTCGCTTGAATGCCTGGAGGGAATCTCTGCCTCCACGCCTAAGGTATGACTTATCATTGCTGCATGCGCATAGCGTCCAGAATCAAGGACAGGCGTATTGCTATATGCATTGTATCTACTTCATGTCTGTCATCTTCCTTTATCGATCCTACCTGCCGGAATTGGAAATGCACGAAGAGGCCGAGTTGGAGAACGGCGATAGGAAGCAGTGGACCGTGTTCTCCTCCAGAGAGCTTGCACAAGTTGCCGATCAAGTATGCGAAATGCTTCAAGAGATACGCGGGTTCGGCCTGTTCTTTCTACGAGGCTTAGTCCCGTGGATAGGCTTCACCATCTACACAGCTGTTGGAACATTGCTGTACTTTTGGCATTTCCCTCACGTAAGCGAGGGCGACCCGCAGATCGAGAGCTGGCGGCAACGCATCATTGATGGATGTGTTTTCCTCAAAGATATGAGGCAAGCCTGGCCTATGGCTGATACCTGGGTAAATCACTCCTCACTCTTCCTAGTCTTGCCTTTTCTCAGGACATTACTGACCAGCTCCTCTATCAGCGCGAAACTATCAAAGCGATGCACATATTTTACAGCAACTCCAAGTCAAAGGGCACCGAGTCCGTGAGTCCGAGTGCCAGACGAGAAATGCGAAACGCCATCATCGACTACGGCGCTTTGCAGCCGTCCCCCGTCCACCCTGCTGATAGTGCAAGCGAAGAAGATGTTGCAGTAAGTCTTCCTATCATGCATGCATATCGCACCCATGACTGACAAGCTGGACAGATTGCATCTGAACAAGAAGAAACAATAGCTACGCATGATATCAGTACGAATGAGACGAACGAGACCGAACTTGTGTCTCATGAATTTGGCGTGGTACCGCCTGCCGATTATGACCTTTTTGATACGCACTTCGATATTGACTCTACTATGCAGGCGTCATTTGCAGATGCTACCCAGGGCTTCTGGGAAGGATACCCAGGAAACAATGACATGTCAGGGTGGTAGATGTTGCCCATGGAACACAATACTATCGCAATCGTGCAGCCACGACATCGTTATCATTTGACCAATATCAAATTCAGGATAAGACTGAGCGCTTCCTCTCCTTTACCTCTCTCTGTCTCTCTCCCTCCTTCTTATCTCTTTTTCTCTTTTATACGTTTTAGCTTACAGTTACCACTGCCGATACGGGGCAAAATATTGATGATCCATGCAGCCAAATCACAGATACCCCTCAACTCTAAATGCAGCTAGAAATGCAACATATGCGGCTATCTCCTTTCATCCTTATCTCTGAGTCCTGTGTTTCGCCCTGCTACAGTCAGCCACAGTGTTGAATGAATTTTAACCAACTATCATTGACCGTTTGGTCTTTAATGTTGCCATTGTCGTCATCAGGTGGAGCAAGACAAGACGTGCAAACGGTATCGGTACTTGAGCCGTTCAACGAGGCAGCACATCGCTCTCGTGTGATGTAAGATTAAATCCCTCTTAGATGCCCGGTTGTTTAGGTCTTGGTCAATGTTCCCACAGCAAAACGATCAAAATCAGAGCATGTTTTCACGCTCTTGATACTAATCTAGTCGTAATATATGTCGGCAATTAATGTGAGCCTCGTTGGCGCCGTTTGTCGCTCTCTTATAAATTACTATTCATACCGAAAGAAAGCCGTCAACGCTGAGTGGATCCTGTCACCATACCATAAACGTCCACGATTACCAATTACCGGCCGCAGTGTGGATTGTTTCATTGACAGCAGCACGGCAATGCAGTACGCCCTACGTAATGTCAGGTTACACTGATGGAACACTGGCTGGATAATAAACAAGTAAGTAAGCCTGCCGATGAACTAGCTATACCCGGCAATTCCGGTCCTAGCCCTACGAACTGCGCCAGTTTTTTCTTTTTCTAACGCAATAGATTGTTAGTTCTACTGAGAAAATTACGTATAGGATACTATTACAGCTCACGGCTGATGAGCGAGTTAACCGAAGGACAGGGCGGCTACGGATATACGCATACACAAGCTTGTCGAGGAAGTCCGGAAGATTTGCTCAGTCCACCGCTCTCAGCCGAAGTATGATGAGAAGCTTAGAACAACCGTGCCCCTTGCAACAGCAAGATAAGTGATTAGAGTGAAGCGTGTGCCAAGGTTCAGGATGCTGCTTTGGATTATCTCATGTGTAAATACATGTAGGTATATCTCCTATCAATAAGCTGCCGCAGCGCCTATACGAAACGGCGGCTAGCCAACAGCCAGCAACCCACAGGGCCGGATCTGCTCTATTCGGACAGACTTCTCCAGACAGGTAGATATGATTGCTAGTTTGTGGGGTCTGCCGGCTAGCTGGTAGTTTTGGTTATCTGAAGACATAGTATGCGACCTACGCCTTGCGAGGGGATTGAGAATACTACCGGAACCGACCTTCTTCAGGCGCTGGATGGGCTCATTGGACGGATCTAATTGTGGATATCAGATCACAGCTTATCCATTTCCCGTTCCGGAGTCTGCCGCTGCAGTGCAATGTCATCTTTCACACGTTTTGCTGTGTGAGTAGGATCAGCCCCCCTTCCCAAGCGATAGTAGCATTTGGCCAAAAAAGGACTTATTTTGACCACCCTGTTTACAGCGGCTAACGATGATTGCAGAAGATCCAGATCAAAGATAACAATGATATGGACTATCTATGATGGGAAGAAGCTCTAAATTCTTCGTCATTGACCTCTGCGGGCAGTGCGAGAATGTGCGGCATGTGCGGCGAATGCGGAGCCGGTCCTTTTTCGTCTAAGCAAATCTTATAGGGGAAACTGCAGGGTTCGGCGGCAAATGCGTCTATGACTTCTCCGTACTATTCACTAATGTCCCTCGGCATCCGCCTCATGGAACCGACGCATAGAAAAAAAAATGTGTTTACAAGCTGAATTGCTGAATCCGGAACTCGGCCGCTAGTTGCGGGACTGACTCCTACCGGTGGTTCGATGCTCCCCCAAAGATTTTTTCCATGCTCACTGGAGTAACGCCCTGATAGTATGCAAACACCATCACCGAGATTCCGATGGCCGAGATTGGTTGGCGGCGTGTGCGGCGTACTGGCTGGCTGTGAGTGTGAAGATGGATGGCAAGAGAGGTAGTGAGAGAATTACACGAAGATTTGCGCAGAATATGATCTGATGATGGTGGATATGGCGGTTATTTGGTTGAATGGAGGGTATATCAATCTCTATGTGTATTGAATATAAATATGGTGGTATCTAGACGCCTTGTTTGAAGAAACACCAAGTAACAATCACCATCGTCCCAACAGCCTTTAAACCAGCATCTTTACCAAGATCTACACTTTCAAACGCAAAAATGGTTGCAACTATCCGCCAATACAAGGCCGCCTGTGTCCAGGCCGAGCCAGGATGGTTTGACTTGGAAAAGTGTATTCAGAAGACTGTCAGCTTCATCCTCGAAGCTGGCGAAAAGGGATGCAAGCTCATTGCTTTCCCTGAAGTTTGTAAGTCGGCACACACAAAATGACGAAGAGTAAATGTTTGCTGACAGGCCGCCTTAGGGATTCCTGGGTATGAGATACCAAACATTTGAAGAGCATAAGGATTTGAAACTAACTGATAGTTCATCATAGATATACCTACTGGGGATGGCGTGTAAACTACCAAGATTCTCTGCCCCTTCTCAAGGATTACTTCAAGAACTCTCTTCGTCCGGATTCCGAAGAGATGAACCGCATTCGAGGTGCTGCTCGCAAGGCCCAGATTTATGTCTCTTTGGGCTACTCCGAAGTTGAGGGCAGCAGTCTTTACATTGCTCAGATCATCATTGACCCCAATGGCAACGTTATCAACCACCGCCGCAAGATTAAGCCCACACACGTTGAGAAGCTTGTGTTCGGCGAAGGCACCGGCGATTCCTTGGACACCGTTGTTGAGACTGAAATTGGCAACCTGGGCCACCTCAATTGCTGGGAGAACGTGAGTTGCCACAAGTTGTTAATGAAAATGCTACAGTCGTGTTAATCCACTGCAGATGAACCCATTCCTCAAGGCTAACGCTGCTGCCCAATACGAGCAAGTCCACGTCGCCGCTTGGCCCGTCTACCCGCCTGCATCTTCTCTAAAGTATCCCGACCCGTACACGAACATCTCTGAAACCCAGTCTGAGCTCGTAACTCCTGCTTACGCCTATGAAACCGGCACCTGGACGCTCGCCCCCAGTCAGGTCGTCACCAGAGAAGGTGCTCGTCTCAACCTGCCTAAGCGTCTTCAGAATGATGAAGCAGCTGTCGATGCAGAGGCTGCCGTCATCGGTAACGGCTTCGCACGCATCTACCGACCAGACGGCTTCCGCGCCGTGGAGGATCCTCCCAAGGATTTCGAAGGAATCTTCATCGTCGATATCGATCTTGATGAGAATATCTTGACGAAGCGTCTTGCTGATTTTGTATGTATTCTGACCAAAGCTCTAGACTTTTACAATTGCGCTAACTGATGACTGTGGAAAAAGGGCGGACACTACATGCGACCTGATCTTATTCGCCTTATGGTTGACAAGACACCAAAGACATATCTTGTCGATGCCAACAAACCCAACCCCAGTCAGTTTCCAAGCTCTATACAGCGCCTTGGATTGGACAGGCCTCTTCCGGAAGAAGAGCAATGAGCGTGTTAGGCTGGAGAGCAGATGATTAAGAACTTGTCTTGAGTGCATGAGGACGATTCATGATTGATAGAAATTGTTGATTTTTATGTAAGATATGTAGGAAGAGTTGGAGGACGAAATCTCATCTTTTATTTGTTTATGACTGATTTTCTGCCGCTTACTAACGTGATTTTATGCTACGCAAAGACTCCTGGATGTAACTATATCAACCACATGCTAGACGGTAAATGGATGGGCGCAATTGCAAGTAGTTTGTAGAAACTCAGCACTTGGCTATTTAGCAGAACATGCATAAGGGCAATGATAATTTAGCAGGTCGGTGGAATACGTGACGTAGCAGGGTTCTATCTCTCGCTTGCTTGTGGTTTCAATACACTAGATGTGCTTTTAGACGCGATGTTCTCCTCCAAACGATACGGTGATCCGTCTATCTTCGTAAATAGTACACAACACTAGCGTTGCCACGCGCAAGTATTAATATATCTAGAAGGCTATCTATCTTTTCCTATTGGCTGAAAACAGCACTACTATGTAGTAAAATATTATATTTCCTGCATGTAGACTTAAGAATCGCAATACAATCATTTCGTCTTCTATTTTTATAAACGAGCTCAATAGTCGCAGGGTAGCGCAGACATTGCGGGCGCATATCGTGAGCCTTTAGACTTTATAGGCCAGCTATACATGCAGTAATAGGCTTAAGTCAGCAGCCCTTCGTCTCCTTTTCCTCACCTGCCTAAACGGGACTGTTACCAATCACGGCACTCAAGCCCGGGCTTAGTAACCACAATGGCCGGAACAATGTCTTTCCGCTGTCAGCCCGGCTTCTCGCGTGTGAATGTCAGAGTCGATCTTTTAGTATGAGCGCTCAACAAGCAGGCCAGATTATCTGCGGTGTTGTGGTCGTTGATGAAATGTGATGCTTCTCAACAAGCACTGCATGATCTAAGATGCCCTGAGCGAGCCACCCGGTTTCCAGCTTCCATTGTGGGTATTTGTCTGCATACAGCAAGCGACGCGCCGCTGGACCCGCAGAGCGAATCACCGTCGACAGCCCTGACTAATTTGCTGTCGTCCTCGGTTTGTTGCAATGGATGAAACCTTGGGCGGAAGCGTAGGAGCGCCGGTATCCAAGCCATCGCCTCAGCCGCAGCCCTCAAGGAAGAGAAGACACTCATATACACGCGTTGCTTGGTGAGTGTGGCGTGGCTGCCCTTGTTGTCGATGAGGAGTCCCCTTTAATGACGCCTTCCCAGTGACGAGTGCCAGCGGCGCAAGACAAAATGTAGCGGAGAGCGGCCCTGTAAGGCCTGCAGGGAGAGCAACCACAACTGTCTCTATGACCGGACTACACGGTTTCGAAACCGGAATCGCACTTCGTAAGACTCATCCTGGTCACTTTGCCCGGTGCCATGTATCTCATCTCACCCGCATTAGAAATACCACAGAAAGTGAAGGCTCTTCCTCCACACGCACGCAGAACCAGGCGCAAGCTGCTCCATCTTCACAGCTTGGCCAAGGACAATCTCAGCCAGCAGCTACTAATAGCGTGACTACCACTTCCGCTTCCGCTGCCCCTGCCAAAGCCAATGGGTTGCGCAGCTCAGACTACTATCTGCAGCTGGCGGAGAGATTGTTGGTTACGACGAAGCCTGCGTCCACCCAAAAGGCAAAAGCCCAAAGCCAGTATGGGGTGCCTGTGACGTATTTCTTGGAGAAGCTGCTTTTCCATAGAGCGAACAATGCTCCTGGAAACGCATTGGCCTATGTCGACAACGATCGGTGGCTGAGTATCATTGCACTCTATGAGGAAGAGATTGGCATACAATATCCCTTTCTTAATCTTGACGAGCTGAGGCGCGAAATCATAGGGGCCGACGTGAGGATTGCGAAAGACGATTCTTCACGACAGCCAAACCCGCCACCCGGTGCCAAAGCCAGCCGCATTCAAATCGAGAACATTGCAATCCATGTCTTGGCTATTATCTCCATTTTCGCTGATGCACGGACCATTGAGATAGCAAACCCATGGGTTGAAGAAATTTATGCAGGAACAGTGGCACGGACTCAGCTCGACAGCACTGTCAATGCCGCCGATTTGTGCCTCCTCATACTCGCCGTAAGTCTGAAGCAGCTGAAGAGGCCGTTGAACATGCGAAAAGTCTAACATTTTTTGCCCCTTGCGTATTAGACAATATTTTTCTTTCTCAGCGATCGGGAAATTCTTGCGTGGAGAGGAATTGGTATTGTTCTGCGATTACTTCAGGAAAATAGCTCTCGAAACTCGGGAGACCTGAGTCTTCATGACGGGAGCCAGATTGCTACACCAGGTGAAATGCTATACTGGTGTGTCTATACACTTGACCGACGTTGGAGCTTTGGCACAGAGTTGCCGTTTGCAGTACACGATTCCGAGATTGATCGCCATCCTATGCTGGATGTAAGTAAAAACAACAAAGCGCGCAAATGTCTTGGAGGTGCTTAATCTCACTGATGAACCAGGGCGACTCACTTTCTACATCCTACGTTTTGAGCATGGTCTCCTATTGCCGAATCTCATCAGATGTGAGGAAATGGCTATTGGAACCGATAACTGGCTCCACGTCTGATATGACGCGCGACTTCCTTGATTTTCGCATTGTTCAGTGGAAGCGTAACTTGCCAGCTAAGCTCCATCACGATACCACCAGGAAGTATGATCCTTCGAGAGACAATCGTGGGGATTACAGGATTTGCATACTCCTTCATCTAAGAGCAAATCAAATGAGAATCATTGTACACAGGACATCGGCAAATCGACTCGGATCAGCCAGCCTCGATCCATCTACAGTCAACGTTCTAGCTGATGTTTCCCATGACACCATTCGAGCTCTTGTGCGCTTGGCCGACGAGACGGACATTTATCACGCACAACATAAAACGTTCAATCACTTTCTCGAATCTGCGCTTTCATCAATGCTGCTTGTGCTGGGGAGTATTAGCGACGATATAACCCGAGCCTCGTGCCTTCAAGATGCGTTTGACGCCGTAGACCTAATCCAGCGACTTTCATTAACATCCCCTGTCTCACAACGGCTTTTAGAACGGCTACATAACATTCATGAGGCTATGGATAGCTTTCGCGCTCGAGGTAGCAGGGCCACGTCGCAAATGTCATCGAGTCTCGACGGAGCTACATCATTGGCACAATCTGCATACAGTCCTGACCGGCCTCCAGGGCTTGTACGGCTGGATATGGAGCAAGGCCAAGGCAACAATTCGAGAATGAACGTCCCATTAGCAAGACCCCCTGAGCAGACACTCTCAATTCCCACATTACCCGGCCGAGACATGAGCGATCGAGATCAGCATCAGCGCAGTAACATGGGGTATTTAGAAGCCAACCAAGCAATGACCTCGCCGCCGCTGCCGTACCCTCACTCATCATCTGCTGGTATTTCCACGCTTCCATCAAATCTGCCGCAGTCACGACGTGTGTTTGAAGTGCCAGGAAATATCCTTAGTATGGCTAACGAATTGCCCTTTATGAACTTTCCCGAGCTGGGGCAATTCTTGGACGAGAATCCAGTCAATTTTACCTTTTAGAGGCGAGGAGTATGACTATGAGATGAAATCAGTGTTGATTGGTAATCTGGCATTTTCCTTTCATGATTGTCGCACAATGTTTTATAGATACCCGATGAATAGCGATGACATTTCGTCGCTGTCTATTATGTTTCTTGGGAAATTCCTTGGAATCGCGTTCCACTGCGCGTTGTAAAGAGCTGGAGGACATGGGGAAGATATGGCTCATTTTTCTTAATAACTTTCATGTACCATAAGTCGATGAAATGCTGGCTACCAGTTTATAATCGGCGAACCGGGGTCAGGATCTGGGGTTGTATAATGTACGAAAGCGGCAGTCTCCTACGAAGCGTACTGCGAGAGATATGCCAAAGCTGCTGTTAATGTGTCTTTTTAATTAATAATTGAAACTTGATTGCTACTGTATACTTTGTTCACTCGAACGACATCACACGTTGGTCAATGCTTGCGTTCGTTAGGTCTTCGCTCTTCTTACAGGCAGGTGTAGGCCCTTTATAAGAAGGGTAAAAGGAAAAGGGAAAAGGGTAATATTATATTAAAAGACATTAATGTTCTATAAACACAGTAAGCGTATCATGTGCCGTGTTAAGTCCTGCTCTTTCTACCTCCATAGCCTTGATCAAATCCTGGACATGCCCGCAGTCCACATAAACATATAAACCAAACTCCAACACGATAGCTGAACGCCAATATCCGAAACATTTCCAATGGCTCCGTGATGATAGCAGAAGAAGGGAAAGAAGACGAGGAGGAATTAGATAGTGGGTAGGGCATTCGTAACTGCTTGACCAATCTGGACGTGGGAAGGGCGACAAGCCAATTCGACTTCATGTTGCCATCAACTCTTTGATGCTGGCGGCGGCGGCGGCGTCGGTGTGACTGGTGCATCTGTAGATTGAGCTACCTTGACAGCTGCTCTATGCACTACAGACCTTATCGAGCTATCATGAGTCCCTCGCTGAGACTGGTGACTCCCTCCAAAATGCGCACGAAGTCCAAACGGCTTCTCTTCTAGCTCAGCTTTGGCTTGGTTGTACATTTCCTCCACGATGGCAACTTCTTCTTGGGCGTCAAGAGTGCAGTCCAGTAAACAAAGTTCTCGCTCGCGCTGCTCAATATACTCGCGAATCTCTCTCCATTGGCTCTCGTGAGCTTTGTATCGGTCAGGAAGACCAGAGCCCTTGAGATATGTCAATATGCCCGCCATGATTGTGTTCATAGCACCCAGTCCGGTAACCGCGTGGCGAGAGCCATTGGCTGCTCCGATTGCGGTCAACGCCGCGCCGACGACCATTTGAGCCCCAAGACAGAAGTTGATTAAGCCGTGGAAGATGCGATAGTTGTGAGCTGCCTTTTGCTCTGCTTGCACGACTCTGGCATATAAGCCGATGTTGGGTGCAGCGCGCCGAGCATGGCCGGTGCTTGACAGGGCAGGGACAGTGTCGATGCCTGTGAGGGAACGAAAAGCAAGAAGCTTGTCGTTGGTTGGAATCAGCGCATTGTGATCGGTTCCCGTTATTGTAATTCGCTTCTCATTGTTGGCCGCCTCTCGTGCTGCCTGCTTACTATTGGGGGGCAACCCTAGCTCCTCTGTATTGTCTGGTGGAGGATCTCGGCCATCGAGAGAGCGGACCGCCTGAGCAAGTCTTCCAATCATTATCTTCTTAGTATCGAGGAATGTAAGATTCAACAGAGAATGGCAAGAAGAAACGAATGAAGCTGAAAAGGGGAAGGCTAGTGAGGAATAGGAGTTGCGGTGACCTTCACCGCGACTTGTTGAAGCGTTTCCACAAAATTTGACGATGCAGATCTACCTTCGGAAGCTTTCAGAAGCTAAAGTCGGGAGCGATCTTAGCAGGTGGATTTGGGAGGGGCTCGCGCTCAAGCAGAATTTTCAAGGCATGGCCGCAGCCGCTTTGGGCCGCCTTTTCCCAGCTGCCTTTTCCCAGCTGCCCAATCTCATATCGTCACTTGATGCTTCTTCCCCTCCGTTGCCATCGCGGTCTGCAAGGGAGAACCACTCGGGGCTCTGATTCGAGTCTATCCTGTCCCGCTGGCCCCCATGTATCATTTTGATAAGCATGTCTCTAACTGGATTGAGAGTCCCGTGGTGAAAAGAAGGCACGTTTGGGCGAATAGCAGGCGGCAGCTAGCAATTTGACCCGATTCAATTTGCGGCTGAGGTGTTGTGCGGGTCTGGATAAAGTAGAAACTTGCAGAAGCTGAAATACCAGTGTTGCTAGTGCCGCTAATAAGAGTGTCTTGCTGAGACATCTAGTTGGCAGTCTGCACTTTTATTTGATAAGGTCATGGCGGGTGGGCTGGCAGGTAACACTTCTGCAGGCCCTTCTTAGACAGACGGAAGCCGATTTTGCTGCCAGAGAGCACGAGTCCCGGCGGAAATACATCCCGAGGTTTGCCACTTGCTCAACGAGTCTGGACAGCCTACTGGTTGGCTAAATAGCGATGCAAATTTCGTAATATTTACTGGCATTAGAAGAGATGCCCGTGGAGGGTAAGATCCTTATGCGAATTGTGAAGTCAGAGGATTGATTATTAAGGCAAAAAGACTTGCTTTGGCGTAGGTGGTGTAGGCAATCCACTGATTACAGGATGTAGTAGTAGTAGCCAATTCGCATCATATTCTTCAGTAAAATACTTATTCTAGTGGTCCAATCCCACCGGCAGGATCAAATAAATCTGAAGTAATACTACCTAGCTCGATGATGACTTGCATTGCTTCATATGCCGTAATCCGCTAATTTGTTCATCGAACCTTTTACTAGCTACGGAGTAGCAATCTGACATGACATTCTTGGCAACAATATCTACCTCGGATACTACTCCGAGCTGGCTGAATAATACTACTACTAGTTACGTAGAAGTAATAGTTATATTCCCTTGCAAAACCCGATTGTGAAATCTTTTTCGTTTTTAGCGTCCTAGCGTTTGTAATGAGGTAGAGCGATCTTAGCATTCACTTAACACCTAGCATGCAATTGACAGTGTTGGCAAGGGCCAAATACTTTATGCATTTTCGCGGTAGCATTTGATCGCTCACAAAATAAGCGCTTCCTCCTATTAGAAGCATGTATGGGGCGAGAACTTAATACCAGGTACGACAGTTACACTATAGGCATTTCATAGGCCTCATTGAACCGTGTTGGTAATGACTTACCAATGGCGCAGTAGATCTCAGATGATCGTGGCATAGATGGCTCCATTGATGATCCTATCACCATCCACTGGCCGTTGCATCCGAGAAAGACTGGCAAGATGAAAGTTGATGAATCCATCAGGCGTCTACGAAACTCGTAAGCAAACAAACACTTGACAAAAAACGATGCAGCCCAATGCAACACTGCTACAGCATCACGGGACAATATGTACACACATAAGCCGAAGCTAGCGAGACAACACAAGCTTGGTGAAGAATTCGCCTTGAACTAAGTGGTAAGAAAAAATTGCTCAACGGTGCTGTAGCTTGGTATCTATCAAAGCACCTACTAACAGAGGAGGTGTTCTTTCTCTGTTAGGTGTTCAATTTGACGTTTGCTGACATGAGCTACGTCTTGACGTTTCTATAGTATTACATTAGTGCCTGTATATTTGCAACTGTCTTCCCCTGTAGTCTCACCGCATTAATTACCTAATCAGGCTTTCGTACAGGACATACGCTTTTATATTGACCTGTCACACTGATACAATTGCCCTTTTTGGAGTTTTTTTCAAGTTGTTAGTAGCATGCGCAAACGTGTTTACTAATACTGGATGATTTTGTTAATCTCTATCGAGCATGTTTCGCAGAGCAGACAAATTGTGTAAACGTCAGACCATTGTAAGATGCAGGAACCCTTGCTAGCGGTAATGCAAGAGGGAATTTTCCCTTCCGCTGCTAGGAGCGGGAGACTAGACTAGATCTTACTGACTGCAGTACAGCACATCGAAATAAGGTCTGACTTGTGGCATCCCTAGAGTTGACATAAAACTGCCTTCTTGTAATACTACCCTATCTAGACACTTGCTATGCTAGTGCTTATTGGCAGATGAATGTATTGATTATTAGAATAATCTTATTTCTTTTGCTATCGAAGTCCTTTTAGCTGGCTTATGCAATACTTCGTAGTGTGTTTCCTGATATTGTGTTATACCCTTCTCCCCTTTTTCAAATTTCATACTGTCTCAAGGAATGCAGTGTTTATGGTGACCTTGCTTGTGGTATATATGAGACCGGATCTCTCCCAACATGTTGGCAACAGCTCCAATCGGCAACTCGTTCGGTAGCCAGCCAAGTCTACCAGCCGCTTCATCCTACTCTTACGCACGTATTTGTCGTTTGTCTCTTTCAACATGTCATCTGTTGATGCAATCGTTATTGGCGCGGGTTTTGGAGGACTTTACAACCTCATCAAGCTTAAAGAGCTTGGGCTTTCAGTAAGGGCCTTTGACAAGGCTCCCGAAATTGGCGGTACATGGTACTGGAGTCAATACCCCGGCGCAACTAGCGATTCTGCTAGCGAGATTTATCGATACCGCTTCAACAAGGATGCATTACAGACAGACGTATGGCCGGATCACTATGTGTCGCAAAAAGGAACCCTTCAGTATTTGAAAAACATCGCCAAGCTTTATGACTTGGAAAAGGATATTCAACTCAAAACCAAACTGGTATCGGCTGCTTTCGATTCAGCATCGGCTACATGGACGACTACATTCGATAATGGCGAAGTTTGGAAATCCACATACTTGATTACGGCTGTAGGAATCTTCCATACGCCTAATTACCCCAAGATTACTGGTCTTGAGAAGTTCAAGGGCCCAGTGTACCACACAGGGTTAGTTCTATCTTGATGTTGTAAATGGCGTTTGTGCTAACTCGTTTCTTAGTGACTGGACCGAACAGTATGACCTTAAAGACAAGCGAGTTGGTATCATTGGTAATGGATCCTCTGGTGCACAAATTCTAGTCAACATCGCAGACGATGTAAAGCAGGCAATCTCTTTCCAACGCTCGGCGCAGTACGTTGCTCCCCATCCAAACAAGGCAGTAACAGCCGAATACAGAGAAAACATCAACAAGACTTATGACGATGTCTGGAAATTGGTTGATAACCATCCTACTGCAATGCCCTTGGAGCACCAGACAACCTCGGCCTTGAGCGTCAGTCCAGAAGAACGAGAACGTATCTGGGAAGAACTTTGGGACAAGAAGAGCGGCTTTAGCTTCATGTACGGAGTCTTTGGCGATATTCACTCCAGTGAAGAAGCAAACAAAGAACTTTGCAACTTTTTCAACAAAAAGATTGCTCAAATCGTGGAGGACCCCGAAAAAGTTAAAAAACTGACACCGAACGAACTCTATGGCAAGCGACCTGTTACTCTCTCAAACTACTATGAGACATTCAACAAGAAAAATGTCGATATAGTCAACTACCAGTTTACACCTTTTGTTGAAATCACTGAGAACGGTATCCGAACCACCGAGAAGCTGCACGAGCTGGATGTTATTATCCTGGCGACTGGTTTCGAGGTCGTGGATGGCAGTTATGCAGCCATCGACATCAAGGGCCGCACCGAAACTTTGAGCCAGCAGTGGGCTCGAGACGGCGTATCTTCTTACTTGGCCATTGGTGATACCGGATTTCCCAACCTGTTCTTCAGCGTGGGCCCGCAATCGCCGCTTGGCAATATGCCGCCGATCATCGAGATACAAGGTGCTTTTGTCAGTGGGATGATTGCCAAGGCCGAGAAACTGAAGAAGGAAAACGGAGGCAAGCCTGTTCTCATTGAAGCTGATGCGGAAGCGAAGAAAGGGTGGATGGATCTGTGCCGCATGATTGCAAATGGCAGCATTTTCAGAAACATCAAGTCTTACATCTTTGGCAACAATGGCCCAAGAGGAGATGACAATGCTGGTATTTTCTGGCTTGCGGGTTACGCCAACTACCGAAAAGCTGTGGAAGACGCGCAATCGAAGGACTTTGCTGGTTTCAAGTTCCTCTCTTGAGCGACGTTAAATGCGATGATGACTATAGAGAGTTATAAGCCATTTATGAAATAAAAATGAACCAAGATCATATTTTTTCCGTGACATCTTGACAATTTTGTGGCTCAAGTTTTGGGACACAACAAATAAGCATAATACTTAGCCTAAAGTTCCTTACAGTGCATCAGCATCAGCTTAGATATAACTTGGGGTTTACTTGCCAGATCAAAACTGTAACACTATAAATTAATTTGATAACGCTGATTCACCACCCAATGTTAAGGCTGAGCCCCTTGTGGCCAAACAACAATGCTCTAGATTCTACTCTACCAGCACTGTGCTTTCCTTGTATTCATCCCTATCAGCAAGAGCCGAGATGCGGGGTTGCCCCTCCTTGTTCCTTTTAGTCTAAATGGGAAAATTCCTGGGATTGTATCTCGATCTAACAGTTCAGTGCTGTTATGGAGAGCATCTTTATAGAAGAAAATACATAACGTGTGGCATTAGATATTTTATTTAGCATACTTCCTAATCATCTAACTGTTCTACAATTGCTGATGAATACTAGCTGCCTCAAGCTCTGATATATGTATACTTTTTGTTGCAACGAAGAAGATTGCACGCAGTACAGAGCGCTACGTCCATAATTACGACCTCCAAATTGCCACATTCTTTTATCTGTGCACTCAGACGAAGAGTATCTATCGAGTATAGTAATCAAGCATCCGATGTGTAAATTACGTTATTGCAACCCTGCATCTCAGCATTGTTACTCCGCTCTCTTCACATTCAGCCTTGCGCATGCTCTCGAAAATGCAGCGATGCTCTCGACCTCTTGCCAACCGCCACATATCATTCATACAAGTCTCAAGTAGGTTCAGTACTTACTTAACATACAATCATTCTGTACTTAAGCTGAAAGACATATCAATACACCATCAGACCATGGCGGGCAGAACAGGAACAGACGTTGCTACTGAAAGCCATCCAGAAGAAAAGGCCAAAGACTTTCGGTTCCCACAGAATGAGATCGGAATAAGCGACAAAGTACTGGTAGCAGATGCGGCCATTGGTTTTGCTATTGAGAAAGAATTGGGGCCGTGGGAAGCTGCTAAAGCATATCCGAATGCCATCTTATGGGCGTTTGTAATGGCAGCCTGCGTCATCATGGAAGGATATGATACTGCTCTGCTTGGTAGCTTCTTTGCGTATCGTCAGTTGCCCATATACAATGATAGCGTGCTTAGCTGACCAGCTCCAAGCGTCGTTTCAGATTAAATTTGGGAAATCTGTTGGAGTTTCTCCTTCGACACCCAGCGGGTACCAACTAACGGCTGCCTGGCAGTCTGGGGTAAGCCAAGCACCTAATGTGGGAGGCTTCATCGGAGCCATCATTAATGGCTGGCTCGTAACAGCCTTTGGCCAGAGACGCGTGGTCTTATGGTCACTTATTTGCATGATGGCCTTGATCTTTATTCCCTTCTTTGCGCCCAATCTGATTGTCCTTACAATTGGCGAATTTCTCTTGGGGTAAACACAGTCATCCCCTCTATTGGCTCTATCAAGTGGCTAATTACTCGGGCTTAAGCTTTCCTTGGGCGACTTTGGCGACTTGTGCCATTTCCTACGCCTCTGAAGTTCTGCCGCCATCTATTCGAACTTACTTGACTTCCTACACTAACATGTGTTTCATTATCGGCCAACTGATTGCGGATGGAGTGCTAAAGGGGCTGTCTAATCACACAAGTGAATGGGCATATAGAATTCCATTTGCGATCCAATGGGTGTGGCCTTGTTTCCTGATCCCCCTGGTATATCTTGCTCCTGAAAGCCCATGGTACCTTGTCCGCGTGGGCCGCATTGAAGAGGCAGAGAAATCGCTGCGTCGACTCCAGAGCTCCAATGCGAGGATCGATCCAAAGCATACTCTCGCAACCATAATACATACAAACGAGTTTGAGCGAGAGAACAACATAGGAACAAGCTACTGGGACTGTGTTAAAGGAGAAGAGCTCCGCCGAACCGAGATCGCTTGCATGGCCTTTACTGGTGCGGTGCTATGCGGTATCAATTTCGCTTATAACAGTTCTTATTTCTTTCAGAGCATTGGCGTTAGCACGTCTACAACGTACTCATTGAGCCTTGGAGGTGTTTGCTTGGGCCTTGTAGGATGTTTCCTTAATTGGTTCGGTGCGTATTTTTTGATCGGCACTTTATGAAGACTTCATGCTGACGTGAGACTGTCGCAGCTCTAATGCCATAATTTGGTCGCCGCCGTATCTATATCTGGGGCATGATTGCAATGTGTGTCATCTTGCTCTCGATTGGTATCTTGAATGTGTGGACGAGCAAGCACTCGATAGCTTTGGCACAAGCCGTGCTTACCTTATTGTGGACTTTCGTCTTCCAGCTCACCGTTGGCCAACTCAGCTGGGCATATCCGGCTGAAATAGGATCTACCCGTCTTCGTCAAAAGACTATCTGCATTGCGAGAGATGTACATGGTATTGTGAATATCGTATCTGGGATTCTTCAACAATATTTTATGAACCCTGAGGCGTGGAATGTCAAGGGTTATGTCGGGTACGTATGCTCACTATCAGCTATCTTGATAATCATGTTCAGGCTGACATTAGTTAACTATAGATTTGTTTGGGGCGGTACTTGTTGTTTCATGGTCATCTGGTCGTATTTCCGCCTTCCAGAGACATGGAATAGACCATATGAGGAACTGGATATTCTGTTTGCTCAAAAGACACCAGCAAGAAAATTTGCTGCTACCAAAGTGCATCCTATCGAAGATGTTACTATCACCCAAGTAAAAAAGCAGGAAGCTTAGCTAATGATAGACAATACGGAAGGATCGATTGGTTAGTCTAAGGATTTTGGACGCCAGATGGTCTATTTATGTGTAATTGGCTGGATATCATTGCGTTAACTAGGTATATATCTTGCTAGAGGGCTGACTAAGACGTTTGTATAATTGTTGCTGTCATTATGTATGACTATACTTGAGAAAAACATCCATAGACACTAAACTAGCTGCTGCTTGTAATCTGGACCAATTTGCTCAAGCCCACGGCCTTCTCACTGATAGTGTGAATGCTACCTGTCCCCATGATGTCCAACATAGGCATGTCTACTTTCAGGGTCTTGGCCAGCCAAGTCCTAAACTCTGTGGCGACTAAAGAATCGACTCCATTAGAGCTAATCGACTTACCGGGGTCAATGTCATCGGCCGCCATTGAGAGAAGCTTGGAAAGCTTCAGTCGGATCCCGTTGGATACAATGGTAGTGGCTTCTTCAGCCGTCGTCGCCGCAGCCAGCTGAATGGGTACCAAAAGAATAGGATCGTCTTCAGTGGAATCGCTATTGACGACTGTCTCGCTTTGAAGATGCTTAAAGAGAGGGAAGTTGAGGTAGCTAGGCACAGGCATGCGACGCTGCTTGTATAGCGCAGCATTCGTTAAGCCGGACACTGCTTGGCTCGCAGCGGAGTTTCTGGGATCAAGATGATACTCGAATATCAAATGGATCTCATCTTCGCGAAGAGACTCGAGAACTACTGTGATGTTTGTGATGGCTTTGAGGCGGCTCTTGTTCTCAGCCACGTAGCCGACGGAGAGAATGCTTCCCAAGTCGACACTTGTTCCCGGGAGACCCAGAGCGCGCCTGTGTGCCGCCAAAGCATCTTGATAAGTATTACCGGCGGCATAATTTGACTGACTGCGGTTGCCCACAATTCCAGTAGTAGAGGAGAGAAGAAGGAAGAAGTCCATGCTCGTGGGCAGGTATTTGTGAAGATTCCATGAACCCTGGACCTTTGGTTTCAATGCGGCATCAAAGTTTTCGTAAGTCATATTCTCGAACATTGCGTCCTATGCGATCGTCGTATTAGTAAAATTCTGACACGTTGCATGAAAACGAATTGTTTCTTACCTTTAGGACCATAGATCCTTGAACACATCCCTTGATGGGAGGAAGCTTGGCCTTGCATGCGTCAACAACGGCTGATAACGCAGATTCATCGCTAACATCGCAAGCGAAGACATGGACGTTGCAGCCAGTCGCCTCTAACTCTTTTACAAGCTCTTGCGCAGATTCACTTGCAGCGCCTGATCTTGAAATAAAGATTAGATGCTTTGCTCCGCGTGACACCATCCAACGTGCAATGCTTCTTCCCAAGCCTCCAAGCCCTCCCGCTAGGACGTAAGATGCATTGCCATCAAATCGCAGCGGGGATGGCTTCTCAGGCATGATGGGAACGATATCAGTTGGGTTAGGCTTGAAAACAGTCTTTCCCATGCTCTTCCCTGACTGCAGAGATCGGAAAGCTTCTTCAATCTGCGTGTAGTCCATGACCCTGGTGGGTTTGGCCACTCTTACTTTGCCATCGGCAAAGAGTCGCACTGTCTCGGTGATGAGCTGTCCGAGCTTCTTGGGCTTGTAGTTCATGATAGTTGTCAAATCGACACTAGCCATTACCGTTTGGCGCAACAATGGGCTAAGATCAATTCTGCCGTTTGATTGAGCGTCCTTTTTGCCAATCTCAATGAACCGTCCAAACGGCGCCAAGACATCCCAGGATGCACGCAAGGCATCACCAGAGAGTGAATTGAGAACCACATCAATGCCACGATTATCCGTCATGCGCATAACGCCTTTCACAAATGACAGATCACGGCTCGAAAAAATGTGGTCTTTCTTTACACCATACTCGTTGATGAGAAGATCTCGCTTTTCAGGAGTTGATACTGTCGCGAAAATTTCCGCTCCAACTAGATTTGCGAGCTGAATAGCGGCTTGTCCAACGCCACCAGCAGCAGCATGAATGAGGACTGTTTCTCCTTCAGACAATCGAGCAATGTCATAGAGCCCATGGATTGCCGTAGAGTACACACACGGGAGACTGGCAGCGTCTTCGAAGCTCACGGAATCTGGGAGTTTGACCACAGCATCCGCGACTTGTCTTCCGAATGTCTTGAGACAACCGCCGTCAACAAGTCCGTTCATGTATACAACTCTGTCGCCTACCTGAACGTTGGTGACTTTTGAGCCAATGCGGGACACGTAACCTGCTGCTTCATTTCCGAGACAAGCTGCGACGTGCTCGCCCATGGCAATTAATACATCTCGGAAATTGAGTCCGACAGCGTGGATTTCCACCTCCACCTCGTTTTCAGAAAGCGGCCGGGCCCATACTGGATCTGTGGCAAAATGCAGAGCGCTCAGTGATCCTGGTGAAGAAGTGTCTAGCATAATCGGTCGTCCAGCTTCCCCAAGCGGCGCTTGTTTGGGATCTGCCTCAGCGAAATTGGAATGAATATAGCTATTGACACTCTGAGCATCGATGAGGCGGTTTGTGAGCAGATGGTTGGCTTTCAAAAAGTATTCAGCATTCTTGCTCTCATCTTCAATACCGTCCACATATTGATGCTTGAAAACGGAAAGAATTGATTCGAGAAGCTGATCGTCTTCGGGTCGAGGTTCCGCTACCGCCAAAGTGACGAGATTCGGAGCGTCGAGGTCACGTTCCCATCTCACTGTTCTGATGAGGCCTGTAGTCATATACTGATGAGGGTCTTTCTCAAAGTCTCCTGCAACCCAAAGAACACCATCGCTCGTAGCAATGATATGATTGAGCTGATTGTACCGCTCCTCTGTAAGCTGAGAAAGAACAGGGCTTTCCAGGTCGAGCAGTGAAATGCATGTGTCGTAAATGAGCTCAACATTCGATAAATCTGCAAGGCTGGCAATTGAACAGTTCTTATAGCCAAAGTCCTTGATGATCCTAGACTGTAATGCGGATGCTAGATTCTGAGTCGCCGCTGAGGAGATGATGTGAATCTTCCTATTGGCGTCTTGCAATCCAATATCCTCGTTGTTTTCGGCAACCATGATGCTTTGTCCACGAATATCGGCAACTTCGCGATCTGTGAGTACGGTTGCTATTCCTGTGAAGCCTGCTCTTTTGAGAACAAAGTCCCATTCAGACTCAGATATGGACGGGCACCATTTGCGGTTTGGCTCTATGCTGAGCCACCAGCCCTTTAGTTGACCAAATGAAAGTGGAAGCCAAAGAAGGTCTAGTTGAAAATAAAATATTTAGTAAATGCACATACTTTGATAAATCGGAAAAGAATACAAGAGGCTCAAGTAGATTGCGAGGTACAAAGATCCTTTGTAAATGCATAATACGCCAGATACTTGAGCTTTATGATGTTAGGGTACACATACCTTGTCGAATACCTTCGTGCATCACTAATTTACCACCTGGCTTTAGTAGCAATCGTAGATTTGCTAACACTTTTTCGAGATCAGCAGTAGCATGGATGACATTTCCGGCAAAGATGTAATCGTATGTGCCTTGTTCAAATCCTTGCTCAATAGCATCGGACTCGATGTTGAACGTTCGGAATTCCATAAGGTTTCTCCATCTCTTGAACTTGTCTTTAGCCTTCTCAAAGAAAGCTGATGATACGTCGGTATAAGTGTATTTCGCAATAGCTGAGTCATTGAGCAGTCTTTCTTCGTTGGAAGCAGATGGTCCCAAAGCCTCCAATACTGGGGCAGAGAGTGAGCCGGTTCCAGCTCCAATCTCCATGATGTTGAGATTGACGTTATTATGATGGACAATCTCAAGATAGGCAGCCAAAAGGCTGGGTAGGTTTCCAGACTCAACCATGTTTCTGTACAGTTCGTCGAGAATATTGTCTTGACCAAACATCAGCTGTAGAGGATCGACTTCTTTCTTCATAACGGGCGCCAAGTTTCTTCCCATTCTGACCAAGAGTCTACCATCTGCGCTATCCATGATGCTGTCAAATAGCTTTTCTCTCAGTGGCTCATTGTCCATGTACTGTTTCCATTCGTTAAAGTCGAGATGGGGCAGTAAGTTGTTGTTCAAGTCGTCTCGAACTTTAACACACCAGTTGTAATAATTCTTGAAATGGCCTTCATAGTCGCCCACCGGATAGTCTTTCAAGTCATCCAAAGCTAGAGTTACGAACAGAGTTGATGCTAGTTGCAGCTTTCTGATAGTTCGTCTATACTCCTCGTTCTCTTGATCGGAAGCAAGCACTGCCTTGAGCTTGGGCTGTTTAACCAAGTTGAGATCTGGCATCCACTCTACAACGTGACACATCTTCTTTGCCTCGGCTGCGGATATTTCAGATCCTAGAGATTTTCCTGACCAACCTCGTACAGCAATTCTCTCTTCATTCGTCTTCTCGTCCCAAATGGTGATATCGCTGTGGAATTTTTGGAATCCAGTCAACTTTGAGACTCCGAATCCTCTGAACTTGTGGCCGGCAGTGCTTTCTATTTTGGCAGAAACACGGACTTCTTTGATGAAGGTAGGAACCATAGGAGACTCCAACGTGGTTTTGTCAGTGATATCGAGAACACCTACATAAGATATGATTAGTGACCCTTCAGCGAGAACGCGAGAAATTGTTTTGACTTACCGGCTATGAAGAGGTGCATCATGGAATCCATTGTAGATGGATGAATCATATGAGGATGAGCGAAATTTTTGGGCATAATTTTGGCGACGTCTGGAACAGTGATGAATGAGGATACTTCACCTTGACCCTTGTTGACAACAACGTCAGACAAGTTCTGAAACAGAGGTCCAAAGTGCAACCCAATGGTATCCAGATTGTCATAGTTAATGCTTGTTGGTGTGTTGCATCGTGCAATGCTGTCCTGAAGCATCTTCTTGGAGGCCTGGACTTCTGAAGCTTCTTCAAGCCCCTCATCGATTGGGCCAGGCAAGACTTCATATTGAGTTTGGATGTAACCCGTGCAATGCTCTACCCAGTCGTCTGCATTGCTGTT